GATTCTTCAGAAATCCCTGGCAGTCTGTTATCTTATTGGATTGATCCCTGTGTATTTATCCAACAAAGCTGAACAAATCAATATCCTTCTTGGGGATATATTCCTTCACAAATTGTGACTGTTTGAGATCTTTCAAATCCAATACAGTACTACTTTTCCAGTTTGCTTTTTGAAAAATAAATATATAAAAGCTATGGAAAATCTTTTGCATTATTGAGCTTTTGAATCTTTTCCACCTGGAATAATTAGGAATGTTTCTTCCCCTGGAAGAAAAGTGTTGATGCAGTTCTGACTTTCCTTTCAAACCCAGAGATTTGAATATGTCAACATTTATCTTCATTGCTTCCTCACAAACCTGAGTCCTTGGCCTCTGTTAAGCTTGTCAATCAGCTTTAACCATGGTGTTTCCCTCCCTCTCCTGAACCATGATGTAAGATCAGTAACTTAATCGGGGGTTAGCTTTCTAATGTTCTAATATTTCAATTGTATATACAGTGGTACCTCGGGTTAAGAACTTAATTCGTTCTGGAGGTCTGTTCTTAACCTGAAATTGTTCTTAACCTGAGGTACCACTTTAGCTAATGGGGCTTCCCGCTGCCGCGCAATTTCTGTTCTCATCCTGAAGCAAAGTTCTTAACCCGAGGTACTATTTCTGGGTTAGCGGAGTCTGCAACCTGAAGCATCTGTAACCTGAAGCGTCTTTAACCCGAGGTACCACTGTAGGGTAGTATCCAACTCCTGGGGGGGATTCATCAGCAGAAGCCCTGAGTAATGACTTCCACTTGCAAAATGGAGCTTTCCCTTCTCTCCTACCCCCATGTCACTTCCCTGCCGAGAGCGGGGAATCCTTCCATCTGACAAACCAAAATCCTTGCCCCGATAGAAAAATCAACTTACAGCGACACTGAATTTCCCCCATTGTGTTTTTGTTTCTTTGCAAAACCTGGACTGTTGGGAGTAAATGAATGCTGCTATAGCGATTTACTGAGTAAAGCAGTCATGGGGGACCGTGTGTCTCCCCAGATGTTGCAGGACTACAATTCCCAACATCCCAGAGCACTGGCCATGCTGGCTGGAGCTGATGAGAACTGGGGTCCAACAGTCTCTGAAGGGCTATAGGTTTACCAACCCAAGCCTAAGCACTTCAGAAAACAGGCCGCCAGTTCCCTTTCCGTCTTAGGCAAGCTGCCATAATGGCTCATAGAAAACGGTGCCTGGCTCCGGATCAATCTCAGACTCTTGTTGCCTCATGGGCCCCAGATCTAGGAAGGCACAAAAAAGACTCATGGGAATACAGGCACAAATGGAGACCAAGCTGATGAAATGTCAAGATGAACAGTTAAGCAGATATGCAAAGCGAGTATGTGTGAGGAGAAGGTAAGGTCTTTGTGAATGTGGCCTTTGGGGACCACTCCCCTGGTGTGGGGAAAGAGGTTATTGGAAGAAGGGCATAATTCTGAGGAAGAGAGAAACAATACCCTATTCCTTGGGGGACAAACAGGATATGCCTGTGAGGGTGTAGGCTCAAATTGATAATGAGAAATACAGGGGTGGGTTTGTTACGGGTGTATAGACTGCCTAGTGGTTTGCCTGCCTGGTGTGAAAGCAGCAGATGTCACACTTATCTAGATCTGGATAGGTTGACAGATAATGCTAGGGAGGAACTGGTAGCTACCAATGACATGGAGAACTGCAGAAGTGTGGTCCTAAAAGCAAAATTTAGATTGCAGAAAGCTGAAAGCCAGGATCTCCAAGACAACTGTCACTGAAATGCTACCTGTTTCGTATGTAGGGCTAATTAGATAGGCAGAGCTGATTCATGGATGAAATGGTGATGTCCGAAGGAAGGGTTTCAATTTGGATGTCACTGGGGGATGCTTTGGGACACGCTAGGCCTGTAATTTCCTGATTAAGGGAATCAGCCCTGAGTGCTCACTAGAAGGACAGATCCCGAAGCTGAGGCACCAATACTTTGGCCATCTCATGAGAAGAGAAGACTCCCTGGAAAAGACCCTGATGCTGGGAAAGATGGAGGGCACAAGGAGAAGGGGACGACAGAGGATGAGATGGCTGGACAGTGTTCTCGAAGCTACTAACATGAGCTTGACCAAACTGCAGGAGGCAGTGAAAGACAGGAGTGCCTGGCGTGCTCTGGTCCATGGGATCATGAAGAGTCTGACACAACTAAACGACTAAAGAAGAAGAAGAAGGCCTGTACAAAAAGGATTGAACTAAATGGAACCAGAGTGATGGAGCTTAACATTAAAAAACTGGCAAAGCAGCATTAAACTTAACATTCGGAGAAAGCGGGCACATTTCTAATGCTCAAAATGGATAGAGCTAGCCCATAGGCATATAGCTGGTCATGAAACCTAAGCAAAGAGGCCAAAGGGCTATAGACAGATAGATGTTTATATGCTAATGCTTAGTAGCCTCCAAGCCAAGATGGGGATAGAGTGCTTGGTTCGAAGGATGCTATAGGCACAATGGAAAAGTGATGTGGAATGGCAAGAACCATTGGGATAGTAGTGCCAGTGTTGCACTGTGCATCAGATAAGGCAAAGGTGAATTTAAGTTTCTAAAAGTGTCAAGAAAGGGTGGGGAAAATTAGAGGATGTACCATTTGTAACTTGATTTGAAGCATGCTCACTTTGACATAAATTCCAACACTCAATAGGACTTCATAGCAAATGCATGTTTTATATAATCAACAAAATTTATACATTGATTAATTGTAAATAGCTTCTAATCCACTTACAACAATATAAAATAAAACATTAAAATTAAATTAAAAAGCTAAACACATTTTCCCCTCTGTCGATTAAAATCAACACTAGCTAAAAATAAAACACATGTAATTTCTATGTTTGGATAGGCTTGCCTAAACAAAAATGTTTTAAGCAGAGATGTCAGTCAGGAGGGAATTCCAAAGTGTAAGTGCTGCTACACTAAAAGATCATTTTCTTACAAATGCAGCTGTAACAGACCCAGTTCTGCAGATCAAAGTGGCTGAGTGAGCACATTTGGGGTAAATCAATCCCACAAGTAAACTAGTCCCAAGGGTTTTATATACTAATACAACCATTACAAATCTCTAACCAGAGATGTTCAGAGATGTTATATGTGCACAGGGTCTCATTCTTGTCACAATCATGCTGTAGCATTCTGCATTAACAGCAGCTTCTGGATCAAGTGCAAAAGAAGCCCCACACAGACTATATTGCAGTGAGCAAATTTCTGAAACTCAAAAATGTGGTTGGTTGTAAGGGGGCGGGAATCAGGTAGCATTTCCCCCCCTACTTGGCATGACTATCGTGCCTATTAGACAACTTCCTGCTTATTTTACTCTGCCTATTTCCTACTCACTACATATTTTCCCATTAGTCCCAAACTTTGAAAAGTCAAGTCCAAGCTCTAAATTCAACACGAAAACCGGTTTTGGGAGGGGAGGGGTTGGGGTACTCTGCAGTGATGCATACTATATGATAAATGCAAATTTAAATAATTTAATCAGGTGATTTTGCGACTGCATCTAGTTTTGCTTACGCATTCAGTGCCAGATATTCTGAGTAAATATGCTTCCCTCTCTAAGCACACTGATTTCGGAGTTACCCTCATTGTACTGAATGGGCCTTTCTTCTAAGTAAGCATAGGTAGAGGAAGGCTACATACCTCCTTGTAGTTGAGATATATGAGTCAGGGAAATTGGCTTTGCCAGAATCATAATATAAGGCCTTGAGCAAGTCCCTTCACATTCATTTCCACTGGTAAGGAAACATAATCAAAACTAGCTCCATGTTGCAACATTGCTTTGTTGGTGTCTCAGAAGACCTTGAATGAAAGTAGCTGTGCAAAGAGGCAGTTTCAGCTGAGATAGAAAGGCATCACTTCATCATCACATCATCACATCATTTCCCCATTCTTGACAGCTTCTGAACGATCTCACATTTCTACTAAATAATAATACACCAAATTTCACCTGTTTTGTTTTTGTTTTAGCTTGAAAAGATGGTGCTAATTTATTTATCTACTAATTTTTGCAAACCAGGGATGACTTTAAGAGTTAAGCCTTAGCTCATTAGGTTCAGTCCCAGAACTATTTCTAAAGCCTAGATGAAGCCTTTTGAACGGTATTCCTTTGAACATAGTGTCCTCTGTCTTGCCACTGAGAGGCTTATAGGCAATGCCTATGTCTCTGCACCCCTTATTTACAGAGCAATACTACGCATGTTTAGGGAAGCTTTTAATGTTTAATAGATTATTGTATTTTAATATTCTGTTGGAAGCCGCCCAGAGTGGCTGGGGAAACCCAGCCAGATGGGCGGGGTTTAAATGATAAATTATTATTATTATTACTCAGTAGTGTGTCCCACAGAGTGCAGCGAGTCTTACTTCCTATTAAGTGTGATTAGGGCTGCAACCTCAGAAATCTAGTTGTGGTTTTCAACTGAGAACTAAATTAGATATGAAGCTGGATAACCACCATAAGGTTGTCCCACGTCTTTAAAAATATAATAAGAGCATAGCTGTCAGCTTTTCCCTTTGCTTGCGCGGAATCCTATTCGGAATAAGAGAATTTTCCTTAAAAAAAGGGAAACGTTGACAGCTATGAATAAGAGTCGACTGAAAAATAAATAGCCATCTACCGTATGACCCAGCCTAACTCCAGCTGCAGAATGAGATAGCAGAGTGGTAGAACAGACTGCACCACGTCCAAGTGCAGACAGATCGTGCCGATTTTTGGTGGCTCCCTTATGTAAACAAGAGCCTCCCTGCAGCAGAAAACCACCATGTCAAGGATGCAGATATCTCTTTCCTAGGCTAGATTTCTGCTTGCAGGGAGCTTGCTCGTTGCGCTTACGACAGCAACGGAAAATGTTGCCGCCCACCAGCAGCCTGAGATGGTACAGCCCATTCTACCACTTTCACTCCGCTGTCTGGAGAAAAAAAAATATTCCAATATTGCTTAAGCGCCAGATAACATCCTGACTCGCTCGCAGTTTGGGAAGAAACCCTCCGCCCGCCTCTGAGCAGCTGCCGCAACTAACTGCCCAGGAATGCCACGGCTTTTGCAGCGAGCACGTGATTGGCTCCCACCCTGCCAAGCCTGCAGCCTGCCTTGCCCACACAGCAAAGACTTCCCCCCTCCCGCCGAGTCCGCCTCCTTCCCTGCTGCGGTTGGCCGGCGCTGCTACCAATCCGCCGGGGCCGCTCGCACCTGTCATCCGCGTCGACGGCGGCGAGCCAACCGACGTGAAGCGAGCGGGCGGGCGCCGCGCTCCCATTGGACTCCGCGGCTGTCAACTCCTCGAGCGAGGGGAGGGGGCTTACATGCAAGCTCCGCCTCTTACCTTGCTCTTCTGGCAAGCAGCGCTTTCTCCATCCCCAGTCCAATTGCAATGTAAGCAGTGGCAGCGAGAGGTCGCCGTCGGGGGGCCGGGGGAGCAAGAGAAGGGGCTGGATCCCAGAAGAGGCAAGAAGCCGGGCTCAGGAGGTGGCAGGTAGGCTCCCCTCGCCCCCCTCGTGGGAGTGGATTCCTTGGGCTCAAGACCCCTTGGGCTCCTAAGGGAGGCTTTAAAGGGACAGGGCAAGGGGCTTGGCTTACGACGGAGCCACCTAGTCAGTCCTCTTCCTTGCAACGAGGACTTGTGCTTTGGTGGGGGGACCGGCAAGGAAGAATAGCTTGTTTTAGGATAATTGCTGTAGGATGGAGATAGCTAAGAAGCAGAGTCCCCATTAGGGTAGGTGGCTGCTCCCTCGTACCATTTTCTGGGCATCTGGTTTTTCTTTGGGGTGGGGAGTGTGTGTGTATATGGTTGAAGGGTACACACATACTGTAAAGATAGTGGGGTTTTAATGCGGCTTTATGGTTCAAATCTGGTGTTCTGGCAAATAGCTTTGTTTCCCTTCATGGTAAGACGCTGGGGCGATGGAATAGATTGGTAGTGTGGATTGGTGGGAAGAATAAAAAAACATAAATGTGTCTTATTAGATTATGGCTGGCTTGGACTTGACTTTCTGACTGAGCAGGCAGGGTCACGAGTGTAGAGTATTGGAGGATTGATCTAAGGATGTGGTGTATTAATAGAATGGATGAGGGTACAGCGTGTGAAGAGATACTCCGATTGTAACTTGCTGTCAGAAAGGGCTTGTGTCTGTGTGTGGATTATGAAACTAGATGGGTTACTCAGAACCCTAAATTGCATTGTAGGTGATGTGTGTCATGCCATTTCATGATAAATGAGCTGCTGCTGACTAACTCATATCTTAAACATCACTTCCTTTCCAAATTTATTCTAATACAAAAGTTGGGTTGCTTATCCAAGAATGAGTGTTTTGTATTATGCTTCCTTCACACGTGAGAGTCTTCAAACTGTAACCGGGAGCTCTTTTATGTTCTCCTGCAATAAACATTAGAAGAAATTCTAGATTTTAGGCAATGGGGCTGTCTGATGTCTCATGAGTAAAATTGTTTGGAACATACTTCAAAGGTTTAAACCTCTATATTCAAAATTGCATTGACTTCACAGTTACCCATGCAACACTGTCTGTCACTAATGTGACTGACCTTTGTGTTGCTAGCAACAACTGATGCATGGCCCTTAATAATATTTTCTTTTGGTAACTGCTGTAGTGTGTTGAGATGGCTTGCTACATATGTGGCTTTACGTGTAAATACAATACATAGGTTGCTAATGCACCTTCCACCCTGTCCCAAGCCATATGTTAGCAATTGTTTGGGAAGAAAAGGAACTAGATGGTGGGATGTGTCTGGCTTTCTTTACCCTAAAGACACAGTGAAATTATATCTTTAAAGACTGACAAACTTTAAGGTTTGAGGCTGCATTATAATGCAAGGAGAATGGAACTTGGAACCTTGCTACTCCACTCTGCTCCGCTCTGCTGCTTGCATTCTTGTGAGCTAGCTGGTGAATTAAAGCATCCTGCACACAGCAGAGGGCAGTAGTGTACATACACATTCATGCCGCTGTTGTGGATTTTATGGGTTTCCTACTTGTTGCAGGCAGAAGCTGTCAGGTTTCTGGCTTTAGGATTCAGAAATGCCATGCGTGTCCATCCTGATTGTAGAATGGCCCTGATGGTACAGCAAGCTTGCCTGACTCTGTTTCAAGGGTGTTCATTGGTTGCAGTTGCATTGGCTCACCAGCAATGAACAATGGTGTTTATCCTCTGCATGGAACACATCTGTGCGTTATGTCCTGTGACTGTCGGGTGTGAAAATCTCAGACGGAGTTTAATTCGGAAGGGGAAATTGGATAGACATGGTGGTAACAGAGGAAACATAAGGGCCTCTTCCTTTGCAGCTGTTTTTATATTGATGTGTGTTTAGGGTTTTTTTTAATTAAAAACAACAACACCGGCATATAGAAGAACAGTAAAGCTATTGATGTACACACTAATACATGGGAGGGAGGGACTTTATGAATGAAAGAGTTATTCTTTAGTTGCCTAAAAATTGTATCATGCATTTTCCACTCTTCTGTGTTTTAAGGTGAGAGCAGTGTGTTCCCTGAAGAGTCTGTAGAAGAATTTTCCGTTGCTAGCATTGGACAAGCTCACAGCATAAGCCTGTCTGGGATCTTCATGTTGCTTTAAATAAGAGCCTTCATTGCCGCATGTTGTAAGGTGAGAGATTTCCTTTCTGAGAAAAAGGGTGGTCCCTTCTCACAGCTCACTGATAGCCGGGCTGTCTTGGGAAGAGTGTGAAGAGACAGTCGGAGAGGGTGAGAAGGCCAGCCTGGAGACCTGAACCAAGCCCTTCATAATTGGCTGGAATCTCATGAAATCAAGGCAACCCTGATCTTCATTCTGGAGAAGAGGAGGAAGAATTTTTCAAGCCTTTCAACTTTCTGGGTAGCAGGAACTGCCTAGGAAACTAAACTCGGCACTTACTCTGTATTTTTGTTTGTTTTAAAGCTAGAATCCAAATTTATCTCAAACTGTTTTTAAAGACTCTAATCTATAAAGTGGTTTTGCTGAAAAATCTCTTTTCCCCATCCACTTTAAAGAGCAGCTGAATTAGTTGTTGCATTAAGACCTGAGCTTGATATCAGGATTTGAGAAGGTGATGCTCTGGAAACTTACAAACCAAAGAAACTAACAATTGCAGGCACTTTACATTTTGCACTGAGTGTGCCCCAAAGACTCTTGCCTTGAGAGAGAACTCCAGGGAAGGTTGAAGCAGAGCGGATTTGATCTCACCAGAATCTACTGCAGTGTCTCTGCTGGCTCTGTGGCTGGCGTCTCCCGTTCTGGATTGTGCTTGATGGGGGTTTTTGCTAGGGGAGCAGACCTTGCGGCTAAGGACAGAATTGTCGAACTGGAGGACTTGGAATATATATGTCGAAAGGCATATTGGCTTAACCCCCAAGCAAAAGACTTTTTCTCTGCTGGGTCCCTTCTGTAGTATATCAAGGGTTGAAGGCTGGAGACAGCCTGCATAATCTTGCAACATGACCTCCAAGCTGGAACAAAAGGAAGCTCATCACACCAATGGCGTGGTGCTACCCATTGTTGCTGGCCCTATAGACTGTCTCTCCAGTCCTGACCGAGAACATCTCGTTGAATCTTCCGAGTTTTTAGGGCCTGAAGAAGGAGGAGGTGTCGAGGTGGTAGTGATAGAATCCCGAGCCAATGCCAAAGGGGTGCGTGAGGAAGATGCTCTGCTAGAGAATGGCAGTCAAACTACAGAGAGTGATGATACCAGCACAGACCGCGGCCCAGAACCAGCCTCTCCTCTAAAAGAGACCTCCTTTTCCATTGGGCTGCAAGTCCTCTTTCCTTTCCTGCTGGCAGGGTTTGGGACAGTTGCAGCTGGGATGGTCCTGGACATTGTGCAGGTAAGACTAAAAGCCTTCAGCATGGAATGGGCTCAAAATTCTGTATCTGGACTTGTAACTTGCTTTATTGTTAGTGTCTTTTAAATCCCATGAGAGTGATTTGGTGGGAGGCAGAGGTTTTCCATTAGAAACCATTATATATTTATTCCTCTCTTTTTTTCAGGCTCATCTTCCTTAGATTTCACATGTGAGAAGTAGAATAAGCCTCCCTCTTCTGGAAGCAATTAAAGTTTAGGTGGTCAATAGCAGTGTGACCCACTCTTTCTGTTCCTGAATCTGAATGCCTTTTAATAACCCAAGACCCATCTTTTTCTTATAAATCTCAGCTTTAAAGGAACATAAACTCTAAAACCCAGCCTCTGAATTGAAAATAAACTTCTATTTCTTAGAGATGGAGAGTCAGGAATGTAAAGACATCTAGAGTTCTCCCAAAAGTTCAGACCCTAGAAAGTAAATACAGTAGTGCCAAGCCCAATACACACACCCAAAAATGTGAAGTGAACTTTTAAAAAATGCACTTTTGGTGGTGTTTACAGAACTGATTATCATATGTGTGCCTGAAGAGTTGCCAATCTGGGGAAAACTCAAAGAGCTGCAGTAAACGTTTTTAGCCGGGGGCCGAGACCTGTGATATTAATTGCTGGCAAATCCAGTCGGCTGTTATCCAGTTAAAAGACTTGTTTAGCTGAGGGATGAAAATGTGTTCAGCTTTTGCATGTGGTCTGGCTTGGCCCAAATGCAGAATCTCCTTAATATTTTTCTAAATAAATATTAGAAATGTAAGGCACAGTGGAGATATCCAATAGATATCTCTTGAAACACTAGCTGTCGTGTGGAGCTTGCCTCCTTGCTCTCAGATGACATTGCTGAGTTACTGGGATTACGGTGTCACTGGCCTCTATGCCTGCAGTACAGCTATCTGGCAGGTCATGTTAATGTTAAAGGCCGAGGCTCTGTCTCAGTAGTCTTATCTGCCTCATTTATGCAAGCCAGGTAGCACTTTGGACAGAATCCGACCCTACAGTTTCAAATTGCGGCTGCCTCCTGAAGTGACCGGGTGACCTACTATAGCTTAACATTAAACATTCAGCTAAAAAAGCTTCTACTTAAGCACCTTGGTTTTAAACACTTCGTGAAATTTCAGTATCATACCATTTCTGTGCTTTCAGGAGCTTAGAGGGAGTTGTTGTCGCTAGAAATTGAAATAAGAAAGCCAGTGTGGTATAGCTGGACCTGGAAGAGCAGGGTTTAAATCCCCACTCAGCCAGGAAACTCACTGGTAAACTTGGACCAGTCACCTACCTCACTGGGTTGTTGTGACGGGGGAAAATGAAGAGGGTTAGAGTTCTGTTAGAGTTGATGGAAAGATGGGATATTTTAAAAATTAACAGAGCATGGTGTAGCTTTGTAGCCAAATGTTCTTGCTCATCTTTTTGTGTGACAAATTAGAACTGCACCGGTCATTAAACCTAATGAGATTCATGGGGGGGGGGGGCGGTGTTAATGTTTTGTTTTATGTTGATAACTTAAAAGTCCTGCTGGAGCAGGCCAGAGGCCCATCTAGTTTAACATCCTTTCCTCACAGCGGCCACAAGCAGTCCAGAATGCATCAGCAGTTAACCCGCATGATTTTCAGCAGCTGATATTCATGAGCTTACTGCCTCTGACATTAGAGGGAGAGCAACAGCCATCATGGCTAGTTGCTGTTCTTTCTTATAATCATAGAACTGTAGTGTTGGAAGAGACCCTGAGGATCATCTCGTCCAACCCCCTGCAATGCAGGAATAAGCAGCTGTCCCATACAGGGATCAAACCTGCAACCTTGGTTATCAGCGCCACACTCTTTGTTGATAGCCGTTTATGTACTGCCTAAGTGTAGCTGGAGTGTACTTCTCAAGATGGAGCTGTGTAAATCTAAAACTCAGACTTGGTCATTATTATACAATATCCTGGGTGTTTGATTTCATTGGCAGCAGATGCAGTTTGGGTTGGGGAAGGGGCTCAGTCATGGCATAAATGCGCAAACTAATCAGGATTTCATTTTTTTCTCATGCAGCAGCAATATATACCTTCTAGTTTTTCAGTGTGTAGGGTGTTAGGCCTGTCTTTTACTATCTATATGATAACAACTTCACGTGATATGTTTTTATGCAAGTTTTCATGCTGCTTGGATCATCATGAAAATATAATTCATAAGTGAGTGTGTGCATGAAATTAATACCCTACCAGCCTCAGCTTGGAGGACTTCCAGATCCAGTTGATGGAATCTTTGGAAGAGTCCCAATACTGAGCCCAGATTGAGAAATCACATCCCTACCAAAGTGAATGTTAAAATTAATCCTAAGTCAATTTTGTTGGAATAGGTGCTAACTGATAAGATACAAGCTAGTGGGCATCTTACCTGTTAGCAAGTCAGCATTGTACTAGTTACCTTTTCTTCCAGTGTGATTTCTTGGGAAAACGTTCTATATTGGACGTGATTCATTCTTTTCCGGCGCTATGTAAGCTTCTCATTGGGAGTGGAGCAGTATATAGTGTGAAGTTGTCTTGCTCAGAAATAAGCATCTCTAAATGACTGTCATGCTTTAGAAGGTTGCATGCATCTGTGTTACATGGGAACTAGTATAATACCAATATTCCAGCCTTCCTGCTCACAATGGAATTATACAAAAGCAAAATCTTAGGACGATGTCCTAAGAATTTTTTTTAAAAGAGACTAATCTGCTTATATTGGCCACCTTTCTTTGAAAGTCAAAGCTGTTAATACCTTCAGGCTTGGTTCATTCCCACTGGTATTTGGAAAGCACTCCCAGATTGTTCATAGCTCAGTGGGAAATTTGAACAACCACCAACTTTTTTTTGCAGAAATAAGTAGGTCTTGAAAGTTAACAGCAGGAGCCTGTTGGCATCTCCCTAAATGTCAGTGTTGTCAAGTCTTACTCATGGAACCAGTCAATGTAATTTGTTTTTCCTTTGGGTGGCTCTTTTCCTTTGTGGTCTTTTTGAGTCTCTTGGTTCCCCAGCAGTTTGACACCCACACTTTTATTTCTCACCCCCACCTGCAAAAACACATCTTCTTCTCTGGATCACTGAGATGCAGCTCTGTGGGGTTGGCTTGCCACCTCTTCCTTTGTTTTCATGAATCTTGAGTTGTGAAGACCTTTTTCTGGGTTAGGGATGAAATAGTTTGCTGTCTGTTGCCTTGCTCCCAGAATTGTTCCCTTGTTGTCGTTTAGTCGTGTCCGACTCTTTGTGACCCCATGGACCAGAGCATGCCTGCTGTGAGCAAATATCTAACCCAGGAGTAGCCCCAGTCAGCATGGCCAACAGTGTGGGGTGATGGGAGTTGCGGTTGAACATCATTTGGAGGTTGGCTACCCTGTTCTTGGAGCAAGCTGTTCATTCTTTCTCTTTGAGGCTTTCAAGGAACAATTAGATAAGTCTATATCCTGGTGCAGCACTGTGTGCACTTGTTTCTTGAAACCACAGTTCCCGGAGTTATGTCATGAAACTATTGTACGCACAATTGCCTAGGGGTGGATTGTCACTGGCAGAGCATAGCAGTTCGGACTCTTTGGAGCCAGTGAGCAACTGTCTTTCTGCAAGTGATCAATTTTCCCCTTGCCCTTTTTAAAGGCCTCCAGGCATGCCTTGATACTGAACAAAGGACTGGGCTGCTGAAGAGGTGAGGGGAAAGTGAGAATTAAAATGGATGCGTATTTATACTGCTTGTTTGATCTTCAGTCTTAACAAGGGAGGATAAGAATAGTCACTATTCTACAGTAAAATGGTACACAGTGAGACGTGAAGGTGCAGAGGGCCAGGTCTGAAGAATGGGGGTGGGTGTTTTGTCCCCATTTCCCATTTGCTTTTGTTTTGCTTTCACATTTCCTTGTCTGCTAGCAAATGGCACAATAGCCAAACAACTTTCCAAGGTAACAAGTGGCAGTGGTAAAGTGTCACATGAGCTGTCTGTCAAATATACTCACTTTTCCCCACTTTCCCCCCATATTCCAATTTAACATACCTTTTATACAGAGGCCATGTGCTGAAACTTTTATGTGGAATTTGGGGCATGGGGTTTGAGCTAGCTGCTTTGATCCCTAAACAGGACCAACCTTTTACCAGCTGGGATAGCTCAGTTGGTAGAGCATGAGACTTTTCATCTCAGGGTTGTGAGTTCTAGCCCCACATTGGACAAAAGATTCCTCCATTGCAGGGGATTGAACGAGGTGATCCTTGGGGTCGCTTCCAACTCTACAATTCCAGTTTAGTTGATACGTATCATGCATGTGCAAAATGACCTTTTTCAAAAAAAAGATTGGACAGGGGAAAGGATCACTGGAAAGCTTATTAGGTTCGTATGGGAGAAGATGGTATTCTACATACTCAGGTCATTTAAAGATCACTTTGAATTGGACATAGAAGGCAATGAAGATGTTTTAATGCTGGGGAATATGGTCATGGTGTTGTCTTGGTGAACAGTCTATCATATTCTGCACCTCTTTTTGATATTTTCCAAAGGCACTCTTCACATAGTGTCTTAGAGCAGTTTAACCTAAATATAGTAGCGCATCAATAGTTGTCACCCATCCATCTGTCTCAGAAGAGATTCAGCTGGCATGCTATTCATAACTGGTGAAAGGTATTGTGATCTCCAGGTGCCCTTGATAAATCCTTCAGCAATGTTGGATCCGAAAGCAACCCTCTAGTGAACCTGATCTTTGTGAGGGGGATGCAGGCTCATCCAGAACATGTCAGATACCAATTCCATAGTCTGATAAAACGTCTGGAGCTGTGTGCGATGACGGAAGGTGTTGAGGGTGTTGTCATCTGCTTATTCTACCATTTGGCAGCATGTTGGCGCTTGGAGGCTTCCACCCTGCCACGTTTGGAATAAATAAACACTGTCATTTGTTTATCAGATGTGCGATGCTAATGAAAGACTAAACATGCAAAGGCTTCAGGCGCAGCTGCTGTTCTTTTGAACCTGACCCTGTCCTCTTAAACTGCAAATGTGCCCTCTAATAATCCGAGTCAGGAGGCTCATTTCTTGCATTTAACATGGTTTCTCCTGGACAGCGAGGATTTCTACTGGAGGTGTCAAACTCATGTAGGGTTCTTCTTTTTCTTTTTTTGCTTCTGCCATTCATGGTGCCTTGATAAATATGAGATCAGCATCTAATCTGTGCTTTGTTACATCCTTCTTCCCAACCTTATCATCCGTCTGTGGTCAGGCATTTTACAAGCAAACACCTGACACCCCCCCCCCAAAAAAGCAGCTCAGGAAGATTACACTTCAAAATTAAAGCTTAAATAGCTTTCTTATCCCTTGCCCAAATATAAAGGTCTTGCATTGTTTCCAGAAAACACTCTGGCTAAAGCCACTCTGGAAGAGGAATGGCATTCCAGAATGTGTGAGTTTCCACCAAGGATGCTTGTTTATATTAATTATCCACTCTCAGCACTCATACAGCCTGATCCTATGAATGGTTACTGACTCCTACTGAACTCCTCACTTGTTTGTGCATAGGATTTCAGTCTTGGGGTGTTATTTGCCTGACTAACAGGGATGTTCTTCTGAGAAGCTTTCATAGTGCACTCCCATATCGATCCTGTGTTTGACAGTAGCCCATGACCAGTCATACAAAACTGCTTCTTTTATTTGCATCCCAACCTTCTTTCAAGGAGCTCAGAATGGTGAGCTTGGTGGGCCCACATGGTGTTTCCAAGCATATCCTTCCCTCTGTCAAAACTCACCAGACTCTGACCTGCTTTGCAGATCTCCTTTCTCTGTGGCCTGGTCCCAGCTGTTTACATCAAGATTCTACTTATCTAATTGGCAAGGGCTACAAAGTTGAACTGCCATCCGATGACTGTAATTTTCTTTCTGCACTGCTTATAATGATTACTCATGGGAACTCGGCTGTAATAATGCGTTGCCTGAAGCAGAATAAATGCCACTCATTTTTCCTTTCTTCCCTCCTTCATCCAAATATCAGTGCTTAAGGACAGGAGTGAAACCTTCCATTCTTGGACTTCAAAAGGTGGCATTAGTATGCTAGAAGACAATCTGGAAGACAGCGTAGAACTTCATTTGATCTTTAGATACTGAAGTTGCCAGGTGCTGTTGCATCTTAGGGGGTGGAACTTGAACTTCTGTGAATGGAAAGTGCTGAGAGCCAACCTTTGACTATACTCTGGGTGATAGCAGGGTAGTGAGACGGTATTTGACAAGTATGTTTTGGAGAGCAGCAGTAGACCCATTCCCTTTCACAGCTAATATGACTGATGTGACACTACAGCCCTTTGAATTTCAGTTTGCTTTAACTTCCCAAGCAGATAGTTTCAGGGCAGGCAGCTGCAACCTCGTAAGCCTCCCCTGGTGCTCCTACTGAGGGATTTTGTAGGTCCGGTCATTATATTAGAACCACACCTACTGCTCTGTTACAGCCCCCACACCCAGTCTCTAACAAACCCTGGCTACAAATTGCGGTGAAGGAGAAGAGACCTTAACCACAGTTCTGGGTTCAAATGACTTTCCAAGCCAAACCTTGGGTCAGTATCTGTACTGTGCATAGGAACTAAAAGGGTAATCTCTAAATTTAGCAATCTCTAATTATATATATTTTCTCGGATCTGTGAAATGTGTTCTAAGAACACATTGCACCCTTGTGAAGCTTAGAGTTCCAGAGTTCTAACGGAAAAAGCTAAAGGCAGAGTTGTTCAGAAAGTGGATCTTTTGAAGCCTGCAGCTTTTAAGTGCTGCGTAGAAACCCATCTGGCGCAGGATATGCTTGGATGGGTAAAAGATTCTAGGCTAGCAGGGGAGATGCTTTCACAGTAATGGATGTGAGATAATTGCAAACTTTTTCATCTGGCTAGCAACATGAAAGTACCAGCAAAGCAAACTCTTTTTTTCCTTTTGGCTATGCGGGGATTTATACAGGATGCCTTGGACTCCCATTGCAATACAAGGGAAACATCTTGCATCTAATTTTTGTTTTTTTTGGGGGGGGGCATTAATTGTGCTATCTATCTTATGCCTGCTGGCTGAGATGTCTTCACATTGGAAATTTTAGGAGATCTCTTCCCCTTACATAAGAGGCTTAATGTTAGAGGCGCCCTTTTTAGCGCTTTGATATCTCTTACCAAGAGACACTCTCTACTTGCAGCAATATTTACCCTCTGCAGGAGCCAGTAATATCCTGATCATGGTTCTAAATACGCCAGTAGGTTTGGCCTTGCGTGTATTAAAAGGGAGTTGGCGTAAGTGAAGGCTCTTGTTTCCCTTCCTTGGAAAGAGCTTCTTCTCCCTTAGGGAACATCCCTACTTGGATTGTATTCCCGCTGGATCCAGTTACAACTCCTAGCGGATCCTTTGCCTGCTCCAGCTTGAAGTGCAGGCACCAAGGAACCTGTCAGGAATATTAGAGAAAAATAACTTGATATTGTGATCCCAAAAGTCTCTGCTCCGATGCCTAATTCATCATTTTACTTAGTTTGACATGTTTTGAAAATGCTTCCTGCCTAAATTGCTTGTTCTTAAGCTTTGCTTCGTGGTTGAACTGTAGCCTACGAGCTGTGGAAAAACCGAGAGAGTGAAAATGAGTTACATTCACTCTCATATTAAGTTTCATACAGCTAACTTTTTCTGCCTGGAAAGAAACTCTCTGCATTATTATTTTTATCTCTGAACTCTTAGCTCATTGTTTTCTAATCAGTGTCTGTCACGGAATCACAGAACTATAGAGTTGGAAAGGGGACAGAGGGTCATCTAGTCCAACCCCCTGCAATGCAGGACCCTAACACAATTTGATATGAGTTCACTTACTTTATTCCAATCTCCAGAAAAGTAAAGCAAGACCTTTAAGGGGTTTATGAGTAAGGAATTTGGTTCGACTTGTATTGTTAATGCCACTTAACGTGATGCAGTGAACATACAGTGAAACTACCTTTGGTGCATCAAAGCAGTTACCTTGGGGGGGGTTATGGGTAGAAAACTCAAACATAACCTAAATTCATAGGATTGTACAGTCTGAAGGGGTCCTGAGGGTCATCTAGTCCAACCCCCTGCACCGCAGGAATCTTGCCCAGCTTTTGAAATGCATTTGTACTTAAACACATTGAATAGTAGTATTGGTATATGCTATCTTACCATACCTTGCTGGTTGTTTAACAATAAATTCTTAGAACGGCATTAATTCTTATAAAGATCTTTCTCCCAAATAACCTGAGTAATATTTTAATGTCCATATAACGGTAATAGCGGGCAGGATCCACAGTTGTGTGTTCCTTTATGGATAATTCTCACATTTAGCTGAATGGTTAAGAGATTTCTCATTTGCAGTGTCTTTTATATTAGACTAATTCTCTATCTACCATGTCAAATGTGTATATGAAACCCTATTGGCACCACGGTTGAGTTCTCCTCCCAATGCATAGCAAAGAGTTCCCTGAAGACTGTAGAAGGGGAAGAAAGCATTGCATTCTCTGTCTGTGCCTCCTGTGATCTCAATCATTAGCAGCCCATCACAGCAGCTGATGCGGGTTTTGAAAACCTGTACATCAAATTAATTTAATGCTTCACCTACTTTGACCCTGTGAGCAAAGAAGCTGTTAAGAAGGAGGTTTTGCAAAGGAGAGGCGCTTTCTTTTAAAGGCTGCCAAATACTGCCTTTTCCTCCTCTTTCCTAACACTTGTGGACATCTAATGTTGGAAGATTCCAAACAGGTAAAAGAAAGTACTTTTCACACAGCGCAAGAGACCCACAGGAGACCATCTTGGAGGACTTAAAAAGTCTACTAGACAAATTCAGAGGGCTCAGAGAGGGCTATCGATGACTACTAGCCATGATGACAATACTCAGGCTCTGCCTCCACAGTCAGGGGCCCCAGTAATGCTTCTGAATACCAGCTACTAGGAACCACAGGAGGGAAGAGGACTCTTGTGCTCGGATCCTGTGTGTGATTTCCCACAGACATATATGAGAACAGGATGCTGAGCTAGATGGGCCATTGGCCTGATCCGGTGCAGTTCTTCTCATGTTCTTAATTTAGACAATCCTGGGGATTGTCCTTAACCTTAAGTGTTCCTCAGCCTCAAATCCACCCTCACTCCACAAAGTGAATATTGATAATTAGTGACTGGTTTCATGTACACAGAGTTTGGGGAACATCCAGTGAAGGAGCAGGCGCTCGCTATAGCCGTCTTGCACAGCTGCCTGCCAGTCACTCCTAAAAATAATCATTGAGGAAAATGGAGCTGCTTGGCTCCCGCTCACGACCTTAAAGGCGAAAAGCACCCTGAAGCACTATTGTGGTTAAAGGAATATTTTTAGAGGCCCTTACTTTAGGCTGCAATCCTAGCCACACTTATTCGGGAGTAAGCCCCAATAGGGTTTACTTCTGCGGTTAACCACTACTTTCTGTAAGTACCCCAGTTTTTCCTCCCCATATTCATGTAGGATTTATGCTTAATCTGTTACATTCTGAGAGCACAGTCAAGGCAGTTCCCACGTCTTACTGTATCTTCAGTTTTCCTTTCAGGCTAGGATTCATGTGTACCATATAACCATTACTGTTCAGTTTTTGTGAGACAAACCAATTGCAATGTTAGATGTCTCTACCTTTTCAGGGGTATTTTGGGCAGGCTGTGTCATGTTTATAGGGAGGGACTGTAACTTAGTGGTTCAAGTCCTTAGCATCACCAGTTCAAAAGGCACTGCCTGACACCTTGATTTGAACAGTTGCTGGCAGCCAGAGTAGACAAGGCTGAGCTAAATAAAACCAAAGGTTTGTACAAGGTGTAAGGCAGCTGCCTATGCCTGAGCAGGCAATAGGGTGCGCCCACTCCTTGAGGTGCCTACCCTAGACTGTATGAGCTATAATAACCACTGCCCATTTGCAAATGTCCCAATCTTGGGTAAGGTGATGGAGAAGGTGGTGTCCAAGCAGTTGCAGGAGTTCCTGGATGATATAAATTCCTGGATCTTTTTCAATCCGGATCCAGGTGTGGTTATGGACTGAATCAGCCTTGGTTGCCCTGATGGATGATCTGTATCAAGAGTAGAGCCAGGTAGATAGGAACTTGGCTTCTTCATAAACAACAGTTTTGGATACCATTGTCCCTAATGCTAATTAACTTCTATATCTACCAGGATCTGCGTATTTAGTGGTGGGGGTCCAATTCTATGGAACTCCCTTCCAGTTAGGAACAGATAGGCCCCTTCCCTGTTGAATTTTCAGCATCTACTGAAGACCAGCAGGCATTTTAACTGAAGTCTGATTCTATAGTTTTAACTGATTTTCTGTATTGCTTTCTTGTACGGAGCTTAGAAGCGTTTGTAGTTAATCAATATAAAATTGATTAAATAAATACACCTTTGGCACAATATGGCCAAACTATAATACTAGGGCTCTATATTCACTACAAACCTTAAGAAGAACCTTGCTGGAGGAAAGTAAAAGGTCATTTTAAGATTTCCCCCCAAGCCTTTATTTCTTTCCTGTGGTCAGTTTTCCCTCCCCAAAGCATCCCAGATGCTGCATATAGAGTCTGCGCTATGTAATTAGCACTGCCTAAGAAACCTATGTTTGCCCTTTATGCAGCGTGTTCAGGTTTATACTGGAAGGGACAGGATATTTAAAGCTTTGAGGATGGGAAGAGAGCAGACTTGTTTTTGTTGCCTCCTCTTTACCTCCGCCTCTGTTTCTGTTTTGCGTGTTTTAATCGGGAAGGGAAGTGGTAATCCAGGGCCTTGAAGGAGATGGCCTTGTGACAGACACTCGTCTGGGAATCTGAACCAAGAGTCTGATCCCCAGCTGTACCAGGCACATCCCGAGTCCTGAATGACCTCAGATTCTGTGATCCAGACTAAGGAGGCAAATAGGTGATTGTTCACCCCTAAGCAAAACAGCATCCTGCTGTCCTCGGCCTTTGTTGCATTTATCAAGGCTTGCCATCTGTCTTTTATCAGTCACAAAATTCCTGTGCATGGCAAAGGAGAGGCCACAGTGTGCTCAGTCTGTGTACACAACTCCTGTTTACTCTGCATTCATTGCACGTCAACCACTGGTTTGTGAAGCCGTGTACATATGATGATTGCTGCAAGCTACATCTATCCTGTAGTTCCTTGAGAAATGCTGCATTTGGGTGTGTCCCCCTCCCCCCAATTTGCTTCAATTCTAATTTTAAAATGTATGACATATGACTACACCAGCGCCCCCTCTCCGGCCACTGGTGTAGACACACAAAGGGAAACCCAGAAACACATGCAACTGTGCAACAACCTACAAAGGTGCTTTGAAAAACATGGTGTGTAGGTGGGGGGACGACCTTGTGTTTTAAGCCAGTCATGTGTACACAAGCTTAGTTTCTGCCTTTATTGCCTAGCTGTTGCCCTGTGCATTTAAATAATATTACATTTTCTTCCCCTCCTGAGCTGAAACCACCCTTATGGCAGGAAGACAACGGTAACAGCGAGGTTAGTAGCTAGTCTGCTGCTGCTTGAACTCTGAAGACATCCTAATACGCTGTTAGAGAATCGTAAGGTTCCTAATAACCCATCTCAATAAATAACTGCTTCTTTTTAAACAATCGCCTTTTTCTAGACTCTGAACTGATTTCCTTGATTTTTGCAGCACTGGGATGTCTTCAAGTATGTGACCGAAGTATTCATCCTGGTTCCAGCACTCCTGGGACTGAAGGGAAACTTGGAGATGACACTAGCATCTCGGCTCTCTACAGCTGTGAGTATTTCGGTCTTATGCCTGTCAGGCAGGTACCTTTATATCTGCCCCCCCGCCCCCCAGCTGCCCTACATATACCTTGAAGAGGGGTTGACTTAAAGGGACTTCCCCCCCTTGAGTCCTTGAAATGAACTCTAGCCAATGTATACCTTTCAGGCAAACAATGAGGACTAGGAACATGCTTAATCTCTTCAGATGGAGATATTTTGGACAGGGAGCTGGATGTTTCTGAACATAGAGATGGCCAGCTCATAAAGGTTAGACTACATTGGGACATGTGTGTGAAGTTAGCCACGGTTGGCACTTTGATTAGTTCAGCATCACAATCTCTAAAAACACTGCTGCCCAAGCCACAGCATTGCTTTTCCCTTTGCCCTGTAGCATAACCAGGTGCTCCTTGATTCAAGTAGTGAGCACAAAGGCTGCTTTCGTGTGCCTATAGAAAAACAACAAAGTCTAAATGTAGCCAACCTCTATTCCAGACATGCGCTGTCTCTAGGTGTGGAGACACCAAGGAATGAATGAAAGTGCATCTCCCCCATTCTTCTGTGCCTCCTGAAAATCTGTTTTGGGACCTTGGGAGTGGTGTGGGCTATGATCTGGGGGACCACAAGTAGAGGAGTGAGTTGTTGGAAATCACTGCCCTTGTCCGAATGGAAGAATGACTTCGATCCATGCCTCTGCTCATTTTTCTCTCTTCTTCCTCCGCCAACAACAAGCTGCCCCAAGCAAGTTGCGTTTTGATGGATTCATGAGGGTTGTTGGAAAGCAACCAAGGAACAGCCAGTCTCATCCTTTATAGAGGGGAAGCTGGAAGGCTTTTCCCTAATCAGGCCGCTATGATCCTCCTAGATTTAGATTCTGAGACCACTGTTGTGCTCACTTGGTTGTTTGCTGAGGATAGCGCAGCTCATTGATTTCTTGCATGAGTGCAACCTAAACAACTCCTAGCTCCTGACTCTCAATTTGTATTTCTAGAATGTTCTGAGACACTTGGAAAACATGTGCTTTAGAGGAAGTACCCCAGAGAGTATCCCTGCACTCCAGTATAAGTGCAGAGGTGCAAAGAAATAAACAAGTTCATTGGTATCTCAAATTGTACAGCCTAAGTGTTCAGAAATAGTGACCTTCTCTCTCTTCTGAGATATGGCTGGTGCCTATTCCTTTTAAGCTTCTGACACCAACTGAAGACCTAGATATTTACCCAGGCTTTTGGCGAGTTCCAGTGTTGATGTTTGTCTTTAGTTCTGGTTGTAAATTATTTGCCTTGTTTTTATGTATTTGAAACTGTTTTAGTTGTAACCCCACTCTGGAACGTATTTGTAAGGGGGGGAAATAAGTAAGTTTTAAGTAAAAAAAAAATTTTTTTTTTAATCCTCTTACTGTGCTTGAACTGGGGTGCTTAAATGTCACAGTTTGTTGTGGATTCAGGGTGCTGCTCATGTTACAAGTTTTGCACAACATCCGTACAATGCCATCCTCATCCGAATGTCATCCTTTGTTTTCTCATTTAATCTATTTTTACAGTTTCTGTGAAAACAACAATGCAGACATAGTAAATTGGGATTAAATTGGGAATATTGGATAGCATTTTGATAAGGGAGATGTTGTGTGAATATTGTGGGAAAAATATTGCATGCATGAACACCACCAAGTCCACAATAAATTGTCATATTGAAGCACGCTTGATCTTGGAGTCACTGAAATCCTACTTATTTTTCTGATTGATATCAAAATCCATTAGCAGTAGATATCACATCTCAGGCAAAGAGGCCCAAATAGCTGTTGACTTCATGTTTGATATTTCTTTGACTTGCTGGGCCTTCCCCCTCATGGAAGTACATAAACCGTGTTTATGGAAGACAATCTTACTCGGCTACGAGTAATCGCCGAAGGAGGAGGAGGAGGAAGTACAGAAGCAATTATTTCAGTACAAAAAGCAGCCTGTCCTTGGCTTAATATTTCACTATATCTGCTTCATTAGTACAATAAGGATGATCCTCAGTGTAAACATCCTGCTCCTGGCCTTCATGATGCAAAGGAACACAAAAGCTGGTCTGATTTGCACAGAAATGTTGCCAAAAATCTAACCTTTGGGAATAGATTCTGGGGCGAGATGCTGCATTGCTGGGTGTGTCTTGGTTTGTGGATTAAATCTGTTTTCTTATATTCAGATACCCTTGAAAATTCCTTTGTTGAACAAGTGTGCTTGAAATATAGGTTAGGGAGATACCAAGAGGGGAAACAATGAGTTCCTGTATCCGTGCAACTCATGGTGGGGTCCTTGCAGCAGGAGAGCATTTGTTGAGAGGGATTTGTACTGGAGAACTGGCAGGAGTGAAACACTCTTTCCCTGTGCGCCTGCTTATTCTCTCCCCCACCATCCCCCTCTGCCAACAGTTCCCCCTGTTAGCAAATACAGGCTTGGAACCAAACACTTGCCCTGCTAGTCCAGTTTGGCTCTTGGAAAAGAAGCCTGTGATTGAGGATGCACTGCCTAAAATGATGTGGGTTCTGCAGTATTTGCTTGAATCTCCATGTCTCCATGCTCTTGGAGATCCAAGTGGTAGCCCACCCCCCTGTAATGTAGAGAGAAGTACAAGAGAGTTGCGAGAGGTTAGGGCAATGCTTTGTGAGCCTAACTTAACCATCTGGCCCATTTCTGCCACCATTTCTGCTGGCTATTGGAACATCTAAACATTGATGCATCATTTGCTTAGCCTACAGTCTTTCTGTATATTTTCGCCAGCTAAAACAGTTAAGTTGCATACTGACATTCTGTCCCCGTTCAATGATTTTGAGTGATTCCCGACGTCTGCTTGGCCCTTCTCCACCCAGTTCTTCATGAAAGGAGGCAAGCTGATTGTTCCCACTGTACAGAAAGGGCAAAAAGAGGCAAAGGCATACTTTGTCCAGAGTTGGAATGGATCCCATATCTTGGCATAGGCATGCTGTCCATTTGTCAGTGGGAGGTGTTCTTCTCCCCACACCCCAAAGAATGTGAGCAGGACAAAAGGCTTTTTCATCCTAGCTGCGTTGCTGCATGGAGACTCCTTGAAACAATGCTTGTTGCAGTCTGGTGCTTAGACACCTTCATGGTGCAAGCTCAGCATTGGACAGGCTGCCATTTGCTTCATTCCCTTGCCAATGCTGAAGTAGGCAACAAGACCACCAAATGAGAGTGCTTACCATAATGGTATCCTGCCCCGCCAATATGGAAGAGGCATGAGTCTGCTGCACCATGAGTTATGCCAGGCACCTTGTGCAAGCATCCTCCTCTGTTTCTTGGCTTTTCCTAATCAATCTTGGATGCACTGATTTCAACTTGCACCAAGCACCTACCTCTTGATCGGCTGCATGGTGGAACAAACTCCTTTTCAGCCTTTTCTGCACAGCTGTAAGGAACAATGCAGAGACCAATGTCTGCTATTGCTTCCCTGAGTTACCTGGCCCCTGCTCCATTCATTCTTGTATAAGCGGCTTTAAAGGCTTGGTCAGATTGTCCTGTGAGCATTGAAATCACTGAAACCTTGGGCATAGTTGCATGCTGCTTTAATGGTGTCACTTGAAGTGACATCAGTGTGTTTAAAGAATTGCGACCAAATGCAGGGGGCTTGATCCACACTGGGACCACAATTTGTGGAGAGAGGAGGCTTAACACTGGCCTATTACTGCCCGCCCCCCGACATAATGGTAATAGCAAAGCAATGGAAGTATTATTATTTGACTATTCCAATTTGCTGCACAGGTCACCCCGCTGTGCTACTGATGCTCCTACTCACTACTGTAGTGGTTTTTTTGGGGGGTGGGGTCAAGGTGAGAGATGGAAGAAAGAAACTTCCCTCTCCCTATTCACACTGATCCTGATCCGCCTTGGGGGGCCCTGTGCTTGTTTTTAATTTAAAACAATGGCACTGGTGTATCACTTAGAACAGTGCAATTATAGCAACATGTAGTTGACCCCTATCTGTCTTCCAGTGATGGAGAGAACTGCCATGTAGCTGGGGCAAGAGTAGAGATGCAGTAAGGTTTTGCCTTCAGTGTGTATCTCTCCTTCCCAGGAGCTGTTGATTTTCAGTGTATCTATTTCTGTGGGTGCCTTGGAATATCTCCTTAATGCCATGGCCCAGATGTGAAGTAAGGCTGCATAACCTATCGTCTCATGAGGCTGAAGGTATTCCAATCACTCACCTGGGGACCATTTTCAAAATCTGAGGGTGTGAGGGAACAAAGGAACTTGACAGAAAGTACATCTCCCAGAATAATGCAGTAATTAAACAGCTGCTGGAAAGTGATTATTCTACGGCCTTCATCCTGCCACCACCGCCTTCCTCGGTCTCCCCACCCACCCTGAAAAAGTATCTGGTTACCCTGAATCCTCCACAAATGCAGGTTTAGGCTTGAGTTTGACACATCTCCCATAAACTCGCCAACACTCTCTGTCATGACCTTGACTTGGGCACTATTTTCTTTCTCTAAATAGTTCTTGCTCTGAGCTGTGCTTCCTAGGACTTGAGCTGCAGTCATACCACTTAAGCTTCTGCTACATTCCAGCAGAGCTTAGTGGCACTGGCAGCAAAAGAGTCCTGGCAGGGAAATGAGACTCCCTCTTGCTGGGTAGAAAGCTTTTTACTGTTTCCCACCCTCCTCTTGTCACTCTGGCAAGTCCTTGGATGTAGGGAGCAGAATTGCTTAATAGCATTTGCCGCCCGTCAGGTGGCTGCAGAACCTCAACCAGTGTGCCAGTGTGCCAGCCAGTGTGGTGTAGTGGTTAAGAGCGGTACTCTCGTAATCTGGGGAACTGGGTTCGCGTCTCCGCTCCTCCACATGCAGCTGCTGGGTGACCTTGGGCTAGTCATACTTCTTTGAAGTCTCTCAGCCCCACTCACCTCACAGAGTGTTTGTTGTGGGGGAGGAAGGGAAAGGCGAATGTTAGCCGCTTTGAGGCTCCTTAGGGTAGTGATAAAGCGGGATATCAAATCCAAACTCCTCCTCCTCAACGTTCCTGGGGCAAAGCATAGTATTGGGGCCCTTCTCCTGCATACACTTTGAATGCTATCAGTAGATGACATAGTATATTTAACAGCATAATATTGACATAATGCATTCTGTGGCTTAGTCTGCAGTTGGATTGTGAATGCCAGTTCACTAAGTAGGCAAAGCTTGCTGTGAGTGGAGTTAATGCGTCTCCTTCACATTCATAGCTGCTGTTTGTCCTAGTTCGACCTTACTCCTTTAAGGAAGCATTCCAGCTTACCTTCATTGAATTTTGGAAATAGAATTATAACATTGGAAGGGACCCCAAGGGCAATCTTTTCCAATCCTCTTCAATGCGGGAATCACAGCTAAAGAATCCTGACAGGTGGCCAGCCAACCTCTGTTTAAAAACCTCCAGTGAAGGCGAGCCCTCCACCTTTGAGGTAGGTCTGTTCCACTGTCAAGCAGTTCTTACTGTCAGAGAGTTCTTCCTTATGTTTGGTTGGAATTTCCTACCTTGTAATTTGAATCCAATCGTTTGGGTCCGACCCTCTGGATCAGCAGAAAACAAGCTTGCTCCATCTTTTTTTATGTCTGCAGCCCCTCTCAGTCTCCTTTTCTCCAGTCTAAACATGCCTAACTCTCTCCTAAGGCTTGATTTCCAATAGGCTTCTTATATTTGACTCTACAAAAGAACCATAAGAGGAGCCTACTGTGACAGGTCAATGGCCCCTCTAGCCCTCCATCCTATTATCACAGTGGCCAGTGGGATGCCCATGGGAAACCAACAAGCGACTCCTCCATGCAAAGAGGTGGGGGAACGTTCTTTCATATGTGGTGGACTTGTAAAAGGGTAAAAGAGTATTGGGAAACGATCCATAATAAATTGGGGGAAAATGTTTAAAAGTACTCCCCCCCCCCAAAAAAAAACCCCAGAGTCTTTCTGTTGGGGATAATTCAGACTGAAATTCCCAGGTATCAAAAAATGGTTATTTATGTGTGCTACTACTCCGGCCTGTGTTTTGTTAGCCCAAAAATGGAAAACGAACAAGGTCCCAACCAAAAAAGAATGGCAACTTAAGCTGACAGAATATGCACAATTTGCAGACTTAACATAGAGAATAAGAGAACAAGAAGAACATACGTTTAAAGAAGATTGGAAAACGTTTATTGAATATATGGGAAATAACTGTGTACAGCTGAAAACGCTGGCAGCGTTAAGATAAATTCAACAGTGTAAATAAGTTTTGATGGATGCAATAATGGAATACTAAATGGTATAGTTTTTGTAAAATATGGAGGGATTTATGATATGTCAAATAAATCATGGAAGGAGAAGAAGGGAAGTCATTGATATCTTAAGGATGTAAAATGAGTATTCTAAATTGTAAAACAGAAAATTTAATAAAAATCAGAGAGAGAGAGATGAAATCAGCATGCGGGAAGCCTGTGTATATTGATAGAGGGCGGGAAAGCCAGTGACATTGTTGCGTGTTCCAATCAACATCTGGATATGGCTTTTCCCCACGCTGAAAACCTGGCATGTGTAGCAGCCCGAGAACATCTATGTGAAGAGGAGCTGGTGCTTGTACAGAGATCCCTGGATGCCACTTTGCAAACCATTCCCTTAGCAGGATTGCATTGAGGGGGATGAGATGCAAGCCTTTCTAAAACAAGGTTGCAGGACAGTGCTAGAGGTAGAAAACAGCTCCACTACAGTACTTGTTGGGCTGTTTGTTAAAGATAAACTTTTATTTCTTGAAGGCTGCAGTTGAGTTCATATGTGTTGAAATCACATGGACTCCTTTCTCAAGGAAAAGGATCCACAGGGGGCCCACCTGCAGTGGGAAGAAATCAGGAGAGGCTTCTTGAAGGAGGTCTTCCGGGGGCTTGGTCATTAGGCTTGCTGTGTGGGAAGGAAGCTTAGTACAGCTTCTCATTAGCTGCGCATTAAGACTCCCAAAATAGGGTTTTGTTTTTTTGCCATTTAATATTTTTTCTCTCTCTCTCCTGCACAGGGGATTAAAATTTGTGTTTGCCTACAGCCAGGTTATGCTGATACCCTAACCTAATTGCACGAGAACAAGGAGTCTCTGGGCCAAATTCACAACAAAAGTAGCAGCAATTTTAGCACTGCATGACTTGGATCCCACTCTTCTTGGTGGAATGTGTCTAATTTAGGGCTGCTTTAAGCCTCTTTTGTTTGCTGGACATTCCATTGCTGATGGCAGTTTTTCTTTCTGCGTGTGCTGGTGAAAAGGGGCTTGAAGGGAAAATTTATGGACCGAATGTAAGGTTGTGGAAATGGCAAGTAATGATTTCTATGACAGTGATGAGCCTTTGACCAGCTGCCAGAAGTAGTTAGTGCTGCTGGCCACATTCATAATTTCCGAGTTTGTGTGTTACACTTTTCTCACCACAAATATTTATTTATTTAGAGCAGTGGGACCCCACTCTTCAGCCAAAAGGCTTCCAGCGCAGCTTACATGGAATCAAAATAAGACACTCCCTACCCACAGGCTTACGTTCAAATAAATAAGTAAACAACACACAAGGGAAAAGGGACAAGGAGGGAAGAGGAAAATAAAACTCTAAGCTCATGCACCTATTTCTAGACAGTTGTTCCCATATTGACTAGCTAGCACAGTTCAGAGGCAGGAGGTGCCTGATGGAGCTAAGTCTTCGGCAAAGTGGATGCAATGAACCCTGAGTCCTATCTCTCCTACTGAGGCAGCCTAAGAAAATGGCTGCCCCCAGGTGACAGCAGAGAGAGAGGGGGCCTGGTGGAGTTGGCCTGTCACAGCTGAGCTGGTGACATATGGTCACCCTAGTGCCACATTACAGATTCCTCTCAGTGGTTTATGGCTTCTGATGGCGCAATAAGGAGTCACGCAGCAGTATCTCCTGGGCTGCTCAGAAATTGTCTCAGAGGATAATTGATCTAAAACCTAGCCCAGACTGGGAAAGCAGCCAAGATGGTCTCTGGCCTCATCAGAACCCTCAGCTTCTGTAGCTGCAGTCAGTCAGGCCTGCAAGGCAGGGAGCAGGTCTTCCAAGACTCAAAACCATGGTGGTGTCTGAGGTACAGATTTGACACAATTTATTTTATGAGTGACCCCTTCCAACGGAGTAAGCACTTTCACTGTTTAAGCAGGCTGTGGAGTAGGTAGAGTGTTTGTATTCTGGATAAGCTTTATTCATTCTCTGAAGTTACTTCTTGGGTATCTGCCAGAGGTGTGTTTCTTCTCTGAGTCCAATTGACAAGAGCGTTTAATTTCATCACTTGAGCCCACAGGGATCCTTTCAGTTTTCAAGATTCCAATAAATGAAATTAAGCATAAGTCGAAGGGGTCTGGGTCCTGGGACCCCCAGAAATAATGAAAAGTTGCACAATATATTTTTACAGTAACTGCTAGCAAGCTCTTTTAAGGCATTATGTATCTAAGGCTACCGATGATTTCAGATCCATGGCTCTGCTGTGTTAACTTGGCTCTTTTTAAGTCTCTTGTGACTTGGTGAAAAGCATGTTTCTAGTCCTTGTGATAACTGATGTTGTGGGCAGTAATGGAAATCATTCTTGGACAGAGCCATGGGGGTGGAGTGGGGGTTCTGCGTCTTAAACAGCAAGTGGTTTTTTGCTTGTACCGCTTCACATTATCTTCCCTTCCTTATCTTCAGTTGGAATAAAAGGCAACTGGTTTTTTTTTCTGAGCCAAGAATTGGAGTTTTCTCTGGTACAGTTTGCCTATTGCACTGCCATGCATAACTCCATAAAACATCGATATGCTGTGGAAGTTCACTTCCATTTCTTCTAACCTTGAGTTGGACCTTTTTGCTGAACCTGAGTAACACAGCTTATCTTTGGCTGTGGGACCAGAGCAACTAAACTTAATATATAGTTATATATACAAGGTATATGAATGAATGTAATAATAATAATAACTACTTCAACTGATCCACATGCCAAAACGTTGCCCAAGCCTAGACTCACAATACCAGCTCCCTACACATTAAAATCTGTGGTTTAGCTGTAAGCATCCTTTGAAAACCAGTTCAGAATGCATTGGTCCATTTGCTTTATGTTGAAATATAATGTTTAATCTCTGTTTTATCTTGCAGGCTAATATTGGACAAATGGACACTCCCAAAGAGCTTTGGAAGATGATAACAGGGAACATGGCTCTGATTCAGGTGAATTTTGGGCAAGAGTATGATGTCTTTAAACATGAAGGGCAGCTTGTAAGGAGACTAAAGTCCTGTCAGTTTCTCCACAATTTCTGAATGCATCCATCATGTGATCATCAGCTCTAAAGACTGAGCAGCATAGTGCCAGACACCCCTGCTATCAAATATGTTTGCAATATTTAGAGTCTGTGTGCAAAAAGAATATCTCTCCATGCCCCACCCTCACCTTCTGCCATAGCCTGGAAGAAGATGTGTATCCTTTGTGTTTGACCCAACAAATAGGAAGCCTGTGTCTTCAGAGCAAAGGGGCTGGCTTGGCTGGCTCCAAACAGTGAGAATGCAGTGTTGGTCAGGACACGCAGTAACCTCTATGACTGCTGTTGAATTGCAGTAGCTTCCTGAATGATTCTGCACAAATGGGAATAGGAGCTTCAAGTTCTTTTTCTCCGACTAATGCCTGACTGCATCTTCTAGGTTCAAGCAACGGTGGTTGGCTTTCTGGCTTCAATTGCTGCAGTGATATTTGGCTGGATCCCAGATGGGCACTTCAGCATTGGCCATGCCATTCTCCTCTGTGCCAGTAGTGTGGCCACAGCCTTCATAGCCTCCCTTGTGCTGGGTAAGGAGCAAATGCTATATAAGGAGGGGAGAAGAGGTGCTCTACCTGCAGTACCTTCGCAGCAAGACTGAAACATTTCCTTTCTCTGGTGTCTAGGCATGATCATGATTGGCGTAATCATTGGCTCCAGAAAGATGGGCATCAACCCTGATAATGTGGCTACACCTATAGCTGCCAGTCTCGGTGACCTCATCACACTTGCCCTGCTCTCTGGAATCAGCTGGGGTCTCTACATCGAACTAGGTAAGCTGAAGGCGATTGCATGACTGTGTTCTGTATGAATCATTCCGTTCATTCCCTATAAAATTCCCAAGCTTATTCCCAGTAGTCTCATTTATAAGGTGAATTCACATTTGTACTGGTGTCTGGTGCACACCTGATGCTGGCTCCCTGCAAGCATGGCTTGCAAATCGGAAGCTGATCTCAGATGTGTGCTACCTCTCCTCTGTCCTCATTCCCATCCCACTTCTCCTGTTACATGTGCACTCACACTAACCATGATTAATGCCAACCAGGTTCCCTCGTAACCATGGTTTCGACTTTTTTGCCTTTCCAGGGAAGCATTGTTTCACATCGGTGCACTTGTAACTTTAAACCACGAGTAGTTCTGACAATGGAATGGGGAGGGAAGGGAAGGTTGCTGATTCCCTGTTCCCAAATCATGTTTTACAGTGAGCCGTCTTTACATCTGCTCAAACATCTGTAGTTTATTACTGCGGAGATTATTGAGAAAAAAAGTTATTCTGTCCTGTTTTGGAATGGCTGTTTTGGTGGGGATTCAACTACATTCCTCTGCTTTGCTTGTATATTAAGAAGAATAGTAACAGCTGCCACAGATGTCTGTGCATATGGGAGATGGTACTACTTGAAAAGTATCCAAGTATTTTTGACCTGGAGGACAGATGATAATAGACTACTCCAGAAATATCTAAACTGCCTATTTCAAGGCAGTTTCAAGGGGAGAGAGTGCATTACTGCTGAATCTCCCACTGGCAGGCTCCAGTGCCTAACTCTAGCTCCGCCATCCCCATTGTCCATGCCAGCTGGGAGTCGTAAGTGGGAAAGGCTGCTCTAACTGCATCCATGTGAAGATCTAATAAAGTATCACTGCAAATGCATTTTTTTAGGTCAGAAGGTTTGGGTTGCTGTGCTACGGTTCTCCTTAGCAAGACTGTTATGCCCTGTACAGTGAAGGTTAGGACATATTGGACTCATGGGAAACTTGTGGCCCAAAGGCACTCTCTGCACCTAAACTGGTACTGGTCCTGCAATGGTCTCAGTCAGCCATGTGGACCGAGAGGTAACCCAACAGGGACTGTAGCATCCTGCCCATGTGTAGTACAGGGAACAGTGCATTTGAACTTCTAAAATAAATATGAGTTGTTGTGACCTTAGAATACCACATTCATTGGAACAGTGTGTTGCGTCAGCAGATATCAAAGATTCCCTTTGGCCTCGTGTAGAATTTAAATCCTAAGCGTGGCAAAACAGGCTGTCTTCTTCAGTGAGTGAAACTGCAATATGATGGTTGTCTTGCCACAAACTGCTGTCTTTCACCCTGCGATGGTGGTTCTTTGACCTCTGGTTTCTTTTTCCCACTCAGAGGAGAAAGCCTATGTGAATCCACTGGTGTGTGCTTTCTTTGTTGCCCTGCTGCCCCTTTGGATCATCATTGCCAAGAAGAATCCAGCAACCCGGGAGGTGCTGTACTCTGGCTGGGAACCAGTCATCATTGCCATGGCTATTAGCAGGTAAGAAGGTGGCAAGGGGCCGTTCTCTAGGAAGGATGTCTTGCCTCAGACTCTGAGCCACGTGGTCTGTCTGCTGCTTAAGAAGCCGATAAAATTGTTGGGGGGAAGCAGGCATTTCTGTTCTATATTGGGTCATCCCTTTAATTGGGCAAACTATTCAGAGTAAGACTGAGAGTGGCTCTTTTACCACATCATTTAGTCACATGAAACTAGTTTTGTGAAATCCATCTTTAAAATGGCCTGCTTTTCACTCTTTTCTTGGCCTCAGTGAAGACAGACCGCAAATGACTGGATGTCAGTTGATTCAAAAGCACTTTATACACTTCAAAGAAACCTTTCAAATAAAGTTTTTTAGGAATTGTAGTAATTCACTGGGTGATTTCATTGCATCATTGAAAACCAGAATATTGCTAAGTTGGCAGTAACTCTTTTGTGCAGAGAGCTATTCTGCCCTGAATGTTTTCTTCATTTTCTTCCATTTTGTTGTTACAGTGTTGGAGGACTGATATTGGATAAAACTGTGTCAGATCCAAATTTTGCAGGGATGGCAGTCTTTACACCGGTTATAAACGGTGAGTTTCTTTTCACTTGCACCGATCGCACATTCACACACGTCCCAGGCCTTTCTACCACCAAATGCCTACTGGGAACAACTTTCATGATTTATTTAATCATGGATTGATTCGTTGTGTGTTTTTAAAATGTAATTTAATGTTACTTGTGTCACCAACATTGGAAGGATTTGTATTCTGAAAGGTGGAATATAATTAGTAGTAAGAGATGTTTTGTTTTTTTTAAGTGCCCCATGATATTCTTGTAAAGAAGCTGGTAAAATGCGGTCTTGACTATGCTACCACTCAGTGGATTTGTAACTGGCTGACTGACCGAACCCAAAGGGTGCTCCTCAATGGTTCCTCTTCATCCTGGAGAAGAGTGACTAGTGGGGTGCCACAGGGTTCTGTCTTGGGCCGGTCTTATTCAACATCTTTATCAACGACTTGGATGATGGACTCAAGGGCATCCTGATCAAATTTGCAGATGACACCAAACTGGGAGGGGTGGCTAACACCCCAGAGGACAGGATCACACTTCAAAGCGACCTTGACAGATTAGAGAACTGGGCAAAAACAAACAAGATGAATTTTAACAGGGAGAAATGTAAAGTATTGCACTTGGGCAAAAAAAATGAGAGGCACAAATGCAAGATGGGTGACACCTGGCTTGAGAGCAGTACATGTGAAAAGGATCTAGGAGTCTTGGTTGACCACAAACTTGACATGAGCCAACAGTGTGACGCGGCAGCTAAAAAAGCCAATGCAATTCTGGGCTGCATCAATAGGAGTATAGCATCTAGATCAAGGGAAGTAATAGTGCCACTGTATTCTGCTCTGGTCAGACCTCACCTGGAGTACTGTGTCCAGTTCTGGGCACCACAGTTCAAGAAGGACACTGACAAACTAGAACGTGTCCAGAGGAGGGCAACCAAAATGGTCAAAGGCCTGGAAACGATGCCTTATGAGGAACGGCTAAGGGAGCTGGGCATGTTTAGCCTGGAGAAGAGGACGTTAAGGGGTGATATGATAGCCATGTTCAAATATATAAAAGGATGTCACATAGAGGAGGGAGAAAGGTTGTTTTCTGCTGCTCCAGAGAAGCGGACACGGAGCAATGGATCCAAACTACAAGAAAGAAGATTCCACCTAAACATTAGGAAGAACTTCCTGACAGTAAGAGCTGTTCGACAGTGGAATTTGCTGCCAAGGAATGTGGTGGAGTCTCCTTCTTTGGAGGTCTTTAAGCAGAGGCTTGACAACCATATGTCAGGAGTGCTCTGATGGTGTTTCCTGCTTGGCAGGGGGTTGGACTCGATGGCCCTTGTGGTCTCTTCCAACTCTATGATTCTATGATTCTAAGTGACACCTTAGGAAGGACAGCTACAAGCATATGTAAAAAGGATTGGGAGATGTATTGAAGTGGTCCAGGAATTGGTTCCGGATTCTTCGGGGAAGCTATTTCAATGGTTCTCTTTCTCTCTCCTCGTTCTTTCTAGGTGTTGGTGGCAATCTGGTGGCTGTCCAAGCCAGCCGCATCTCCACTTACCTCCACATGAGTGGGATGCCTGGAGAGAGTTCTGAGGCGGCCCCTCGAAAGTGTCCAAGTCCTTGCAGCACTTTCTTCAGTTCAGGTAGCCAATTTGTGTAGTGTACTGCCCCCACCCCTTTTAATATAATAAAAGTCACAGCATCTCAAAAGCGAAGCTAAGATTGATTGCTTCATAGAGAGGAAGGCCTCTCTATGACTCCGACTTAAATATTCACCATTCTAGCCCTGTAGGAAGTCCGTCAATCTAAGCACATCTCCTCCTGTCTTGCTCCTGTATCCTAGAGAATTTTGGGAGTTCTGTGCAGCTAGTTCTAAATGCAGTTTGGCCTTGTGTCTTTGGAAACGCTTGTTTTTTTCCATTTCCTTGTTCCCCATAACAAATCTTCATGTAAATTAAAAGCCATTTAGTTGTTTGTGGGTTTACAAACTGCATCTGTGGAACTATTTTGAAGCTCTTGCTAGTATTACAAAACGCTTGAGTGAGCCTGCAAATTTTCTAGTGGTACAATTCCTACCAGATTCTGTAGTGATGTTTTGCCTTCTTATAACATAAAGCTGGTTCTGGGTCCGTCCATACAGCTCTCCCTTCAGTGAGACAGCCTAGGACAGGGAAGAGGAACCTGTGGCCCTCCAAATGTTGCTACAGCTACCATCGTTCTTGACCATTAGCCATGCTGTCCGCAGCTGATGGGACTTGCAGTCAGACAACTTCTGGAATGCCACACTTTCCCCATCCCTGGTCTAGAACTTTGTATGACTACAATTTTCAGAATAAGGCTTGTAGTGCAGAATCCAGTGTCTCCTAAGGATTCTTTGTCGCCTTGGCTAGAAATGTGCTTAAAGAAATCCATCACAGATGTAGAGAAAATCCCGGAAATTAATTGCAACTCGTTGCAAAGATGCACTAGAATTTTTTTTGGTGGGGCTTCGTTCACATTCATTTGCTGAGGGTTCATTGATCCCTGTTGCTTGCTGTTACACACAGACTTTCTACAAGTCCTGACAAATGTGAACTAATTTCATATCCCGCTTGGTGACAAATAAGTCTCAATTATGTGACTGAATGGAACGTGCAAAAAAAAAAATACACTATCCTTATTTTCATATTTCAATTGCAGGAATTCAGATTGTTTATCATAGAATTCTAATCATGTAACCTTGACAAGGAACATAGATTTCTGTCTAATGGGTAGAACAAGTCAAGGCTGCTTCTCCTAATTAATTTAACTAGCTTCTGTTGTCTAAGCTGTGGTAACATCTAAGTGAAATTATTGCAATGCATTCTATGTGGGGCTGCCTTTGAAGATGGCTTGGAAACTGCAGCTGGTGCAGAGTTCAGCAGCTTGATTGCTGATTGGGACAAGATGATCTGAGCACATCACACCCCCTAATTTGCTTCTAGGCCCAATTTAGAGTGCGGGTTTTGACCTATAAAGCCTCATGTGGTTCAGGACCACCTCTCCCCACGTGAACCAACCTAGACCCTGCTCCTTTATACATATTACTTTTATATTATGTTTTACACTTGATTTTAATGCTTGAATTTCATACATCTCTTTGAGTTCGACTTTCTGAAATGAAGCAACTAATAAATATGACGGTGGTGATGCTAACTCCTCTGCTGCCTCTTTACCTCTGTTCTGCAGATGTGAATTCCCGGTCTGCCCGCGTGCTCTTCCTCCTGGTGGTTCCTGGCCATCTTGTTTTCCTCTACACCATCAGCTCCATGCAAGGCGGCCACACAACACTCACCCTGATCTTTATCATTTTCTACATGACTGCTGCACTTCTCCAGGTAAGCACTGGCTTCGGTTGCCTTGTCAGTGGTGAGACTGGAATTTGATTAGAATGATGAACATGGATCTTTTATTGACCACCTACACATGGTTAGGCGTAGGATGCTGACAGCATTTGGAGTTTAAGCGCATCAGCAGAAGTTGACCTTGACACCGAATCACTGCTGGAAGAGCATACCTTACACTGCATATAATCACACTGAGGCTCTGAGTTTAGGAAAGTAAGAAAGCTACGTTTATTGCAGGAAACACATGCTTGATCGGAAAGTTCCTAATTCTAACTTAACTGAGTGTAGAATGCAATGACCCATGCTTCCTCTTACATCTCAGTGGGAGAGACAGAAAAGATGTCTCCTTTTCCAAGCTGAGGATGAAGAAGAAAGAATGAGGTCAGCAACCCTAGGAGTTTATCTGTAGTTAACTTATAAAGAGATCTGAAGTAAGTTCTAGCGTAATTCAATGGAAGTTTCTCTAAGATAAGGGAATACAGTCGTACCTAAGAAGTCGAATGGAATCCGTTCCGGAAGTCCGTTTGACTTCCAAAACGTTCGGAAACCAAAGCGCGGCTTCTGATTGGAAGCCGCGGAAGCCCTGTCGGACGTTCGGCTTCCAAAGAACGTTTGCAAACTGAAACACTCACTTCCGGGTTTGCGGAGTTCGGGAGCCAAAACGTCTGAATACCAAGGCATTCGGGGTCCGAGGTACGACTGTATACAGAATTGCAGCCAATGCTCCTTTGGCATAATGAGACACATTTTACAGAATACAGTATTGTTTTCAAAGATACAGTTGAATATATTGTTACTACTTTTTAAAAATCAGTAGTTTTTTAAAAAAAGAATTCCTTTTTGTTTGCTTAACAGAGCTGACATCTACCAATATGATTTCTCTCAATCATATGCAGCTTCCATTATGACATGCATACCACAGTTATAAACTTAAAACAGTTTTTCCCTTGACACTTAATGTTCTGGAAAATGTTGAACCTCTGATAACTAAATAGTGCCAGGCTCAGTTTAAAATACTTTTTGTAAAGCTGTATTTGGACATGCAATTCTTAAGCAATTCACAAGCTTTGATATGTCTAAGCAAGTCCCACTGAATTCTATGGACCTTACTTCCATGTAAGTATAAGAGTCCAACCTCTGTTCTTCTACTAATAAACATTTATAGTGAAATACTATCCAAAATATACCATGTTCTCTAGTTTGCTGTTCTGTCAAAGTATGCTATGTTTCTGCACATTATAAAACAAAACGTTATTTGGTATTTTATGCCATGTACAAGCACAGTCAATATGTGCACATGGGATTTTTTAAAAAACAAATGTTTATACTAACAATTCAGTCCTTTTTAGTTGTCATAATAAAGTTATCTAAACGACTTTCCAAATGCCTAATCTACTAATTTGGATAATAGACTAATTGGTGAACTAATACAGTGGTACCTTGGTTCTCAAACTTAATTTGTTCTGGAAGTCCATTCCAAAACCAAAGCATTCCAAAACCAACGCACACTTTCTCATAGAAAGTAATGCAAAACGGATTAATCCGTTCCAGACTTTTAAAAACAACCCCTAAAGCAGCAATCTAACATGAATTTTACTATCTAATGAGACCATTGATTATAAAATGAAAACAATAATCATTGTACTGTACTGTAAAATAAATAATACAGTATTGTAGATGATAAAAATTAAAATTACTTTTTTTCTTACCTGCACTGATTATAGTCATTGTTTGGATGGGGGGCTTTTATCCATTTTTGGCGTAATACAATCAATCAGTAGCTGAACTGGGTTCCACACAGTCACAAAAACAAAGTAACTGAAAAAGCCTCAAAATAAACGCAAAATAAATAGCAAAAACAAAAGCGCCAAACTTAATGTGTTCCGGAAGTCCGTTTGACTTCCAAAATGTTCAAAAACCAAGGCGCAGCTTCTGATTGGTGCAGGTGCTCTGGAAACAATAGCCGACAGTCGCATCGGATGTTTGGCTTCTGAAAATCGTACGAAAACCAGAACACCTCCAGGTTTTCGGCGTTTGAGTACCAAGTCATTTATTTGAGTACCAAGGTACCACTGTATAGGGTAGGGAGAAAGATAAATTTCTGTGCTTTTATTTTATTTTTAAGGGCAACAATTCTGAGGTACTGTACTTCAGGTCCTAATCACTTTAGATAACTGCACTGAGCATATATCCTCTAAGATTAGGCTAGATTTTGAGTAGCTTTTATCTGAAAGTAGTTTCTGACAGAGGAATTTACAACCCTTTCTCCTCCCGCATAGACTCTTGTATGGCCACAGAAGGGTAGAAATTAGATTTCCTGCTGAGAAAAGGAGATGTGGGGCATGCCATTTCCTCCCTCCCTTGTTCAAGACTTTATTTACCCAGTAGTAAGTTGTCAAGTCAGCCAGAATGAATGATGGAAGGGGATGGGGATGAGGCTAGTGAAATGGATGCTGAGGGTTCTGATTACTCTCAGCTGTCCTTGTAGCGTATTTTGGCTTCCCATAATTCTTGGGCACAAACTGCAAAGCGCGGGAGGAAAGAGAGGCTGTGGCCAGGGAACTTTCAGCCGAAACTGACCACTTCCTTGACGCTTGTGGAAGTAGCTGCTGACTCTGAGTCATGTCAGCAGCTGAACAGAACCTCAGGGAAGTGACTTGCAGTTCTCCTGGGAAGAAAGGAAACATCCTGCCAGATGCAGCTCATGGACCCCCCACTATGCTTGGAAAGTTTAGAAGGGAACTTTGGTGAACTTATCATTCCAGGGACATTGCATAGTACAGGTTGCTTCATTTCCAAAGGTCTGGAGGGAGATAGTATTTCTCTTACTACTTACAGCGATTTGCAGTAACTGTAATTTGAGAGACCTGTCAGGAGTAAGCATGGACCAATGGTACCAAATATTATGGAAAACAGCCCTACTAGAAAAATTAACCAATAAACTGAAACTGACACGGGGACAAACAGAAGAAAACGCCTTTACCCCGGTATGGCTCCCCTTTATCACATTCACAGCCCAACAAGACAATGACAATAACCCACCAACAGCATACAAATCAATATGGCTAACCTGATCCAAAACACCCACCCACCCCACTCACACATGAAAACAAAGATCACCACAGCCAATCACAAACAAACAACCACACCCTAGGCCAACCCCAACCTCTCTCACCACCAAAGAAACACAAATGAACAGCAGAGAACCTGCACGAGCAACGCTGACACGAAACCCTACATACATTAAGCAAAATAGAAACATTGCCACCCGACCCCCACCCCACCCCCACCCATCTTTGCCCCCTCCCCCCCTCCCCCCAATGTCTCAACAAATGAAACTGATTTGTAAAAATGTTACATGGAAAAAATACGAGAGACATTACACATACTTCTGTAAAACAAGAAAATCTTTAATAAAATTTTTTAAAAATAAAAATGGCTTTCATTCACACCACCAGGCTGAGGAGCATCAGCAAGCGAGGTGGGCAGTCAGTTGTTTCTCATGAGTAACCATGTGCAGAGCATCACTTGCCCTGCCAGTTGGCCATAGGTCCTGGGGCTGTAGAGAGAGGAGGCCAGAGGTGAGAGCAGCCACGGTATTTCAGACTATAGAGTCTTCTCTCTTCCAGTCAGCTCACTGTCGTTGCTCGCCCTGCTATAGTGGTGCCATCAGGGCAGGACTTAGGGATAGAGGTCCTGGGCTCCATTCGGCAGAATGAACAGGAGGGTCGCAAATGCAGCAGGGGTGGCTAACCACATTTTGACCCCTGAGCCCTGACTCCTGAGGGCCAAATGTGGTCCTCCAAGTCTCTCCATCTGGCCCTTGGGAATCTCTCTAGGCCGCACAAGCTCACTAGCCCTGCTCTGCAACCTTCTTGAGGGCTTTTGTCTGACTGGAATGTGTCCTTCAACTCTGACCATGCCTCTTGCTTCCTTGGATTGAAGAACAGAGAGGGGGCTGTTTATGTAGAAATGCGCTGTACAACTGGAAAATCTGCTTTTGTTGCTCTGCCTGCTTTTCCCTCTGGCCCCATCCCCTGTTGGCCTGTGGTTCCTAGAAGGGAATGTGGCCCTGGGACTGGAAAAGATGTAGATGCTTAGCATCTGAAGAGGAAGGCCCTGTAAATCTACTGGGTGACTTTAGAATCGGAACTTAACTGCATTGCTAGAAGTGGGGAGTCTTTCCCAAAAGAGCTGTGTCCCCGTTAATCCACCACATTTGCGCAGGAGTGGCTGTTGTGCCCTTATTACTGAATTGGGGCTTGCGTTATCATAAAATATTGGATAATGCTGTGTATACCAAGCTTGCTTTAGTGCTTCAGTTCAAGACCAAACATGCAATTCCAGTGGCCTTGGCATCAGTGGCTAATGTGACGCATTGTGCTTCTGTCTTCTAGGTTCTCATTCTTCTCTACATTGCCGACTGGATGGTCCACTGGATGTGGGGCAGAGGCATGGACCCGGACAACTTTTCTATACCTTACCTGACAGCGCTGGGCGACTTGCTTGGGACAGGTCTGCTGGCCCTCAGCTTCCATATTCTCTGGCTCATTGGGGACCGAGACACAGACGTAGGGGACTGAAGCTACCCTTCCTCAGCATCTCCACTCCCCGGCTCTTTTCCTTCAGTGACATTCCCCACCCCCACCCCTTCTACAAAGCCTTGCTTGCCACCCACTGTCTCTCTTTGGGACTTTAACTTTGATACTGGATTCTCATTATTTTCAATGGGAATTTTATGTGGTTTATATTTCAAGCCAAGTTTGTACAGGAAAAAAATGTTTTAGGAAGGATAAAAGAAGAAGAAAAATATGTAAAGACAATCACCAAGTGCAATTTCATAATGGTTAATATCTGAACTAAAGGATATTACAGAACAATTGATCAGATTTTTAAGAAATCCCACCTTCCCCAGTTTGCACCCACTGAAGACACTAAATGTGAAGGGCCTCTGTGTGTGTGTGTGTGTGTGTGTGTGTATGTTTGAGAGAGATGCAATTCATATTTGCTTTGTTATTTAAACTAGGTATAAGAGTTATTTGCCTATTGTCACAACTGGATTCTGAATCGGATTCAGTGGTTTGGATTCTGTGCATGCTTCCTTCAATTTGTCAACGCTAGTACTGCATCTGATCTGACCACAAACAAGGCCTTCATGGCTCAGAAAATTGACCACCTGCCATTAGTAGACTGCCCTATAACTCAAATTTGACTGTGTTGCATCCTACCCTAGGCTGAATGTTCTTTAAAGGATGTTGGGCTACTCGGAATAACAGAATGATTGGTGGGAATAGACCAAATTCATTCTCTGCTGAGGAGTCCACAAAAGCCTGACTCAAGAAGAGATGATTATGGTGGACTTCCACTATTTTATACTAGAGTCTTAAAAAAGTGATACAGCTAAGATCCACCTTGTTCCTGTTAGTTGCCACTTAGTGCCAGTTCCTTTGCAAAAACATGAGCATCCGTTATTTTAAAAAGGCTGATACAAAGTACAGCTTATATTCCTATTGCTGTTAAGGAGAGTTGGATTTTCACTGCTTTACACAGAACCTGGGCACTTGGTCTCTCACCTAATGCCTTTTTAAACCTATTGCCTCTTCTATGCTGCTTCGTTTATGAACGGTCCATTTTGATCTGAAAAACGATGAACCAACTGGTTTCATTTTCCCATTGTCTCCAAATTTTAAATGCCGGCGTTGAGATGAGTCACGGTGCTGCACTTTGACGTCAGCTGTGGGTGCTTTGCAGCCCCTGAGTTCTCGACACAAGTTATCTGAAGGCATCTGCAACAGCACAGATGCTGGATATTTCCCAGTCAACCTAGCAATGTGTCACATATGTATCCTTATACAGTACAAAGCAGTTGGTTCATATCAAAAGTCTTCACGTATTCAGGGATGAAAGCTCTTCACTTGTATGTCTTAAGTGTTTGTCTGGAAGATCAGCTTGGTGTAACCCCCCCCCCCCACTCTGCTCTGTCAAATAAATTCCTAGAGGTTACCCTCTCTATGTTGAGGTCATTAAATATGGCACATCCTGGGTTTGTTTGTGGGTGCATTGCATGGCAGCAAGTAAGACCCATCTCTCACTTTCAACACTAGCAGGTTCTGGCTAAGGTTGGTAGTATTAAAAATAAATTGTTCTATTTTATGACTGTGAATCTGAAGAAATGTCATCCAATCTGACAGAGTAACTGTCCGGAAACTGACACAGCATTTTTTATTATTATTATCTTAGAAGCATGACATTTATTTTTTGTCTCAAAAGTTCTGTAGAAGACTCCAAGTACTGGGGAACCTAGAGCCTGAGCACTCCGGATTTTACTGCATTCTGAGCTCCGCTGGCCAGGGAACATTGGGGGAAATACAGATTAGCTTCTGTGAGCAATGCATTTCCTCTTTTGAAGTGCACCATGCTCACCACAAGTTCTGCAAGCCCCATGCTCTGGCCCTCATGGAGCTGGAACCCTTCAAATGAGTAGCTCAAGATAACGGAAATGGAAGCAGCCACGTTGCTTCCCTAAAACAAGGTGTGACAAGGGGACCATTTCATTCATCCTAGGAATGAAAGTGAAGACTCCAGATTGTCCTTGGATGGGGGCCTCTTGTGCTGGTATTTACTTGCATGTAGGTCATGTCTACCTATTCTTGTTAGGCACTCTAATCAAACACATTTCTTCAATGCAAACTCTACTTAAGCCAGGCATGGCCAAACTTGGCTCTCCAGATGTTTGGGGACTACAATTCCCATCATCCCTGACCACTAGTCCTGTTAGCTAGAGATGATGGGAGTTGTAGTCCCAAAACATCTGGAGGGCCCAGTTTGGCCATGTCTGACTTAAGCTCTCTTTACTTACTTCTCCATTAGCTTCTCCACGGTGGAGCATCATTTCTTAATGTGCTTTCTCCTTTTGGCTTTAATTCCTAAATGAAACTGAAGTGCAGAGAGAAAATTAGTATGGATGTGTCTGGAATACACAGTGGTCTTCTGAAGAAGATTGGGGTACTAGATTTGACTTGCTATGCCTAACAGGCCTGAGATTAGATAGAATACCTGTTGCCTTCAGAAAGGTGTATTGCCTTTTTATATTAAAAAACCCCCCACTATGCATAACAGGGCAGCTTTTGCTAGCAACAATTATGCTTGCTGGGCTAGAGCATAAATGAGTTTCCTATAAAATTTGGATTTGGGACCCTGACCTTCTAAATCACTCTTGGAGGCAGTGTTGCTCCAGTTTGGAAGGCCTGAACTGTGATCAAAATGAAAGATCTAGATGGAAACTTGTGCAAAAGTGGTGCATAAAGGACTCAGTTGGACCACTGTACTCTTGAGGCTGCTAATCTTAAACAGGGGCTGTTTTAGCATAGTCCTGTGGCTACTTCAGGAGGCCCACTTCAGTCTGCCCTGAGCATTGGCGCCCTCATACCAAGCCATCAAGAACAAAGCTTTGGGACCAGAGTGCAAAAGTGTATCTAAGGCCATCTTTTCAATCTACATTGCAGGGTAGACTTAATTATGTGGCACAGTAAATGTGGATATAGATGTCAAACTTCGGTGAATAACAGTTTTTGCACAGCTGAAAGCGATACTCTTCTGACTTTCAACTGGGAGTACTTGTAAATAACTCAGTTTCTGCTTAAGAATGGGCTTTGTCAACATAACTCAGTGTTAGCTAAAGGGCCCGGGACTTTCATCTTGCCTTCCCATAGCTGTTAAATGTTAAACTTCTATAATGACCTTCATCTGTCTCCCCTCTGTATGTGTTGCACTGTTGGATGCATCTAAGTTTTCAGCTTTGTAACATTTGAGCAATCTGTTTCTTTATACATGGAATCCCCTTTGAACATCTTTTCTTCCTCATTACATCCATTTCTCTAGTCCAAGTCTGTGTCTGTGCATCCCGTGAAAGAGTGTAACTCTCCTGGTCTTGGCTGCAAGACTTAGCCCCAGGCCCAGGAGCTGGAGTGTGTGCATGTCACTTGGGTGGAATCCCTAGATTTTATTATGTATGCAGTGGGGTGAGATGGGGGAACAAAGTGGGTGTGTATGAACAGAATTTAATCTCTAAGCATTGAAGAATAATTTTATTCTCACCGGTTGCACTCAAATGCATGTATATTTAAACCTGGCTGCAAATGACGATGAAGCTATTGGTTTACACCTTTATTAAAAGAAAAAGAAACTCATTATTTATAGTTGCTGTAACTGAATTGACAGATGCCAATTTAACTGATAAATTATATTTGGTAAAATAAAGATGACATTTCTTTATACGGCTCATGGTGGTTTTTCTGTTGGTTAAAAAAGGTCTGCAGTTGAAGCTTCACTGATCCTATTGGTATGTAAAACACAACCCCCACTTCCAAGCCCCATAGGTGCTCTAATCCACAGTCCTTAAATTTCCCTTGTCTGCCTGCCCTGCCCTACTCCAATGCCCAGCCCTCACAGCTTTCTCCTATTACTAGGCCATGTGATATTCTCCTTTTAACACCACTCATCCTGCCAACATTGCATAACTTCTGGTCATGTGCTCACCTTTTCTAAAGGACAAAGTGAGTCACACAGGAAATAGTGCAGTTTGTAGAGCATGAAAGCACGGGACTCTTAATCTTTCCGAGCACAATTCAAAGTGTTGGTGCTGACCGTTAAAGTCCTAAATGGACTCGGTCCTGTATACCTGAAGGAGCATCTCCACCCCCATCATTCAGCCCAGACACTGAGATCCAGCTCCGAGGGCCTTCTGGCGGTTCCCTCATTGCGAGAAGTGAGGTTACAGGGAACCAGACAGAGGGCCTTCTCGGTAGTGGCGCCCGCCCTGTGGAACGCCCTCCCATCAGATGTCAGAGATAAACAACTACCTGACATTCAGAAGACATCTTAAGGCAGCCCTGTTCAGGGAAGTTTTTAATATGTAACGCTGTACTGTTTTTAACACTTGATTGGGAGCCGCCCAGAGTGGCTGGGGAAACTCAGCCAGATGGGCGGGGTATAAATAATAAATTATTATTATTATAATCTCAAGGTCGTGGGTTCAAGCCCCATGTTGGGCAAAAGATTCCTGCATTGCAAGGAGTTGGACTAGATTACCCTCATGGTTCCTTCCAACTCTACAGTTCTATGATTCTATTTAAAAATCAGTCTCAGCTCTCCAGAATATGTTGGTTTCTGGTCAGCTAGTACTTGCCAGGGTATATAAACCTGAGATCTGCTTCCACCAGTAGTTCAATGCTGCTTTAAATTGCTGGTTAAAGGTAGAATAAATAAGTAAATAAAGCTAGACAAAGTGAAAGTTTGATGACATTAAACAATCAGTGAATAATCTGTGGATTTGGAGGGAGAAGACAGCATAAGCTTTCATGGGCTCAAGCCCACTTACTGAAATGAATAAAGTGAAACCTTAGCTGGTAAGCATATAAAGTAGAAGTTAAACATCACCAATCACAGGGCCCAGGGGATTCATTATCTGCTCATCTCCCATGTGGTTTATGCTGACAACTCACTGATGGCCTTTTGCATTCTACACTGGACAGACAGGTCAGTATACAAACAGATTAATTGACACAAATCCCTCATTGGAAATGGCAATATCCATAAATGATTCCAGGACTCAGCTATACAGCTGCAAATAAAACATTTTAAGTGTGTTTTAAGTGCAATATACAGTGTGACACTAGATGGCAATGGCAAGCCTTATGGAAAATTCAATGTATTTTTAAAAACACTTTTTAAAAAGCATTTTCAGAACTTTTTTTATTTGTGTGTTGATTCCAACTCTAAGTGATCTTGGTGAACTTCAAAGGGAGAATGCAACTTTGTACAACTGAATTACAATTCATCAAAAAGTTTTTGGGTTGTATCCAAAGCAGATCCAGGGGAGTTCTGTTTGCTATACACCTGCATACCCCCCAAAATATTTTCTGGAGAGTTCCCCACACTGGGCTGCAGGGGAGAGCAGGGGAAAGTTCTGTCCTGTGAGCACATGCCCCTTGCAATAGTGGAGTGGAAATGTTGGACATAACCCTATTTATTTTATTTATAGAATATAACATGGTGCTGTACAGCAGTTTACGCAATAGAAAATAAAACATCATAAAGTACAAAATTATTACAATGAATGGCTGAACAACAACAAAAAATTAAACTGTTGCATAGTCTAAATATGAATGTCTTCAAGAGGCACCTCTTGAAGTTCAATGGGAACACTTGTGAGCTCATTTGAGACAAAGGATTTTCATTCCGTTCATTAGCGCAGATATCCTGTTATTTATAAGCTGTTTCTTGTGAATGGCTCCCTGCCACACTACAGGTGTCTGCAATGCAATCATCTCAATTATTACCAATCTGCTACTCTCAAGGGTTAAAGGTGTGCCTATTTAACGCATATCTAAGCTCTAATTATCTCTGACTGTAGTGTTTGCATTTCATTTCCTTTGAACTCCCATCTTGCTATTGTCTCCTACCAACTAAGATGTTACTTCATGCATCTACAGGCGTGAAGTTTATTTCATAATAAATGTGTTGGTCCTCAAGGTGTCATAATACCTTGCTGATTGATGTGCTGCAAGAGACTAACATGACTACCTCTCTGGAAATCCATACCTACCAGCAATGGTAAATTATACAGATTTGCCTTTAACTGGTTTATTTATGAGAGGAAGAAATGTAGCGCTCATAGCAGCTTTTTCCTTTTTTGTTTTAAATATTTATTTGATTTTCAAAAAGAGAGAAAGAAAAGATAGAAAAAGAAAAGAAAGAAAAAGAATAAACTTGCATCAAAAAATCATACATATTCCACATATCGAGATTACTCTGAATCTCCTGATTTTGCCCCATCCCATCCATGGGTTCTCTTAATTCTGTTTTCAACTGCGTATCAATACTTCTCCAATTTTTCATCTTCCTAAGTTATCTATACTTTCTGTTACATTACAGGTGCATTTAGAATCCTGCTGTTTTGACCTGTTTGCAATAATTTTGAAAATACATTATAAACATTTCCCATTCTTTTAAAAATTTATTGTCTTCTTGGTTCCTGAGCTTCCCAGTTAATTTTGCCATTTCAGCATAGTCCACCAACTTGATTTGCCATTCTTCTTTGGTTGGCTTTTTTCCAGACACAGAATGATGTCGATATTCAGTTCTGGTCCCCTCACTTCAAAAGCGATATTGTAGAGTTGAGAAAGGTTCAGGAAAGGGCAACCAAAATGATCAAAAGGATGCAGCTCCCCTAGGAAGATTATAAAATGGTGCATGGCACAGAGAAAGAGGATTGAAGAAAGTGTTTATTTTAAGCACTTGCATACCCCAAGGACCTCCTCTCTCCATAGGAAGCTACCCAGACCCTGAGAGCATCATCCGAGGTCCTCGTTCATGTGCTTCCTCCATGAGCAGTCCGGAGGATAGCAACATGAGAATTGGCCTTTTCTGCAGTGGCTCCCCTTTTGTTGAATGCTCTTCCCAGAGGGGTTCACCTGACACCTTCATTAAACTCCTTTAGGCACCAGACACAAACATTCCTCTTTAACCAGGCCTTTGGCTGATTAGCATCTTATACCCCTTTTAAATGTGCATACAGTCATACCTCGGGTTGAATGTGCTTCGGGTTGAGCATGTTCGAGTTGCGCTCCGCGGCAACCCGGAAGTAACGGAGCACGTTACTTCCGGGTTTCGCTGCTCGTGCATGCGCAGACGCTCAAAATGATGTCACGTGCATGCGCAGAAGTGGCAAAACGCGACCCGCGCACACGCACACGTCGCGTCCAGGATGCGAATGGGGCTCCGGAACGGATCCCATTCACATCCCAAGATACCACTGTATAGGAGAAGGGTTATTGGTTTGTGCTTTTTCATTCTTGTTCCTATCATGCATTTTGTGCTTTTATCTTGTATTTTTATGTTGTGAACTGCCCTGAGACCTGCGGGTGAAGGCCGGTATACAAATATAATAAATAATAATAGTTCAAAATGCAACAACCGGCATTGGAGGAGATTTTATACACCAACACACAGTGCCGGATTTACATATAAGCTAAACAAGCTATAGCTTAGGGCCCCACTTTCTTGCCCCCCCCCCAAATGTCACTATTAATATACTTCTTAATTGTATTTCAGTTCAACAATTACTTTGATAAAACACATATTTTGTTATGTGCAAATGGATTTAGATACCTATTAGGTCCATAAATTACCATATAGCATATATTCAACACAAAAAACAGCGACAATTTGTTGTTGACAAAGGACAGCTGGACATATAAAGGGCCCCATGACCTTCAGTAGCTGAGGGCCTCATCAAACCTAAATCCGGCCCCACCAACACTGCACTATATAGAAATCTATACATAGCACGAGCCGCGGTGCCTGCCTCCAGAAGGACAGACCGCGGCTACGCTTTTCCTTCCCTAAAACACTACATTTCCCATGAGGCAGCCGCTCCGGCTTACGGATTTAATAGGGGGCGCTTCGCCCTATGCATGCTGGGTACTGTAGTTCCTCCGACGGGGCGAGGCAGCCGCCCCGCCCTGTCTCACATGACGGCCAGGAGAATGCGGAAAAAGCTCGGCAGCGCAGAAGCCGCGGCAAGAGGCGCGCTAGTTGCAGGATGAGGCTCCTATCAAGAGCTTAAGCCTCTTTCCATGCAAACGGCAATGCAAACGCTTTCCCTGCAAAGACTTTTTTGCTTCTGTGGTGCAACGGCGTGTACAGATTTGGTTTCCTCCCCAGCGAGCGCCCGGCTGCTGCTGACAGTGTGTTTTGCTTTCGCTACTCGTCGGGTGGAGAACTCTTTGGGATCCGCTTGGTGCGTTTTAAACGCGTAAGGTAGGGCCGGTGAGTCTTCTCCTGGGCGCAAATAATTGGAAACACTGCTTGCTGCCTCCCTGCGTTCAGCGAGAGCTGGACCTGCAGAAGGGAGCGGACAATTAAACGTAAAAGTTGCATACTGACCCCCCAACCCCTTGGTGCTCGGTGGCTTCGCAAGATCCCTGTTTCTTAGAGGGAGGTGTTTGCTTACTCCAGATGGGAAACCGAGATGCGCTAAACTCTGGAGCGCCTGCCTGGGCTTTGGAGGCTGCTTCTGAATGCACAGAATTTTTTTCGCCCTCTAGGGAAAAGTGAGGAGTCCTTGCCTCCCACGTGGCTGCTCTCCCCTCCCAAGAATTGAGGAAACGGCGACGTGCGCTCCCTTGAGTTTACTTGGCTGTTCCAAACCATGGGCCATCACGACCATATGTTCAAAGTGCTGATTATTGGGGATGCCACAGTTGGGAAGACGTCACTGGTCCAGCGGTATGCCAACGATAGTTTCAGCAAACACTACAAGTCGACGGTGGGAGGTGAGTTGTTTTGGATTTCTGCCCCACCCCCGGCCGCCGCCACCCCTGGAAAAACAACAAACTTATTTGCAATAGATGATGAGCTCTAATAACAGATTTAATAACACAGTTCTAGTGCTATACAAGCGTTGTCTATTGCAAATATCTGCCTTTTGATTGCATTCCATCTGATGAAAAGCTCTGTGGAACTCAAAAGCTGTCATACTCTTAAGTGGCAGGGGGTTTAGTTCAATTAAAAGTGTTGCTCTCTTGTATTTTATTTTTGTTCCTGTTTCTTTGGATGTTGCACTTCCTCCTTTGGTGTTTCATTTGTGTTTGCACCTCTGTTGAAATAAAACCAAGTCCCTCCCACCTTCTCATACTGGGTAGCAAAACGCCATTGAGATGTCCTGGTTTAAATATGTCCATAGTTACTCATAGCCATGTATGTATTTATTCATTTAATTTCTATACCATTTTATATAATTTTTTTAAAATGTCAAAGCAGTTCACAATCTACATTAAAACATCAAATCCAAAATAAAACATTACTGAAGAAATTAAAATGGTTCATGGTGGGGCGGCAGTGGAAGCTCAGGTTCAATCACCTGGGTCTGCTCTAAGAGGTAGCCAAGATGATCTTGTAGTTGCTAGTTCTTAAATAATTGCAATCTATCATTCAACATTCAAGCTTTTTTGTTCCATAGGAGAAACTATGTTGTGAAACACTGGTTCTCTGCATAAGGAGTAGCCTGGCTTCAATTTTGTGTTTGTGTGTGTAAGACTTACTATTTTTACCAGAATTTCACCAGTATGGTGCTTTGGAAGTTATGGCTCCTTCTGTTTTAATTTCAGAGCTGAAGACAAGTGTGTGGAAGCAGCTACACACTTCCCACTTTACATGTTGGATTGGTGGTGGCAGTTTTTTTAAAGTGCATTCTCTTGAAATATCTTCAGATTCTATTTATGGAATCATAGAATTGTAGAGTTTGGAAGGGACCCCAATATCCTCTAGTCCAGCCCCCTTGCAATGCTGGAATCTCAACTAGATCATACACTCCAGATAGCCATCCAGTCTCTGCTTAAAAACCAGGACAGTGGTACTGAGTGAATTTCTCAGGATTGTGATGTAAAAAGCCAAAGCAGATATCCAGTCTCCTTTGGCTTCAGTATGGAAGTCTTCTGAATTGCTTGAGTTTCTGTGGTAGATTGAGAGCCAGTTTCTAGAAAGAGTGGCCACTTTTTGGAGTGGCAGGGTGAATATTAGGATGGGACTTCCTTCACTTTGCACAACAAGCTATACCTGCTGAGAATACCTCTTCACCACCATTATTAAAGGTGCAAGAGCCCTTTTTCAATGAGCCACCCTTTTCTAAATCAGAATCCCTACGCCAGCCATTATACTCATTGTGTGATTTTGGGATAGTTAGCAGCTCTTAGCCTAATCTGCCTCAGAGGGTTCTTGCTCACAAGGGAGGGAGCTGTCTATTCCGCCTCAAGTTCCTTGGAGGAAGGATGGAATGGAAAGGTAATACTTTTGTAGCTCTCATGAATCATATGACTTGCATCAAAGAATTCCATAGATCAATTATCAAATTGTTAAGAGAAATTCCATCATATTTTAGGCCAGAGGAAATACTCTAACCTTGTGTTTTTGGAAAAGGGCGTTTCTGAACTTGCTTGCAAAGAATGGGCAGAGCAATTGTATACATCATTGGAGCTATCACCCATCTGTTGCTGTCCTGGCTCATAGCAGCCCGGGCTTAATGTGTGTGTATGACTCTTTTTTTTTGTTTATTCCTGGTAGATCTTGGTTTCAAATCTTGCCCCTGAAGGCAGGTATTAACTGGCTGATGTAGTTGATGGGTCTGATGGACCTCTTGGGAGAATGAAGAGGCTTTGGATCCATCAGATCCAAGGTGTCGACTAACACTGGCCTGGAGCAGCCTGTTTTGGGGCTTACAAACAACAGAAACACTGCCAGTGATAGATCTACTTGCCTGGGGAAAACGTGCTCCACCCCTTCTGGCAGAGAGAGACATCCACCCCATCCACTCCAGCCAGCAGATCTACTGGTCAGGATTGCTTTGGTAGTCTCTCATCATTTCCAACAGCAGTTTTTTATCTTGGGAACTCACGGCTGCTTTTAATTAAATTGAATCATGGCTGCTGAGCTAGTCCTTGCTTTAACCCTTTGTGAAATCTCTTCCCTTCTGATTCTAAATGCCCCAAAGCAAGTACCTTCTGAAGAGTCCTGTCCTGCAAGGCATGGGATTGCTGTAACCCATGTTGCTTAATTTGCAATGATCTGTAGAAGAGGCAAAAAGTGGTCTATTGTGAAATCTAGATTTGATTGTTTATATTGGTAGCTACTGGTTAACATGATTTCTTGTCGTTTTCAATGAAGGGGAATGATTTAAATTACTGGAAACAGTAATGCCTTTAAAAACTATTAAAAATGTGGGAAGGTGGGCCATGAAGCAGGGCCACCCAGGGAAAACTTAGAGCGATCTTGAATTCCTTCTTAAGAGTAACTCTGAAATTGTGGCAGAAATGGGCAAAACACTGCCACTACCCTTTTTTGTGCCACCCAAGTTTTGATCATCTGGGTAAAGTGCAGCAAGTGAGAGAGCAAGGGTCTCCATCAAATAAATGATATATTTATAGCTGGCCAACCTTTAGGTGGAGCTCAACATTGAGCTGAGCGATGTACCCTTTCATTGACTACAAATAACGCAGGTTCAGATGTTCTGTAAAGCTTTGTAAAGAATGGGGACTATTCCTAAGGATCTCACCTGGTGCATTAACGAAAAGCCTAACCTGAAAGGGGTCATGCTAACGTATTGGACTCTCTTGTCCTGTCTGGGACCTTTTGGTCATTGATCAGATTGTGCAAAGTCTGGAGGGAGATCTTGGGTATGACACTGTGGGAAATACCTGGATTGCTGTGGAGTTGAGATTGCCTTTGAACAGTGTTTGAAATTCCCCAGGTGTGTTTTGCTACTGGTCCAGGTCCAGTTGCGACTACGTGGAAATTTCTGGGTGTTGGGTTGGCAATCCCAGTTTAAAAACCTCTGCCTTAGTCCATAGTTAATACCTGTTCCATTTCCCCTGTGTGCGTTTCTCCTTTCATACTGGGACAGGTTAATTGTTGTAAGAGGAAGCTACAGTCAGGCAATATAGCTGAGATCACAGAATCATAGAATTGTAGTGTTGAAAGCGTCATCTATGTAACCCCCTGGTGAATACACATACTGTTGTGGCGATCATAACCTAGGTTTAAGGTGCCGTTTGGCTGCCTAGCTTATATATCTGAATTTCTAACACTGCTTTTGAAATCGGTCCTTGCGAGTCTAAGGGAAACCATGCTGAAATTGATTTATCACTGGTACATGATGCTGCAGAAACTAGGTCACATGGTGAGGACTCGTAAGTAGGTTGTGTTGGAGAGGATGCAATCGATTTGGCACAAGGATGGAGTTGAAACTAACATCAACTGGCTCCTTCAGATGGAGGATGAATGACACCCTATTTAGAGATGAAGAAGTTTACAAAAAGGCCCAAAAAACCTTGAGAGACTATTTTGAAATAAATATGAATACTAATGTAGAAAAAAGAGTAATCTGGGACGCAAGTAAAGCTGTCATGAGAGGGTTTCTGATACAACAGAATGCAATAAAGAAGAGAAGTCAAAATGAGAAGAAAGATAAAATTTTGGGGAAAATAAAAGAAAGTGAAAAGAAATTGAGAGCAAAACCAAAGTCGCAGGAGATTTTGAGAGAAATAAAGTTATATCAAGTACAATATATGGAAATGATGAATCAGGAAATAGAATGGAAAATTAAACAAATGAGACAAAAAACATTTGAATCAGCTAACAAATGTGGGAAATTGTTGGCCTGGCAAATGAAAAAAAGACAAAAATTAAATACTATCACAAATTTAGAAGTGGAAGGAAAGAATATACATAACCCAACTGAGATTAGAAATTGTTTCCAGAGGTATTTTAAACAACTATATACACAAGGGCCACAGAAGGAAATGGATATAGACCGATTTCTGAAGACAAATGGATTACAAAATATCCCAAGAAAGTAAGTTAATGCTGAACTATAAAATATCTGAACAGGAAGTAGAAGGTGCCATCCAAAACATGCAATTAGGCAAATCTCCAGGACCGGATGGGCTGACTTCTAGATATTATAGATCTTTGAAAGAGTGGCTACTACAACCTTTAAAGGAAGTCTGCAATGAAATATTGGAAGGGAAAAGGGCACCAGAGTCTTGGAAAGAGGCGTACATTACACTTATACCGAAGACAGAGACTGAAAAGACTCAGCTTAAGAACTACCGCCCCATATCGTTACTTAATGTGGATTACAAAATTTTTGCAGACATTTTGGCCAAGAGATTGAAAAAGTATTGATGGAAGAGATTCATAAAGACCAAGCGGGCTTTCTCCGGGAAGACACTTGTCCGATAATTTGAGGAATATAATTGATATTTTGGAAAAACTAGAAGTGAACATAAATACCAAAGCTGTTTTGATATTTGTGGACGCGGAGAAAGCTTTTGATAATATCTCTTGGAATTTCATGAAGAAGAACCTACAGGGGATGGGGGTAGGCCAAGGTTTTGAAAACGGTATAAGTGCAATTTATTCAGAACAAAAGGCTAAACTAATTGTAAATAATGTGGTGACGGAAGAATTTAGGATAGAAAAAGGGACAAGACAAGGTTGCCCAATTTCCCAATTGCTTTTTATATCGGTCCTGGAGGTTCTGCTGAACATGATTAGAAGGGACCGGTTGGTTAAAGGTATACAGGTCGGAGCCAAACAGTACAAACTGAGAGCATTTGCAGATGACTTAGTATTGACGTTACAGGAGCCAGAATCTAGTACCAAAAGAGTTTTAGAACTGATTCAAGAATTTGGTCAAGTTGCAGGATTTAAGTTGAATAAGTTAAAGACCAAGGTTTTAGAGAAAAATTTAACACCAATGGAGAGAGAGAGGTTTCAGAATGAGACAGGTCTAACAGTGGTTAAGAAAGTTAAATATTTGGGGATTAACATGACAGCAAAAAATGGGAATTTATTTAAAGATAATTATGAAAAATGCTGGGCTGAAGTGAAAAAAGATTTGGAAATTTGGTCAAATTTGAAGCTTTCACTGCTGGGCCGTATTGCTGCGGTAAAAATGAATGTATTGCCTAGAATGTTGTTTTTGTTTCAAACATTGCAAATTGTGGACAAAATGGACTGTTTCAAGAGGTGGCAGAGAGATATTTCTAAATTTGTCTGGCAGGGCAAGAAGCCTAGAATAAAATTTAAAATATTAACAGATGCAAAGGAAAGAGGTGGATTTGCTCTGCCAGACTTTAAACTTTACTATGAGTCAGCAGCTTTCTGCTGGTTGAAAGAATGGTTGCTTCTTGAAAATACTGACATTTTGGATTTAGAAGGTTTTAACAATGTATTTGGATGGCATGCATATCTGTGGTATGATAAGGTCAAAGCGCATAAAGCATTTAAAAACCATATTGTCAGGAAAGCATTGTTTAATGTTTGGATAAGATATAAGGACTTATTGGAAAACAAAACTCCAAGGTGGCTGTCACCGATGGAAGCAAAAGCTCTGAAAAAGCTCAATATGGAGGCCAAATGGCCGAAATATTGGGAAATTTTGGAACAAGATGGAGATAGACTGAAATTGCAGAGTTTTGAGAAATTAAAAACAAAGTGCGAGAGTGGCTTCATTATTATCAGATAATGGAGGCATATAATCTGGATAAGAAAATTGGTTTCCAGGTGGAAAAATCAAAATTAGAAACAGAACTATTAGAACCCAAAACTAAGATTTTGTCAAAGATGTATAACTTGCTGTTGAAATGGAATACTCAGGATGAAACGGTGAAATCTGTTATGATTAAATGGGCACAAGATGTTGGTCATAACATAATGATGGCAGACTGGGAACAGTTATGGACCACAGGTATGAAGTTTACAGCATGTAATGCCCTAAGAGAGAATATTATGAAAATGATTTACAGGTGGTACATGACCCCAGTCAAGCTTGCAAAAATTTATCATTTGCCCGATAACAAATGTTGGAAATGTAAAGAAACTGAAGGTACATTCTTTCACCTTTGGTGGACATGCCCAAGGATTAAGGCTTTCTGGGAAATGATATATAATGAACTGAAAAAGGTATTTAAATATACCTTCCAGAAGAAACCAGAGGCCTTTCTCCTGGGCATAGTCAGTCAATTGGTGCCAAAGAAGGATAGAACCTTTTTTATGTATGCTACAACAGGAGCAAGAATACTCATTGCAAAGTATTGGAAGACACAAGTTCTACCCACTCTGGAAGAATGGCAGATGAAGCTGATGGACTATATGGAACTGGCAGAAATGACTGGCAGAATCCGAGACCAGGGAGAAGAGTCGGTGGAAGAAGATTGGAAGAAGTTCAAAGATTATCTACAGAAATATTGTAAAATTAATGAATGTTAGAACGATGTTGGATAGAAATTAAGTGGTTTCTAGCTGTAATGCTTTAAGGGAATATGAAAAAGGGGTTGTTAAGAGGTAAAAATCTAATGTTACTATTTTAAGACCAAAGATTAGGATAAACAAAGAGGGTAAGGATTTGCTGAACCAACAAACTGAACTGGAATACAAAAAAGGGAGGTATGAGGAGGTCCGGGAAACAAGCTAAAGAAAAATAAGCAATGGAAAATCTGAGTGTTTTTAATCATTTTTATTTTGTATTTTTTTTTCTTTCTCATTTTTTATTGTAATATCTTTTTAAAAATCCTAATAAATATCTTATAAAAAAAAGATTTGGCACTAAGTTCAACATGTGGTGGGCATGCCCTGTGGTCCAACTGAGGTGGGTATTCCAGGAAATTACAGCCATTGTTAATTAGAAGTTTCATCATGACCCTGGCCTTGCCCTCCTTCCAGTATTTCCAGAGGCTATGTGAGGATTGCTCAATAAAGACTGAATTTGTTATTTGCTGGCAGCCGCTTGCTTACAGATCACACACCACTGGAAAGGATCGTCACAGTTTTCGATACAAGGCTGGTGGTCCAAGGTGTGCACATAGCAGAAACAGTGATGCAGAGACATTGAGTCAGCAGGTGCGCCTTCTGTTTCAACTTTTAAACACCTGCTGAAAACTTTCCTATTCCATCAAGGCAGGTAGTTAAGAATGCACAGTTTTCTGCATTTTCGTTGCAAACCACTTTGATATTTTTATGTAAGAGTGGTAATAGTATTTAAATATAAGTAAATGAGGGGTGAGAGCAAGAGAACGATGCATTTGCAGACAGTTGAGCCATGTTCATGCCGCACATTAAAAATATTGTGATGCCTCTTTGAACAGTCATGGCTTCCCCCAAAGATTTCTGGGAGCTGTCATTTGTTATCAGTGCTGACAATTGTTAGGAGACCCTGAGACCCCTATTCACAGAGCTACAGTTTCCACATCTTCAGATTGCTCTGAAGATTTTAGTCAGGAGTCGGCAACATGTGTCCCATGGGCCAGATGTGGCCCACGAAGACCGTTTTACCGGCCCACGAGCCACCCATGAACTGAGCTGCCCGCTTGGCGAGCCCCCCGAGCACTGTGCTAAACTGGCACAGCGCAGGGACTCGCAGTGCAACGCCAGAAATTCCGTCTGTGCACACGCAGATACTGGAAATTGTGTCTGCGCATGTCCAGACACTGGAAATTGCTTCTGCGCAGGCGCAATTTCCGGCGCCACGGCCATGCACAGACGCAATTTCCAGCGCCGCGGACATGTGGAGACGCAATTTCCAGCATCACGCTGCGCTAGTCCGGCCCACAGAAAATCTCCATGGGAGTGATCTGGCCCATGGCCGGTAAACCTTGCCAACCCCTGATTTGTGTGTTAATGTGGCCTTGGGATCCCTTTTTGCATTATGTAGCTGGTCAGAGAGGGGCTGTGCAGCCATCAGTCTCTCAGAACAACTTCTGATTGGACATATTGTTGACATCTTGGGAGACAGTGGAAGAGTGAGCCTTTGGGAGTAAAGCCCAACCATTGGAGAGTCACAGCGCCTGCTGTGACTGTAGAGACCGATACGGTAGAGACGTGTTTTATTGCAGGCAGGACATATTACTAAGTTACCTTCTCTCCTGAGTTGCTTCTGGTGTCTGTAAAGCAGTTGGTCTTATTAGCGTGTAAAGTATCGCCTCTTTCATACAGCGGTACCTCTGGTTAAGTACTTAATTCATTCCGGAGGTCCATTCTTAACTTGAAACTGTTCTTAACCTGAAGCACCACTTTAGCTAATGGGGCCTGCCGCGCCGCCGGAGCATGATTTCTGTTCTCATCCTGAAGCAAAGTTCTTAACCCGAGGTGCTATTTCTGGGTTAGCGGAGTCTGTAACCTGAAGCGTATGTAACCTGAGGTACCACTGTATTAGTGAAAGCTGTATTGTTATAGTTATGTGTTTTGTGTTGTTTTTTTAATGAAAAAAATGATTAATACATTGTGCACTGTACTGTTGTATGTCTGGGGAAAAACTTTTGAAAATGAACAGTAATCATTACAAAGGGAGGAGAGGGAGCTTGCCGCTGGAGTCAAGGAGGGGAAAGATACAAGGAACAAGCATCGGCTTAAATTGTTTACTTAATCCTTGGGTCAGTTGATGTTGGCACAACCACACTGCAACCTTCAACATCCTTAGAGTCTGCAGCATATAGAAGATGTTCAGATTTGTCTTTAAAAGCTGTGTTTGATGCTACTGAAAGCTTCACAGGGACTGTGGCTGAATAGTTCACAAGCTATAGAAAGACACCAAATCTCTGGCTAAACAGCCTCCCGGTGTGATAGAATTTCAGTATATGGGTAAGTGCCGCTTCCCCACTATTTCCTATTACCTTTTAACTCCCTGTTGGAAAATCACAAATGAATAAGTAGGTCAGAGGTCATTAAAGTGAAGTCCAAACCCCACTGAGAAACTGATGTACAAAGGCCCCAGTTTTATGCCTGCAAAGGATTCGTTTACACCCCACTTTGATCAGTTGCAGTAGAGACGGGAGGGGGGGAGAAGCTTTGCTATCTTTTTCTTCTCCGCAGCCTGCCTTTTTAAAAAAAGAAAAGAAAAGAAAAGAAAAGAGAGAGATGCACAACTTGCAGTGTGTTTCAGATCCACTGAACTGGATAATAGCTGTGGTCTAATTTAGTTTTGTTCCTGTTGTGCTCTGTGGGGAGGGGAAGTATCATTCTCAGGGGTCCTAACACACTTGCTGGAATGCAATTTTATTTTTTATTATTTGGTCTGTGAGTGGGAAACAGCCACAGTAGTCTCTGATTCAGGCTATGTGGCTGAGTGATGGAAAATAAACCTGTTAATGTTGCAAGTAGTCCTTTAACAGAATTCTGTTTCTACCAGCTGCCTAATTTTAAAAGAACACGTTGGATGTTTCTCTTTAGTTCTGTTTAGAAGAAGTTTATAAAAGAGTCCTTTTGATATTTTTCTTTAGTTCCGCTTAAGTCTATAAGATCATTAGTCAAAGAACTGAACCAAACTAGGGCAAGATTAGCCGGGCCAGCCGCCTTACTTTTAACTACCCCCTTTATATAAGGGTGACCCGAATCAAAATGATCTGATTATCTCTGGCTGCTCTTTCTGTTGGGGGTTAAGGCTTCACAGAATATGCTCCTTAAACACACTTCACTGAAGTGCAGGGTAAACTAAGAGGATCCAATGAAGAGGAGAATGGGGAGGAATTGGACAAGGAGTCATTTGCAATAGATTCATCTTTATAGGAGGCTGAGGGAGGAAAGTTCCACTTACAAGTTTACAGCTTATTTTACTTTAACGTTATGGCTGTTTGCCAGCATTGCTGTTAGAGGCTCGGATCCATCAAATATGTATTTTGTTGGTAGATTTTATATTCTGCTTTTCAGCTAGAGTCCTCAAACTGCCTGTGTGTGTGTTTATATAATATTATAATATGTAGATATTAATGAACTTGCAGCTCATCCTGAGAACATGCTATAGACTTGTCACAAGAGTGCTTACCTGGCTTATTTTTTATTTTGCAAACTAAATGCCCTTTCTTGCTTAATTGAAATGTGCAGGCCACACATTCTTTGCCTGGGGTTGGGCTTCCATTATGGGATATTGTATGTTCCTGGCAGTCAAGGCATGGTGTACTGAGCCAACAAAAATGTGTTGTGATTTCTAGGCAGTGCCAGTGCTTTTTTCTGGGGATATGCAGGGGTACACATACCCCTAAACATTTGTGAATCTAAGTTCGGCCTCATTGAGGGGCAGTATTTCAATATGAGTAGTAAAATGAGAATACCCCTAAACATTTTTTTAAGGGAAAAAAAAGCACTAGACAGTGCTATCTTTGTTTTGCAAGTGCAGCGTAGATTGTGATTGCACAAGTGTCGAGGGCACCTATTGGCTGTAATAAGTGACAACCCCCAAGGAGAACAAAGGTTCCTCCTACTCTTTTCAGGGGTAGCATGTATACAGGTCTGGACACATCTGGATTTTGTATGGAATAGAAAATGTGCAGAAAAGAACAGCCAAAATGATCAGTGGGCTAGAGCAACTCCCTTGTGAGCAAAGGCTTTAACTTTTGGAGTTGTAGGATTTCAGTGTAACTGTGACTGTGTAGGAGCATGACCACCCAACAGCAAAAGGTCGCAGCAAAGACAACATTTAATTCTAACTCAGGCTTAAAAGGTAAAGGTACCCCTGACTGTTAGGTCCAGTCGCGGACGACTCTGGGGTTGTGGCACTCATCTCGCTTTAAAGGCCGAGGAGCCGGCGTTTGTCCGCAGACAGTTTTTCCAGGTCATGTGGCCAGCATGACTAAGCCGCTTCTGGTGAACCAGAGCAGCGCACGGAAACGCCGTTTACCTTCCCACTGGAGCGGTACCTATTTATCTACTTGCAGTTTGACATGTTTTCGAACTGCTAGGTTGGCATGGAGCAGGGACCGAGAAACGGGAGCTCACCCCATTGTGGGGATTCGAACCACCAACCTTCTGATTGGCAAGCCCTAGGCTCTGTGATTTAGACCACAGCGCCACCTGCGCTTAATTTCATGCAAAAAATGATGTGTGTCCCCCCCCGGAAATGTAAACATATTAAATTACCATGCTAATGCAAATAGAATCCATCATTACTATATCCCTTTGGTGGGGAGGAGAAGGTAGTATTGTGGTTGAGAAAGTATGGTTTGCATCAGTCTTGCAATATGCTAACATTGGAGAGAAGGGGTTGAGACAGAGGCTGCATTCACACAGCAGTTTATTCTGGTTTCCCGACATCGCCCTACCTGTTACTTTCTGCTTTATGTTTGAGTTTTCGCACAACGTAAAAGCCACTTTCAGAAATATAGTGGAGTATAGCACAAATGTAGGGGTCATTTCAGTGTTATTTGCTTCCAGAAAAAATCTGTTTGCAAATAACATGGAAACGAAAGCAGAGCCAGCTCTATTCTATATTTTGGTGAATTTCTGGAAGTTGCTTTTACATTGTATGAAAGATCAAATGTAATGCAAAAATTGACAGTTAGGGAAATACTGGGAAACTGGAATAAAGTGCTGTGTGAATGCAATCAGTAGTGTACCCTGCAGCGTAGTAGGCATTTTGCAGAAATACTGTATATGTGTGTGTATGGAATGTTAAGACTGTAGTAGCTGTGGTGGGGCATTGGTGATTAATTGCTCTCCCGCTCAAAGGGGAAAATGTTGCTTCTGGTATAAACACTTAAATGGGTGTATTTGGGTGACTGTTTGATTAGTGATAATAACATTGCTGTACTTATTAACATTAAATCCCTTCATACACACACACAGCCATCTGAAATACCATGCCTGGGCTTGCACTGAATGTAGAATTGCCAGCCTAAAATATATTTGTATTTAAGACATTTTTATACTTCACAGTTATTTGCATTTCTAAGCAGTGGTCCATTGATGACCAGTAACACATCTGGGTTATGACTCGTGAAGCCTAAGTTCTTTGAAAGGTTTAGATTTGGCTTTGTGGGGAAGAGCAGGGGTCTTGTGCCTTTGACAGCTGTAGTGGACAGAAATTCAACAGCTTAAAGCGTTTCTTGTTGTAAATGGGTGAGATGGTGGACTCAAAATAAATCAGGGAAGGGCATATGCAGTGATAAAATTGACAGGCAGAAGGTCAGCAGATGAAGTTTTCTCATAACTATCTCCAGCAAACCCAAGAGCCCTTTTTGAGTTCCACTGAGATGAAGAGGTTGATTGTTTTGACAGCTGTCTCCATCTTGTCGTTGCCACAGTGAGACTGAGGCCTTGGCAGGATGGACAGACCTGACAAATGGACAATTTATTGGGGAAATTCAGGAATCCCTTCAATTTAATTAGTCTTTTGGGTGGAAAAGCTATACAAGTCGTCCAACCCTTCAGGGAAGGGCTTCCATCATCAACCCAAAGGTCACAGGGTTATTACAGCTCACACCCACAGATTTAACGTATGCCCTGCCATATGTGTTGGGTCAATGATGGATTCTCCCCCCTCCCAAAAAAAATTATCTTGAAACTTTTACATAAACGTGGGTCAGTGGTGTATTGAAACAGCTCCATGGGTATCATGGCAGCCATAAATATTGAGTCTGTTGAAACAGCCATCCCGGGCTTCTCTGACACTACCAGTTTGTCAGAGAGGATACAAAGTCAGCAGTACACCAGAGGGTTTTTTGTTTTGTCTCTCTGGCCAAGCGTCAGTTACAAGCTTATGTTGATGCTGCACCAAGTACCCAAAGCTGGGTCACATCAGGTCTCTCCTAGTTCATCCCCCCAGGTCTGAGTAATACCTACCGGTTTCACTCCCTCATCGACAATTAAATTTAAGGAAGGGTTGTAGCTCAATGATAAAGCATCTGTGTTGCATGCAGAAGTTTCCCTGCATCTCCAGATAGGGCTTGGAAAGATTTCCTGTTGGAGAGCTGCTGGCAGTCAGTGTAGACAAATGAGCTAAATGGACCCAATGGTTTGACTCAATATAAGACATCGTCCTAAGTTCCTAAACTGTGAATGGTTGCTGATTTGCAGTGGACCAATCTGCCATTCAGAAGCACCACAACCAGGTGGGAGAGCTGCTTGGTAGAGCATCTTGCTCAGGGGTCACCAACCTAAGGTCCATGGGCCGGAAGCAGCCTGTGGAGGTCGTTTGACCAGCCCATGAGCTGCTCCCAAAACAAGGTGCCCGCTCGCGCACTGCGCTAAGCCAGTGGAGCGCAGTGACTTGCTTCCGTGGTGCCGAAAATCACAGGCACGCACAGAGGGATCTCTGCGGGACCGATCTGGCCCAGGCAAGATAAACCTTGCCAAGCCCTGATCTTGCTGGTTGGGGAAAGTACCTGAAGAGGAGAGAGCTCTCAGCTATCTACCCCCTCTTTGCCTTACCTTAGGGAAGCTTTTAATATCTGAAGAATTAATGTATTTTAAAGTTTTGTTGGAAGCCACCCAGAGTGGCTGGGGAAACCCAGCCAGATGGGCGGGGTATAAATAATAAATTATTATTATTTATTTTTACCTGACATGTCTGCCCAAGACTGTACTGTACCATGATGATTATGATGACCCAGAGTGATTGAGAACCAAGCAAATGTGGTGTAGTGGTTAGAATGCTGGACTTGGACCTGGGAGAGCAGGGTTCGAATCCACACTCAGACATGAAGCTCACTGGGAGACCTTAGGCGGGTCAATCACTCTCAGTCTAACCTGCCTCACAGGGTTGTTGTAGGGATTAAATGAGGGGGAGGACTATGTATACCACTTTCAGCTCCTTGCAGAAAAGGTAGAACATAAATATGCAATCAATCTATAAATGATTATTATTAAATTTATTCCCACCCTTCACTAACGGGTTCCGGGGGTGGGCTGTAACCATTAAAAATTCAAAATTAAAAGCAGTTAAAACATTTCACAGGAACAGAGTGGTCCTGCACATATCAACATGGTATACAGATGGGAGTTTTTAAAAAAAGACTTACTAAGAAATATGTAAAACTTCTATCTCAAGGGGAAATTATTATATACTTATTCTTGCTGTTAGTTATCATATTTCCGGTGGAAATAATTCTGGATCCATGAACATAGAAGCAATCATCCAGGATTTGGGATGTATTACTTGTGTGAGCATGCACATAATGTGTGCACACTCTTCTGTTTCAGAGTTGTCTGGGATAGCAACAGATGGCCACAGGAATCTGGAGAAGCGGTTGGCTTGTCACATGGTTGTAGACTGCCCTCCGTGTGGTTAAAGCTGTATGGGGGAATGGGGTGGAATTTTAAAGTGACATCTACATGGTTGTCTGTTTCCACCACTTCTCTGTGATTTACTGGAGCATAAACATACGCTTTGAGGTCAGCAGTACTCAAGAAATGCTATAGCCTGGGCTTAACATCTGCTGGAAGAAGAACGTGAATAGTATCAAGGTAGTAGTGTAGAAGCAATTGCTGTGTTGCACAGCAGCCTAATTCAAGTGTAGTGCCTTAATATCCGTTATAAGAACATAAAAAGAGACTGTTGGATCTAGTCCAGGCATAGGCAAACTCCAGCCCTCCAGATGTTTGGGACTACAATTCCCATCATCCCTGACCACTGGTCCTGTTAGCTAGGGATGATGGGAATTGTAGTCCCAAACATCTGGAGGGCCAGAGCTTGCCTATGCCTGATCTAGTCCATGTATTCCAGCATCCTGTTCTCACACTGACCTACCAGATCCCTGTGGGAAACCTGCAAGCAGGACCCAAGCACAAGAGAACGCTGCGCTCCTGATGTTTCCAGCATGGAGGCAGAGCTTGGCCATCATGAGAACCTTACCCTCCATTCATTTGTTTAATCCTCTTTTAAGGCCCCTCAGGCCTGAAGCAGAAGTACTCATAAGCGGAGCACACTACACAGTGATTTTATTCAACCCCTAACTGATTTTATCTCTTTCTTTCTTTCCATGGTTGTCCAGTGGATTTTGCTCTGAAGGTGGTACAGTGGTCAGAGTCTGAGACAGTGAGGCTGCAGCTGTGGGATATTGCCGGTAAGCTATGAAGAGTCACTTGTTGGTTTGTGGTGGATGAAATTTCCCCCCCAGATTTGTTTGTCTTTTTCTATCGATCAAAGATAGTTCCAAAGGGGTAGAAAATTCCCCCACACAGTAGCTGTATAATTTTCATCCATGTGTTGTTGTGTTTCACCTCTTTAGCGATACAGTTTATGCAATTTCCTGTGTAAGTCTGGAAATGGCAATTTTGGGGTAACGCCTTAAAACTTAAAACTGGTGCTGATGGATGGTTATTACAATTAATAGTGACTAAGAGGCATGTGTATTTGTTTGCTTTGTCATTCCACTGCCAAAGAGACAGCCCACTTAAAAAGTGGCTTGTCTCTTCAGCAATCGAAGCTGCTGCCATAAAATTAGGAAGCAAAACTCAGCAGTGTGTAGGGTTTGTTACTTACCTACCAGTATGACTTCTCAGTAAGGATAACTGATATAAAAAAATTAATTCTTGAGGCAGTTTCCCCTCTCCCTCAAAAGAGTGAGTTTGGCACAGGCAGCTGCAATGGGAGGGGAGACACAAGCGACAACATTTCTTCTTTGGTGCAGTACAGAAATTGGTGAACTCCAAACCGTGGATTAACTTGGCAATCATCGGGGCATCCTAGTAGTTCTTGCAGGTTTCTTTTGGTCCCCTTCATCTCAGGGCCGGATTTAGGTTTGATGAGGCCCTAAGCTACTGAAGATAATGGGGCCCTTTATATGTCCAGCTGTCCTTTGTCAGCAACAAATTATCGCTGTTTTTTGTGTTGAAAATATGCTATATGGTAATTTATGGACCTAATAGGTATCTAAAGCCATTTGTACGTAACCAATAGGAGCCTACACAACACAAAACACTGTTGCTGTATATAGGTTTTATTTTATTTGTTTTTTATCTTATGTTTTGGAAATGCACATCCAGTTTTTTCCCTTTAAGTTTTTTTTGGGGGGCCCCAAGAGAGTGGGGCCCTAAGCTATAGCTTGTTTAGCTTATACATAAATCCGGCACTGCTTCATCTTCCTATCCATTGGTGCATTAAATCTTTAGGGTGGGGTAGGTAGCCTGTGGCCCTCCAGACGTTGTTGGATTACAAATCCCATCAGCCTCAGCCAGCATGGCCTATGGTTGGGAATAATGGAGCCTGTAGTTCAGCCACATCTGTAGGACCACGGTTTGACCACCCTGTGAACGAGTCATCCCACTTTGTCAAGTTTTCCATTGTCCTTGCCAGAAGGCAGTAAAGTAGATACAACTCCCTTGATGTTGGATCAAACAAATGTGGAGGGGGAAGCTGCCTAGGAATGAATCTGAGGTAATGCTAAAACTCCTTCGTCACCTAAACCCTCCCCAGGTCAAGAACGTTTCACGTCTATGACTCGGCTGTATTACAAAGAGGCATCGGCCTGTGTGATCATGTTTGATGTCACCAGTATTGGCACGTTCACCAGCTGCCAGAAATGGAAGTATGATTTGGACAGTAAACTGAAGCTGCCGGATGGAAGCCCCGTTCCTTGTTTGCTGCTGGCTAATAAAGTGAGTGGCCGTAGACTGAGTGTTTCCAGCTGTTTTTCTTTCTTTTTAAAAAGGCGATAAGCCCTCTGAAACTCCCCTAAAGTGCTGGGAGATAAGAGCCGTGCATGTGTGCTGTCCTCATGCTATCAGTGAACACTGGCGGCAGCTGAGAATTAGGGTTGGGGCCTAAAAAGAAGGGGGCATGGAACAGAGCTTGGAGAATGCGTCTTCTCACTGGCCTCTGACCCAGTTCCATCTCCCCACAGTTTTTAAAAGGGAGGGTGGGGAAGGTCTTGAGGCCTGCAGAGCTAAAAGTGTGCAGGAGAAGGATCCCTTTCTCTCCCCCCCCTTTCTTTCATCCCCCCTCCCCATCTAAAATTGTTCCTGATATCACTAAGGAAGTGAGGAAATTCCCAAGTGGGCATCTTTCATGACCCTGAAAAAAACATATTTGAAACATCTGCTTACGATATAAAATATCTGCACATTTATCAAACTCTGCTTTGAACTTGAGGAGTTTATTTTGAACAGTAATAAGAATTTTTTCAGGGGCAGAAGAGGCACAGATGTCTCATCATTTTACCCTGCTAATCCAAACTGCGGCAGCACAAATAGTTATAGCATCGCCTTATAATCTGCTGGATAGATCTGGCCGTGTGCAGATTTGTGGCAGAGGCAGAAAACGAATGGTACACCTCTTCCTGACTGTTCTAAAGATGAACTTGTACTTTCCTAAATTCTCTTTTCCAGTGTGACCTTTATCCATGGGCTGTGACCAGAGAAGAAATTGATCGGTTCAGTAAAGAGAATGGCTTTACCGGATGGATTGAAACCTCTGTCAAGGAAAACAAGAATGTAAATGAGTCGATGAGGTAGGCAAATTGAATTTTTGAATGTTTTTTCCAGAGGTAATTATCCCCTAAGTATGGGCCTATGGATAACATATGACAAAAGAGGTGAGGTCTTTAAAAAGAGAATTCCAACTTCACTCAGTTCCAAAATATCCTGTCATGCTTTCACTATGATGCAGTGTTGCAGCTAGGTTTGGAGTGAGACAGGCAGCGCCACAGGTATTTAAGTGATTTGCAGTGATACGGCTACCATTTTGGCTGTAGGCCAGGGTCTGGGATGCAATGCTCAATAGAGATTTGGTCTCGGGTGATTAGGTCAGTAGATGGAACAAGCTTGTACCCTCTGTAGGTAAGGCACCACAGCCTTGCTTATTTTTTAAAAACGGAAGTTGTTTTGGGTCCATGATGGTGTTCATTCCTCAGCAAGCCCACCTCTTGCCAGAGAAACAACTTCATTGCAAACAATGTCTGTCAACAAGGTAATGTTTTCTCAGAGGTAAATGCAGAACCCCACAGTCACATTGTGTTGGGTTTGAACAGAAGGGGTCCCCAGCAGAGAGTCCTCCCCTGTGATTTGGTTCCTGGAATGCTGGGGAATGTGTGCTGTCTGTTCTTTCTTTCTAACCTAATCCTGCTTCTTCCTAGAGTCCTTATTGAGAAGATGATGATGATGTTGTTGACGTCGTCAGGTGACACGGACATCACTCTTTCAGGCCGTGGAGACTACATCAATCTACATCAAGCTGCCGCCGCGCCCAGTTGGGGGTGCTGCTAGTTGCACCTCCCTAGGCTTCTGCATCTGATCAGAGGTCGAGAGCGCCTTTGAAACTTAGTACTGTCTTTTCTTAAGAAGTAGTACTGAACTGCCTCATGGCATTGCTGTAAGCTGCAATAGAAGACCAAGGCATCCCAGCAAGGTTGATGGAAGCCCCAGTCTTGCCTGCTTATGGGCCACTGGGGTACACTTCTGCCATTCTATATTCCTCATTGCAAGTTGGGCTAACTTGGAGGAGATTGTTCTGCTCGCTGCAGCCTTTTGTACTTGTGGGAAAGTCTCCACCACAGTTGATTGAAGATTACACAGCAGGAAGAATGGCCACAAGCAGCTCTGAAAGCAAAGCCCTGGCTAACCTGGCTGTGTCTAACCAGCGTACGTGCTAAATCTTGCACTTTGAAGCAGACTGCCTTTAATGTATCCTCTGTGGAAACATGCTGTGATTCTCCCCCCTTGTGACACAGCTGCACAACTCTCTCTTACCACAGCCCTTCTTGAGGTGCCATATTTGCCAGGATAAGCCTATTGCTGCTTTTGTGTGTGTGTTTTCTGAGAGTGGCTGCATTTAAGCTGAAGGAAAAAGACCAAAAGGGACTCTGGCCTTTTTTGTCCCTGCTTTTATGTGGGAGATACAATTGTCAGGTCCTTTTCCTGTGACCATTTCATTAGTGAGCCCAGCAATGAATTGAGGTAAAAGCTGTAAACTGCTTTGCATTGATGCACCTTATTAGAGCAGTAGCAATGTTTTTATGTTTTTATAGCCCTTTCCCTGGTAGGATCTCATTTGCCTCTTTCATATTCTGATAAATTACTTCCTCTCGGAGGCCGTAATATGTGGGTGTAGATAGCCATCATGCAATGCTATCTTGAAAGCACGTTGATGGGTTTTAGTGAACCGAGGGGGTAAACGCAGAATAGAGAACACAGCAGGACAGAAGGCAAGAATTAAATCTCTCCTGTACCTTTTTGCTACCAGCCGTTTCCTGCCCTTTGTTTTTGCAGAAAATACAAAATTGTAATTTACCAGTTTTAAAAAATTCATAATTCAGGAAGGTTAACTATTCAAAATGGTGAGTTGTATTAGGGTGCTTAAATTTCTTAATCTATTTTTTAAAAAATAAACAGCCAAGGAGATGCATGTGTAATGGGTAAAAGATTCTGTGGATGAATAATGTGTCCATATTCAACCAAACTCTGAAATTTCCTGGATGATTGGGTAAAAGCAAATCTATTCAGGCCAAAAAAGAAAGATCTATTAAAGCCTTGCAATGTTTGAATCTTTGCCTGATAACATTACAGTTATTTCAAACTGTCTGTCTGAATAGGCTAATGGGCACAACTTCTGGATAAGATATAAAATATATATTCGGACCATTTTCTCAGTTATGTAGACAAGAAGGCACATTATTTATCCATTGGACTCGTTCTTGTTATAGGGTATTACAGGTTATGTATTTTGTAAATAAAGTTTATTAAACAGTTGCTGCTAAAAGGATAACAAGCAGTGGATGGGGAACTGGAATCTCTCTAGATATCGTTCAAGATGGTAATAACTTTATTTTTAATGTTTTTAAATGATAGTGAAGGACACCGGCAAGTTTCTTTGCACTGTTTCTGAAAACTGCAGGTAGAAGTACTAACCACAGAGAAATTCAAGCTAAATGCTTTTAAAGGGGATACTCTATAGACCACTAACGTGGTGCCCTCCAGAAGATTTGGACTACAATTCCCAACAATTGGAACTGATGGGACTTGTAGTCCAAAACATCTGGACGGCACCATGTTATTGAAGAGGGATCTATAGAAAAAACAATGTTAGATAACTTGGTTGTGTTTCGGTATATTCAAATATCTCATTGTACTCTTTGAAATGGGAGCACAACAAAACTAGCCTCAGATTGCTTCTGTGCAATTGGAAGTACAAATTACAAAGATTTGAGGTCTTTAAAACTTCTGCCTGCACTAATTAAGTAAGTGGTAGGAGAAGAACCTAGAAATAGTTCCTTTTCCACATGATGGTGAAAGTATATATGATACAGTCATACACCTGAACTACAGCACTAGCCCTTCCACTTTGTACCATTTTCGAAAAGCTGTATATAAAGCAGAATTTGACAGCTGCCTGGCAGAAATTACTGCTGGGTTATTGGCACACAGATCCATTGGACATGAGCTGTTTCAAGCAACATCTCTGACAGCCGTGATCTATAGGAGAGAGTTTTTGTATATCTCCCTTTGAATGTACTTGTGCACTGACTTACAACTGCTGTTTGGTTGTCTAAGTTAATATATCTGGAGAGATCTATGCAACAATGGTTGATGTGCTATGGTATTGGGAGGCAGTTGCAGTTAGTAAACCTGCCCTCCAACCACAGTTGGACTCCATCAGCCCCAGCCTTCATGGCCATTGGTCAAGGATGATGGACATAGAGCACTAAGTTGGGTGGAGTTGTAGGACCCCCCCCATCTGTGTGAACCCATGTATAGCATTGTATAGGTAGACACTAGACAATATATGCACATTATCTTTTCCACATCCAGTTCTATTTTTGTGCCTTTTGAATAGCTGATGAGATTTTAAAATCTCTCAAGCCACTATCTCATGGAGCTGCTACTGTATATTCTTGACTTGCAAACATATAAAGGTAGCTAGGGAAACAGCTGACTTTCCAAAGGGCTGTCTTTAGAGGACCAACTGGAATGCAAGGTATATGATCAAAACACTAGAACTTTCATGTTTGAAAGAGTGCTTTGCAAAACAAGAAATGTCTCAGTGTTTAAATCCTGTGTGTGTTGGTCCTAAGTGCTGTGCAAAACTCTTTCTGCCAAGACATAATGGACATGTTACCTCGCTTGAAGTGCTTATTTTATGTAAGCTTTTAAAATAAAAACAGAGTGGTGTGTTTTATTTTTTTACACCTCATGCTATACTGATTGCTTCTGATCTAAAACTTTTATGCCATTTTTTCTGGTTGGAAGTAAACTGAAAGCAATTTGCTAGAGAGAGGCTCAAATGGGAGCTGCTGTTTCCTTTTAGGGGAGGGGGGATGTATTTCTTCTTGGAGATTCCTAAACCTTCCACTTAGCATACAAGAAAAGCTGTCTTGGTAGCCTTAAGCAAGGTTGCTCACGAAACTGTTTTCGGGTTTGTAAATTCATTGTGCTTTATTTATGGCTCAGTCCCCTCCCTCTCTCCATCAGATTGCAGTTCTTTGATTGCAAGCCGTGAGATTCTATAAATGGTTGTCTTCATCCAGATGGTATTCTAGGATTACCTATAGGCCAGAAGAAATTTCTCTACCCCTCCCCCAAATTAAAGTATGATGTACGATTTTGTATAATTAAATCCTTATTCTGCTTTGTAGCAGCATTGCCTATGTGTAGTGCACAATTCCTGCCACTTCCCCCGAGAGTACAAAATCACACTCAATTAAGCATGGGTACTGTAGAGACTGGATGTGCTGAATTAAGATTCCCATCCCCACTGGTTTGCACCAAGCAGTGCCTTAGTAATATGGTTTGATATCTGGGGCATGTCCACATGAGAGGCTTAATCCATGTTTCGTTGGCTCACATTTTTCCAGGCCATTTATATGACCTCAAACTGATGTTCTCAGTCTGCTCAAAAGCCAACTTTGGGGTTTGTTTGTTCTTGAAAGCACAGTGTCGGTGGGTTTAAGGCTCCTTAGTGTTACTCTTCCATTTCTTTTTAAAATGCATGGTTTTGAAATGTACAGAGTTGTATCTGCTGAGTGAGCCTATTGCCATGCATCTGAACCTCAGTGCTGCTACATCTCCAGTTTCTGCCATTCTAACAGTGTGTTTTTAATCTCATAGTTTGCTAAAACCATTTTAAAAACACATATTTGCACAAGAATGCATAGAAGAAAATGCATTTTAGCAAAAATAGAAATGTTTTTAATCACTCCTTTGCCAGTCAGCACTATTTTAGCACAGTAGTTTTTACCCCTCCCCCCTTTAGTTGGTGCTAAATATTTTTAACCTACTTCTTGAAAAAGTTATTAAAGTTATCATGCAATGTAAAAGCACTTTAGCATAAATTGAACAATTCCCTAAAAACAAGAGTATAAATAAAAGGGTTTTTTTAAATGAGAAAATTATATGCTCTTACTTGTGCCTTCCTTACCAACATGACTATGTCACATTTACTTGTCTGGATGTTACACTGCATGTTGTATGCACAACAAAAGTGTGATTCTTCCCTGCCCCAGGGAAATTGAAATGTTACAACTGTGTGGAGCATTCACGGGGAAAGTGAATGGACCACCTTCCATTAATTTGAACAATGGTCATTGAAAACTCACCTGAAACAGCTGGTGTTTTTCTCAGAATCTCACATATTTTTTAAATACACATTTGAATTGCATTGTTTTATATGTTTAAAAAGTATTTGTTCTTGTGTCAGAAGGACAAATGAGGTTTTAGTTGTGCTGTTCAATAAACCAATGCAGTGTTGGAAAAACTAAAAATCTGAAATCAGCCTGACTTTGCTTGTTCACATCTACTGGTTTCTCAGTTTATGCAGTTGTGGGATGGAACTGTGGGTGTCATCCAGACTTTTTTGCTTATTGGGATTGACTAGAGGTGATTCCAAGGCCCTTCCTTTAATCCATTTTGTGTCTCAAGCTTTTTGTGGTGACCTAAGTTGCTAGAACAACCCTAAATATGTGCATACAGGTAAATTTGCGGTGATTTCCAAACGATGAATTCTGGAGGACTGTGGAACCCCTCTGGTTAAATCATCAGGTCTTTTGGGCTGGGTGCTTTTTAAGGCTTTGTGGTTGTGGAAGAATTTGGGAAGGAGGTATGGCAGCTAGCAGCTACTGTATAGGTAAAGTAGGGGGTTTTCTATAATGTTGGTTAAAATAGCAGCTGAATTGCTTCCTGTTTTCCCCAAATATATTGCACAACTTTGGAGGAGATTTAGATGGGAGAGCTAGACACAGTTGGGCATTAAGTTTAGTCATAGACATTGATTGTACTATTCTTCATTGGGTAATAACACTGGGATCTATTCAACTAAGCAAAATGTTCTGTCACTACAAGGATTTCTGCTTGTGCAATGGAATGATCTCCCCCTCTCCTCACTCCATTCACCCCCTGAATCTGTTCTGGGGGCTCTACCAATCTCCCAGAGCAGATCTGGGGACAGCAGGGCTAGTGCTAATCCTTCCATTAGTGCAACTATTTAGTGAAATACTGCCTTTAAACATTTTATCTGTACACTGATTTTTCCCTAAAGACTGCAGAAATAGTTGCACTTCCAGTACTATGAAGAAAGTAACTAATGATGGCATCTGTTTTGACTTCTTTATGTTGGTCGTGAAAAGCTCCATCAGTATGAATCCAGATTTTGTGTTGGCACAGATCACACTAGAGGTGAGTGGTCAGTCCTGGCATTCTGCCCTGAATGTGGGTGGTGTGCATTTTGACAATGGTTCAACTTGCCACTTGATGATCTGATAAGAATAAGATGAACTGCCATGATTTATGAGGCCTTCATTTGGTCATGAACAAGTGCATAGGTTAATTTTTATCAATAGACCAAGACAGTTTGCGTGTAAGGAGCAAAATAACCCTCAGCAAAGTCTGTTTTGTTCCCAATGCAACTGTTTGATTGTGGGTCAGCAGTATACACAATTGGGCTTCACTACACTGACCTCTACACAGAACACTGGCCTTCATGGACTGAGTGTTGCGTGTTGTCCTATAATGGCAACAATGAATTTGCAATAAAGCAGGTGATTGAAATTGCCCTTTAAGAGACCATATAAATCACTAAGCACTTCAGTAGTAAGGGTTTCTTTCCTGAATATCATGGAAACACATTGGAGAATTTGAAAGTTTATTAAACTGGTGGTTGTTGATCAAGAATTATAGGAGTTAATATTGCAGGCAGAATAGTACAGTGGTACCTCTGGTTGCGAATGAGATCCGTTCTGGAGGCCCGTTCGCAACATAAAAAGCCTGCAACCTGAAGTGCAGGTGTGATTTGGCGCTTGTGCGCATGCACAAAGCGCAATTTAGCACTTCTGCGCATGCGCAAGCGGCGAAACCCGGAAGTAACCCTTTCCAGTACTTCTGGGTCACCGCGGGACACAACCTGAAAAAACGTAACATGAAGCAAACGTAACATGAGGTATGACTGTAGTCATGATGTATGAGCTCGAGGGGTAGGAAGTTTTTCAGATATCAGCAGAGGAGTATTGAGAAAGGAGATGTAAAAAGGCAGAAGAAATCCAGAAATAAGAAATGAGTATGTGGTGCCCATTAAGGGGAGAACAGAACATGGAGTTGGAATGTGGAGGCATCCAGTGAAATTAATGTATGGCATGGGTTGCTTTGTTCTTTGCTTTATTTACAGTATGTTCCTTGGCTTCTTTAATCAAAAGACTTCAATGGAACTTACACTCTAGTATGTGACTTTAGGACTGCAGATGGACAGAGCAATCCCAATCCTACTGGGTTGCTGGAAGGGGTTTGGATGCTCCGGAGGTGTGTCTTCTGCACCCGCAGAACAGTATTTTGGAAAAGGAGGCAGTGAGGATGTGGAGTTAAGCCAGCCAAAGATCCACTGCATTCTCAGCTGGTCCAGCTACCAGTGATGTGCTTGTCTGCTGTGCCAGCCTGGAAGTGGTGCAATGAAAATCAGCACAATTACTCTTCCCCAACCTTCCATCGTGCCCAGTGTGAGTGGTGGGTCTTTGAAGGGGGGCAGTGGGGGCGGGTCGCGCCAGGTGTCACCACTGAGGGGGGTGACAAAATGGGCGGCACTCACAGCAGGGCCTGCAGTGCGCCCGAGCCATGCGTCTCTCTTGGGAGTGATGTGGTGGCTTGGGCGCCCGCAGGCTCTGTGCTGCCCCAGACGGTCTGCCCACCGCCTCCCCCTTAGCTGTAGGGTGGCTGAGTGGGAGGAGGCAAGCAGACTCCTCAGAGGCCTCACGGAGCGTCCTGCCCCGCCTTGCCCTGTGGGCGGCTGGCCCCGCCTCTGGGCACAGGGCATGCACGCTGCCCCAGGCGCTCGATTGGCTTGCTCCGCTGCTGGATCTTTGAATGCCGGCAGTGGCTCTGACATGCTGTTCAACCCTGTGCTCCCAGTTGGGTGCTTGAATTGTACCCCAGGTTACAATTCAATAAAAAATTGGACAGTGCACACTTCTACTGTTGTGCTGCCTGGTACCAGATACAATCTTGCCAATAATTCAGTTGGATTCACCAAGAGATTTGACCAATTAATGAAAGGTACTAAGAGTAACAATAGCTATTAGGTTCTCATTGAATCCATTCCAGCATTGTGTTCATAATAAACTGATGGAAACATAATAACATAACAGGGTGGCATAATGTGGTGGTACCTCATGTGTTTGAGCACCTCCCCAGTTATGGAAGAGAACACTTCCATGTTCCACAGATTATTAACATCCCTAAATAACTGCTGTCATGCTTTGGTCAATAGCCTTGTAAATACTCCTGACAGGAATGAGTAAGTAGTGTAGATGTTGAAAATGCAATTATAATTTAGTCATCCTTGGCTCTTAGAGCTGTGGTGAGAGCATTTGCTATGCAGAGGTAATGATGCAGGAAGGGCAGCTGTGGTGCCACAGGAGGACAAGTACTTGGCCAACATGAGACTGTCTGTCATGCTTGGCTCTAAATCAGTATTAATGTCACTAAAGACTTCAGAGAGCTACCAATACAGTTTCCCCCTTGAGACACTTTGACTTTAGTAGCTTATGGTCTGTGGTGTCCTGCCTTTGGAACATGCTGCCCAAGGATGCTTGCCTGGTACAGTCTGTCAACTGTTTTATTCCCAGTGAAGATTTTTATTTGTCCAGATTTTTTAGGATGTTTAGCATGGCTGGGTTTACCTGGCCATTTATTTTATTTTACTTAACAGGATTTATATACTGCTTAATCATCAAAACCTCTAAGCTGTTTACATTAAAGGAATATGAAATACACATTAAAAATATAGTACTGATGAAATCAGACGTTAAAAACAAGTTGCTCTACTTTTTTCCAAAATCTAAGTAATATCAGTAATTTTCAAACTGTACATACCAAAAAAAATTACATGTTAGTATACATGTCAAAATTGCGTGTCTGGATAGGCTTGCCTAAACAAAGTTTTTAGCAGGCGCCAAAACAATATAGTGAAGGCACCTGCCTATAATACTCTGGTGTAAGTGCTGTCACTCTGGAAAACTGATTTGCTGCAAACATGGAACGAACACTATGTGGCAATTGTAAAAGCGCCGGTTCCCCAGATTGAAGTGGTTGAGTTGGCACATACTGTATGGGCTGAGGCAATCTTTCAAGTGAACTGGTCTCAAGCTGTTGAGGGCTTTATATACCAATACAGTTGTATCTTGGATCCCGAATGCCTTGGTATTCGGACAATTTGGAACAGTGACTGTTCCGGTTTGCAAACGTTCTTTGGAACCCAAACATCCGATGGGGCTTCTTCCATAGCTTCCAAACTTTCTGCAGTCAGTCAGAAGCTGCACTTTGGTTTCTGAACGTTTTGGAAGTTGATTGACTTCCAAGGGACGACTGTAGTAGCACCCACAGGGAATTCTATTACACTTTGAGTCTGTTTCACTTCACTTTTTTGTATACCACTTTTGAAACGCTGTATATATCAATGCAGCACTTTTTTGGGGGGGGAGACACAGGGGTACGCATACCCCTAAACATTTTGTGAATCTAATGGGAGAAGAAACTAAAAAATTTAAAATGTTTAGTTTCTTCTCTAGCACGGTGAATCGTCAGTTCCGTTGCTACCCCTGAGGGTGGCCTAATTTCCTCTCACGGTGTTTCCTGAGTCTGAGACGGAATGAGAGTACCCCTAAACATTTTTTTTAGGGAAAAAAACACTGTATAAATGCTTTAAATACCTCTGAAGTTTGAAATGTGGAATAAATAGGTGTCCTGTTTTGTGAGTTGATAGTGGCTGCCATGCAAAAGAGCATAGATTAGCTCCCATCAGTGATACCTTACATCAGATCAAGAGTTAAGTCAGAAATTAAATCGACAAACGCACAGAGTAAGGTAGGAGACCAGTGTGTAACCTGAGGTGGTGGAATTGGATAGTTAGGTCTGTAGGATTGCATTGGGGTCATGGGCGTGAACCTCAGCCATTCTATGCCTCTGCTAGACCCTAGATTCTAGGCTAGCTGATTTCAGTCAAAACATGTTGTTACCATCCAATGTAGCATTATTTGACTAAACAGCTTTACACCATCTCACTAGATACAGTGGTACCTTGGTTCTCAAACGTCTTGGTACTCAAACAACTTGGAACCCAAACACTGCAAACCCGGAAGCTCGTTTGTGAACTTTTTTCAGAAGCCGAATGTGCTCCGTTTTAAGTGTTACGATTCCGTTTTGAGTGCCACACTTCTGTTTTGAGTGTTACACTGATGTCTGTCTGTTTTTGCTATTTATTTTGTGTTTTTGTTTTTAGGCTTCTTTTTGTTCTGTTTTTGTGACTGTGTGGAACCCAGTTCAGCTACTGATTGATTGATTGATTGATTGATTGTGTGACTGCAGTACATTGTTTATTGCTTTCATTTTATGGATGAATGGTCTCATTAGATAGTAAAATTCATGTTAAATTGCTGTTTTAGGGACTGTTTTTAAAAGTCTGGAATGAATTAATCCATTTTTCATTACTTTCTATGGGAAAGTGTGCCTTGGTTTTAGAACGCTTTGGTTTTGGAATGGACTTCTGGAACAAAGTAAGTTTGAGAACTAAGGTACCACCGTATAGTGATAATGTTTCATCCAGCCTCATGGTTAGTAACAAGCACATTGCCTTAACTGAAAAGAATCCTGGGAGCAATAGCTTGTTAAGCATTCTAGAAATTATAACTCTGTGAAGAGTGAACTACACTTCCCAGAACTCTTCATGGGAAGCTATGTGCTGTATATGTATGGTGTGGTTCGATTTCTTTGTATACATAGTGGACTCACTTCCACATAGTGTGGTGGCTTTTACTCATGGCAATTCATGGCTATTCCACTGCTTGCTATCCACACCAGTGAGTGGAGCTTGATGAAATGTATCCAGGGGTAGGCTCTGCCCTTCAGCCACTCCTCTCCTGTCCCACACTGCCTTTTTCTGTGGCTGAAAAACATGTGGGCTATGTTCTGCAGCAAAGCACAGGCTGACAGGACAACCATCTTCATTTCCCCACAGTGTCACCGGCATGACAGAAATGAAGAAGGGGGTAGGGGGGCACAGTTGATATTTAGCGGGTGCAGCATGCCCAACATATTTTAAAAGTGAAATCTGTATTCTGCTGCTGCTTAATGTATATGTGGGAGACTGGGACAGAAATAATAAAGGTTGCAAGGGCAAAAGCAGTAGAACAGGTATGTGGTCCAGGGGGCCTAGAGCAGTTTAGATGTCACCCGAATTTGACAGCACTGCTGTTTCCAAGGAAGGAAATCAGCCCCGAGTGCTCACTGGAAGGACAGATCCTGAAGCTGAAGCTCCAATACTTTGGCCACATCATGAGAAGAGAAGACTCCCTGGAAAAGACCCTGATGTTGGGAAAGATGGAGGGCACAAGGAGAAGGGGACGACAGAGGACGAGATGGTTGGACAGTGTTCTCGAAGCTACCAGCATGAGTTTGACCAAACTGCGGGAGGCAGTGGAAGACAGGAGTGCCTGGCGTGCTCTGGTCCATGGGGTCACGAAGAGTTGGACACGACTAAACAACAAAGCAATCTTAAGCACTTCTGAGTTGGGTGCAAGCCCTGTTGAGCTCAGTGGGAGTTGCTAGGTTTTATTATCAAGCTCTGCTTCATTCTAGAGCAGGGGTCAAGCAACCTTTTTCAGCAGGGGGCCAGTCCACCGTCCCTCAGACCATGTGGTGGGCCGGACTATATTTTGAAAAAAATAATGAACGAATTCCTATGCCCCACAAATAACCCAGAGATGCATTTTAAATAAAAGCACACATTCTACTCATGTAAAAACACGCTGATTCCCGGACCATCCGCGGGCCAGATTGAGGTGATTGGGCCGCATCCAGCCCCCAGACCTTAGGCTGCCTACCCCTGTTCTAGAGGTTTGAAGATGGGCAATGTTGAGGAGTATGCACTCTGCACATTCTAGGGCTGAGACCTGATTTCATTTTGCTTGTAATTATTCAATTTCAACTATATTTCTGGCCAACAGAGATGATCAGCCAGGGGAGAAGGGTGTAATGTAGCGTGGGATGCACAAAGCACCGTCTCTAACAGCAGTGAAGAGTACTAGAAGGGAAGAAGAGGAAGAAAGGGGAGCACATCGTCTCATCCCGGCCTTCCAACAATTCTAGGGCCAAGCAAGGCTCGCGGGCGCATAACTATTAATTATGAAAGTATCGCGATAAGTGTCACAAATTCGTAGGGAGGGGCTGAATCTGATTCTCCTTTCCCTCCAAAAACGTAGCCCAGCCTTTCTTATCGAATCTGCTGTTTGGCCTGGAGCCTATTGTTTCCCATAAGAAAAATAAATACACATGAAAGCGAATTCTCTCGTGCACGAAAGAGGACAGGGCTGTTGAATTATAGGGTCAGAATCCAAGCAAGCTGCTGCCGAATCTGCCATTGTGAAACCCCGGCGGGTTTTTCTGGCTGTTGTTGGCTGTCCGCTCTCATATCAGCTTTAGCAAGGAGCTCCCCTCCACCGCCTTCACTCCTCCCGCTCGCAGGGAAGGAGGCGGGGCAGCGCTTCCGTGATCGTTCGAACAGGCCAATGGGGCGCGGCGACGCTGCGAGGCAGCCAACGAGAAGCGTAGGGAGGAGATGCCAGCCGAATAGGTTGCACCGCCCTCTCAGCTCGGCGCATCCCCTCTACTGGACGAAGTGCGACCATTTTGCAGGGGGGAGAGGCGAGTGGTGGCGATTGACGGCGCACAGGAGCCAGATCTGGGGTGCAGGGCGGCGGCCTGAGTCGCTGGACCCGGGGACTGACGGCCCCCGGGAGGGCGAGCGAGAACGGCGCCGACCGGGCTCGGTTCTTTCGTCTCCTTAGGCACCCGTGCCCGCCTCAGGGCCTCCGTTTAACCCGCCGAGATGTCTAGGCCCGTCAGGTGAGTCTCCTTCGCGAGCGGCGTGAGGCCTGCGGGGCTGGCTCTGGCGGCCCTCGCTCCCGCAGGCCACCCACGGCCCTTCGGCGGAGGAGCGAATGCCCCGGGCCTCGTCCCACGCGAGAGGAGGGGAGGCGGCCTGGAGTCGGGTATGGCGGGAGAGAGGGGAGGGGCGTGTGCAGGCATGCAGCGTGCTGCTGCTGCTGCTCGGCGGTGGGGGGGGGGGGCGGGAGGCTATCGCACGCCGCCGCTGCCGCCGCCCTGCAGGTCCCTTCCCTACAGGATGCAATGCTGCCCCTGAAGGTTAGCGCAAGCAAAGTCCACGTCTCTGCGGGGGAAGGAGGGGTGGCTGCGCCGGAGGCTTGCTTCGTGCACGTCGCCCGCGAAAGCGTGGACGGGAGGCATGCCTCTCACGCGCGCCGCTGGCTCCGGAGAGCCACTTGCGCGCTTCCTCCGGAGGGACCTGGTGACGGAGAGGCACGGCCCTTTGCTGCGCCTCCGTGTTCCGAGCTGCAACTTGCAGGGGCGACGTGCTTTTTTCTGTGTCTCTTTGTACAGTATGGCTAGCACATCGGCGTGGGGGCGGGGGGCGGGAGCTCGCTCGCCAGAGGACAGGGTTCGTAGAGCCAAGGGAGTGCTCCCTAGTGGGGAGGCGGGCGTGTTTGCAATCAGTGCATTTCGCGAGGGGCTGGAAATGATGCTTCTTGCAGCAGTGGCTTCATTTAAGTAGACAAGAAACGCCGTTTTTAGACGCCTCCTGCGCTTCTTTTGGACTGTAGCAAGCCTGGAAAAGAAAAACTTTTGTGTTTAATTGTGTCTTTGAATTTCAGTATCTGTGGCATTTATATCCCATTCTTCCCCCAAGGAGCTGAGTTTGGCATGCATGTGTGTCACTATATTCTCACAACAGCCCTGTGAGCTAGGTTGGATTAAAAGTGAGTGACAGGCCCAATGAGCATGATGGTTTACAGGGGATTGGAGCCCCATTCTCTCCATGGGGATGCAATAATTCAGGAGCAGGGCTGGCTCCAGGGTTTTGTGGACCCTTGGGCAGCAGTATATCAGTGGGGTACTTGTTCCCCTCAACCCAATATGATAGATACTTATAAAATTACTGCATTTTTTTTGTCTAGTTATGCTTATGTGGTAGTTGTACCCAGTTACTTGGGAGCAAGGTCCATTGAATTGAATGGACAAGGCTTCTGAGTGGACACATGTTGTGCTGTTAGGTTGCAATCTTATACACACATTTCTGGGAGCAAGTCCCATTGAACTCAGTGGGGCTTACTTCTGAGTAGAAGCTTACACATTGTTAATATTATCCAGTAAGGCTCTAGAAATCTTAGTGCAGTTTTCAAGCCATTTGGTGACTTCACAAATATTATCATATAATAAGGGTTTAAAATTCATGACATATGGATACTTGGGCCAAGGCATAGGAAATGTTTTTGTTTCTTTAAAAAGCATAATGTATCTGCTTGCAGGTAAGTAGTTTGCCACCCTGCTGTTGATGCTGCCCTCTTCTGCTTGCTTTCTGACATAGACACACACTGATGAATGGGTGCACACATCAGCAAGTGACTGGTCTAGTACTCAGTCTCTTTCAGGGCCTGGCTTCTGCAGTGCACTGCTTGAGGCATGTATTGATACACAGCCTCTGGTGCCACTGTCTTGCTTCCATGAGGATATGCCTCAGCAAAAGCAGCAGTCCGGCCAGCATGCTTTCTGCCCCCTTTTCCTGAAGGAGAGTGGGGGGGGGCTGTCTCAGCTGTAGAGCACCACAATAGGCAGAGAAAAGGTCTGTCTTTGGTGTCCATACCTTTTGGCTTCACTACTAAGGCCAGCCAAAACCTGCTTATTATATTATTAATTACTTCCCAGATACCTCATAGGATTATTAGAGCCTATACTTTGATGCTGTATAGACATTGTCCAACATTGATGAACTGATTATGATTAACAGCACAGTCCTAACCATGTCTACTCAAATGTAAATCCTTTGGATTCAGTGAACCTTACTCCTGGGTAATTGGGGTTAGAGTTGGAAGCCTGAGTCAGACTTCTGTGGGTTGATTTTCAGCTACAAAAATAAAGTGTATTTATTTAGTTATTAATTGGAATGATACAGGCAAGCGCTCACAAAGCTACTCCATGGATAACATTGCATCATGAGAATGTAACAAGATTTTGATTTGAGATTAGTATGCCTGACTGCCACTTATTTTGCAAATGGAGTGAACTGCATTGTAAAGTGTTTCAATTGCAAGTGTGCAAGTACAAATAGCAGTAAGGATAAAGTGCACCCTTTGTGCATTTTTTAAGAAGTGAATTACTTAGCAAATCTCATTTTCTATCATGCTGAACGTAAGGAATATATAAATAGCTTTAGTCTAGGTTGAAAATAAAGTTTCCCTACAAAATCCTTCCATTCTACCATGTCAAATGCCTTTGCTGCATCCAAAAACACAAGTAGTCTTGGTGGTTTGCTTATATGTGCATTCTTGCTAAGGTTAATTACTTTTGTTATGCTTATATTAAGTTGTTTGCCATTTGTGATGTCAGTTTAAAATGGGTGGATGTAGCCAACATTTATTTTGTTTAATAAGTCAGGATCCTTCCCATGATCTTCTAGAACAGAGCGGTCCAACCTCTCAGACCAAGTGGGTTGCAAGAGTACTTTGACACAGAACCTGCAGGCCACACACTGAATTAAATTTCCATATCATAAATTAAAGTATTTGTAACATAGTTAATGTTATTTAAATACACAATAGATCTAATATGTTTACTTATTAAACAAAATTTAGTACACAAACATATGTATGTGCTTTCATTAACAACGGAGACATTGAGTCCCTGTCAGGATAATAGGCGGGATATAAATAATAATAAAAAAAATATTTTAGAAGTCTTCTAGTAAAAAAGATTGAAGCCTCTTGTGAAGCAAGTAAATAAATGCAGCCAAAGAAGAAGGTGTGGGGTGTTCAACCGCTGTTCATCCTCACCTGCCAGCTGGTTGCCACAGCGCTGCATGGACCAGCCTCCTGAGCAACATGGACCCCAGTATGATTTGGGCCCCCCATATTACAGCACTAAGCTCAGGATGAGCCCACAGTTGTGTCCCTGTCCTCCAGCACCCCAGCATTGCCCACTCCCCCCCCCAGCAGCACTCGGGTACTCTCCTGGCATCCATGGGTCCTGTTTCTAAACAAAACGCTGGAAGGCAGAGAAGGAGAACCTGTCCAAGGCAGGAGCACCCCTGGTTTGGAAGTGGTGACCCCCCCCCCCAAAGAGAAAGGAATATGGTTTGGATTGGGAGAAGGCAGCTACTTGCAGCAGATTCAAGGACTGCCTGCTCAATGTCCTGGGTTGGGGGAAGCAGGAGGCTAGGAGTTTCAAGTCCCGAAGGGGAAGGCAACAAGGCCATGGCAGAATATCTGCCCTGAGAGCCCTGCCCTGGGCATTAGTCTCCTGCCCTCTGGACCCAGCCATGTACAAGAAGAGCAGAGGGGCAGTTTGTAATACACAGTGGCACACCATAGCCAATCAACCCCCACTACCAAACATCTGGCCGCTGTCCAGTCACCTGGCATGCCTGTGGCTGGGGAAGTGGGGGACCAGGACTTCAATGACACTGGAGCGTAACAATTCGCTGCTGCTGCTGCTGGTGGTGGTAGTTGACTGAGGTGGGGGAGAGATCTCAGATGTTGGGATTCCCAACAGTCCTTTGGTGCTTAGCAAGGGTCGCATGCGAGTTGCATGTTGGACCACTCTGTTCTAGAATATAGATACTATTTTAGTGTGTATATTTTATACATTTGTAGCTGTTTGATTGTCTTGCCTGCTCCAGACTCATTAATTCCCCTGTAGTATGGGAAAGAAGTTGATCTGTGTTTGGAATATACACGCAAACCCTTAGAAACGAGCTAATATGTAAATGAGCAGAGAAGCTTGTTTTAATTTGTGCAAATATTCAGTTCAAGGATATAAAAATTAAGTCCATAATTGGAAGCTATTGCTTTTTCAGAAATTGATTTTTATTAGCAAAAGAAACTTCAGTATGATAGCACTGGTTAAATAACACATAGGTTTCTAGTTGCTAATTTAATCCTCAGTTACTGTTGTGGCGGAACTGATAAGACTTCTAAAGGTTCAGTACATATTTAATTCACTGTCCTTAATACATTGACCAGTTAGCCTGGAGCAGATACTAGTTTGTTTCTTACTTCAGAGGATTGGAAACAGGGGCAATTTGAAAGAGGGGCAATCACTTGTGGTTTGTACACATCCCCCTGATCTTTCTGGTAAACATGCTTTTGCTTTTTTTGTTTTTGGCTAACTGAGTGTGAGAAAAGATTGTTATTCCAATAATAACAGCTTTCATTTGTTACAATGTTGATTATTTTTCAGTTCCTCTCTTATTTAATATCTTTCCTATAGTTGTACTGGGAAAATTTAAATATGCTTGTGCAGCTTGGGGTACATGCTGCTTCATTCTAACAGTGGGTATATTTGTAAGTATTGTTGATTGTACAAGCCTATAATGTGAACCTCAGGTGTGAACCTCATTGAATTCAATAGGATTTACTCCCAGGCAAGTGTGCAGGATTGAAGCCATAGGCTTTTTAAAAGGAAATTTCATCAAGGCCAGCAGTACAATTTTTGCAAAGAAACATGTAATATAGTTTATAGGTGGTATCAAATAGTGATCCACCATTGGTGGAAGGAATCCCATCAGCAGGTTTTTCTCAATTCCCCTCATGTCATTCCGTAAATATGCTACATCTGAGGCAGATTTAGAGGGATTGCAGAGAGCTCCAGGGGGAAGGGAGATAGCTGAATACTGCCTCCTTCACTCTTCTGCCACAGAGTCACCACTGGATGCCACCGGATGTTCTAAAGGTAGTCAATGGTAGTTCTAAAGGTAGATGAAACATAGAGTTGTGAAGGCAGTGGGCGGTGGAAATAGTGTGTGTTTTTTTTAAAAAAATACTCTTACGATACATTTTTATTTTAGAATGCTTTTCAGTTTTTTTAATGTATGAAATAGTGCAGCATGGGGAAATAATTCTGATATTTGCCGTATTCAAGATCAACATGCATTATTTACACTGGATTCATTCTTACAACCAGACATTTAATCTTTGTCACACTGTACGTTTTGCATGCTTTCACCTATAGAGGGAATGCCTTTAAAATATCTCCAAATGACAGTGCAAGGGAACCACCATCCTATAAGCCAAACTAGACCCAGAAGGGGTCCTAATTTGGCTTTTGAGGCCATTTCCCCAAAACCATATCCACCTGCCTCGCATCTAATATCATATGTGATATGAGGTATGGGGCAGGCAAAGGTGCACCTTGAAATGTACAATCTAGATTACTAAGGATTGTCAGCTTTATAGCGAGCCCGGCAGCTGTGCTGTTGAGTTCCCGATCAGCTGATCAGCACTTACAGTAAGCCCCACACTGTTTGAAATCAAAGGAACATTTCTACTTTGAAAACCATCTTAAGTTCACTTTGCCTTGGTCGAACTCAACTGTCTTAAGAATGAAGTAGCAAACAAAAATGAAATGCAAATGACTAACAGGTAGAAAGTTACTGGGCAGACTAGAGCAGTTTCATTTGATGCAAATAGAATGCCTATATTTGGCAGGCAAAGTGTAAATACTCATATTTGAGAAAGTGTCAGATTAAATCTCCATTTGTTTGGAAAAGCCTCTTTCAACTCATTATATCAGATAGTAGCATCGATTCAGTTTAGAGAGTAACTGCAGTGGGTAACTTGATTACATCTAAACTATTAAATATTTAAGAAATGTAGTGCTTTTAATTATGAAAATTGAATTTATTTTTTTATTTAAAAAATATTTTGATTCCTTTTGTATATTCACATCTTTGCCTTCTGCACTATACAGATTAAAAACCCTTAGAGCAGTGGTGTCCAAACTTTTTTCAAGAGGACCAGATTTGATGAAGTAAAGGGCCGACCAAAGTTGTTAAACTTTTTTTTAGGATTGAAGTTGCTGAGGGTTTTTTTTTTAGGATTTTACCTCAGGAAATAAACTGCCACAGGGGCCGACTGGTGGGCTGGATTAGGCCCCCAAAATGGACTTTCGACATGCCTGCCTTAGAGGAAGAAAGCATGCCTTTCCTAGCTCAGTAATAATTATGCAGATAGTAACTTTAACAGCTGATGTTAGGTTTGAACAGGCCCAATAAGTTTAAGAAATAAGCTGATGTGAGGTATGAACACACCAAATACATTAAATTATCTGGGTCATTCTGATATTTATTTTGCTGTTTTCCTAGAATTGACTCCTCAGTTTTATTCCCAAATTAGCTTTGTTCATTGTAGTGATGCAAAGCATAAAGTGAGTAAAGAGTGCTTGGCAACATCATTGTAAGTGAAGTACAGTAGTAATTTTGTTGAGGTCTTCTCAATTCACTTGAGTTAGTTAATTCATTTTTTAAGGCTTGCTTGATTTTCTGCAACAGGTGCCTACTGCTTAAAACATACTCCAAAGTCTTGCATAATAAGGCTAGGTCAAGAGTGGGGAACTATTTGTCCTGTTGGGCCAGATCCTTATTGGTCCCCTTCACTGTGGACCAACTTGACAGGTGGGTAGGACAATCCATCTGTCAAAAACATGTTCTCAAATGAATGGTAGGTGGGCTGTCATGCCCACTTGTCAAAGCCCTTTGCGCAGCGCTCCCCAAGGGCTTGACAGCCAACTGGTGGCCAGCTGCTTGGAAACTGCAGCACAAGGAGCTTTCTACAGAAATTAGCTGTGTGATTTGAGTTTCCCATGGGAAACTCAGTTACCCAACTGATCCTGCAGGCTTGAACTCCAGCATTCTTGAAGCTGATGGTCAGTGACTTCAGCTCTCCTTTTTTCAGGGATTAGTTTTGTGATCAGGTTCTCCACAGGGAATTAGGTTGCACAGCCAATCCAACTGCATTTACCTGCCCTACACATCAAGTGTGGGGCAAGTGGGTGTAGTATACATATTTTTAACTTCTTTTTCTTTACCATGTCCAGTTTTCTTATTCATCAAATATTACCATTACAATTATATGAACAAGTACTGTAATACAGTCAACTCTCAACATGCTAGGATTATGTTCTAGGGATAGTACATAAAGCCAAAATCACATATAGTCCAAACATGCTCTCCCAAGGTGAGTGAAATGGTGGGTAGGATTGCCAGCTCCCCCCACCTTAATTTCAATGTTATATCAGCTAAGCATGTAAAGCTAAATTCGTGCAAGATAGATGTGCTTAAGTTGTGAATTGACTGCATACAATTAAATTGGGTGTCTCTGCATTTAGAGCATCCCTGCCAGATAAGAACATTTGCATCAGAAGATGCACATTTCCAACATCAAAGATTCTTTTCACTTACTTTTAGAATGGTTAAGTATCAGCTGTATGCCACTTTTCTCTTATAGTACGCATCAATAGCTTGAGTTAATTTTTCAAAATAGCCTATTTCTTATCAATATTTTTTAATTCCAAAATTCTCATTGATGTATTTTCTAGTTCCCTTTTCCAGAAATCTACTTGAACTATCTCGTATGAATAGGAAACTAGAAATTGTTTAAAGCTTCAGTAGACTAGAAAGCAAGAGATAGGTGGGAACCCCTGGGCGTTTAGAAAAACTGCTGTAAATCATTCTGAGCCCATGGAGTAGAAGGATATAAATAGATCACAGTGGAACCAATTTCCTCTCCATCCTTCAAAAGGGGAGGGAGACCCTGGATGGATGCTGTGTGCGCGCGTGCGCATGCACAATCACACACACACCCTCTCTTTCCCCCTCCCATTCCCCTTTGCATTGCAGTCCAGGTTAGGGGCTGGCTGAGCAGCTTCCTATGTTACCAGTCCTGAACAACCATCCCCCAAACTAAGGCTACGGCCAGGTGATTAAGGTTTGAACTGTTAACAACCTAGGAGCTATGTGGGGGAAGAGGAAAGCTGAGGCCTCATGTTGTCTAATCTGGAAGTATTGTGGGCACACTTAGCAGCATTGCAAAGCCTTTTCCACCGGCCATTTCCTTTAACTTCAGTCATCTCTAAAAATGGGTGTATACAGTCATCAGTAGCAAAGGTTGCTGCCTGAAGTTTCTTGCTTCCTTCAGGAACCAAAGAGTATCCCATCTGTGTCATTTGGATGCCTCTTTAAAGCGGTTTGATGGATTGAAATCTAGTCTAGGAAAGCAGTATATTGGTAAAGGAGTCTTTGTTATTAACATTAATTGTAGATGCTATAACATTTCAGTCTGCTTAAACTTCTGTATTTCTGCCCTTCTAGGAACAGAAAAGTGGTGGACTACTCACAGTTTCAGGAGTCAGATGATGCAGGTAAATTTAAAACTGATGACAGTCTTTGGCAGCTACTTAAAGTGGTGGGCACTGCATGGTTTAAAGAGCAAGGGTGCTTCTAAGGTGTTTAGTTTTATTCAGCCAAACAGTAAGCATAATGCTTTAGCAAGGGGTGATGCAGATGTGCTGTCTTGAATAGGTATTTGGGAGTTGCTAGTTTGGTCAACACATTGTTTTAGCATGTGGCTTTTTAATTTCCATTCCTCTGGGGCTCTCTTCCTTCTTGGAGTACTGCAAGTGAATTATATTAATGTTTCTGGAACCTCTACAGGATTTTTTTCTTCCTTTCTTGGAAAGCACACATGCTGCTACTGTCTGATGAATGAAGCTGCTATGGTGGTAATTAATGAAAACAAAATATGGTGCTATCCTATGTTGTTTCTAATTTTGTTTTGTTGGCTATTCTGTTATAACTTGTGCAAGATCTTCACCAATCAAGAAACAACAAGAACTTACCAAGGCATTTAAAGCCAACCAGTGTGTCTGTCGAGCTCTTAACTATTGTAGTTTGGCTTATGAATTAGGTTTGTATCCAATGCTAATCCTGCTCACAGTAGACCCATTGAAATTTATGAACGTAAATTATTCATGTCCATTAACTCCAGTGGATTTACTCTGACTAGGACTGGCATTGGATACAACCCTTAACCATTTACCATCTTTATTTTTTAAAAAGACCAAAAACATACCCCAATAAAATTCATCATGACAGACAGACTGTGGCAGTAGGCATAAGTGCAGTATTGTTGTGAAACCTGTATTTCAGTTTCTACCTTCCTTTTTATTAATTGATATGCTTTATGCACCATCACTCAACAGGTTCCGAGGGCAGCTCTCAGTATTGCAGCCAAATATTAAGTATTGTATATTGTTCCTCCTCCAGGAAACTTTATATGAACTGAGTGTGCCTTAGAGCACACCACATCCAGGGGTCCACTGTGGCTTCAAGTTGCAGTGGATTGGGAGCAGTGGGCAAAATACTGTGGTGCGTCCATCATTATTCTTCACATGAAACCCTGATAATTTGAGAAATCCTTATTGTATGACACTACTGTTCACCTGTGTATAAAAGCAGTTGTAAAAACAATTGACAACTGCTCACTGCTATTTGGATATAAACCAGATAGTCTCCTGTGGTCTGCCAGACAGAGAAATTGAGAAGTTAATGAGATCTGTATTCAAAGGGTAGATTTGTAATCTGGGGAACCGGGTTCTCGTCTCCACTCCTCCACATGCAGCTGCTGGGTGACCTTGGGCCAGTCACACTTCTTTGAAGTCTCTCAGCCCCTCTCACCTCACAGAGCGTTTGTTGTGGGGGAGGAAGGGAAAGGAGAACGTTAGCCGCTTTGAGACTCCTTAGGGTAGTGATAACACGGGATATCAAATCCAAACTCAATGAAACTGCCATGTTATTTTACTGGGGCTTTTAAATATTCTCTTGAGTGTTAATTTCCTCTAAGTATGAGTTTATTTTTAAAATCTCATAAATTGCTGTTTAATAGGCATTACTTGAATTCCATATCCAAACTAATTAAAATACAGCCAACTTAAAATGAACCATAATAATTGCAGAGAATCATCAAATCCAATCTAAAAGACTACTAGGTTTTCAGCAGCCCCGATTTTCAGTTGTTTCATGGCATTTTAGCAGGATGCTGTGCTTAGTGTTAATCTTTCATGGTTATACCATTTAATTATACTAACTGGCAAACCTGTAATCATCCACAACACCTGTTTTATCCCACTTACAATATAGATGAAGAATATGGCAGAGATTCAGCCCCTCCAGCCAAGAAAATTCGTTCATCACCAAGGGAAGCAAAAAATAAGAGGCGGTCTGGAAAGAATTCTCAGGAGGATAGGTAAGCAAGATCCCTACTACTTAAGTTTGTTATATAGGTGGCTTTAACTTGAGGACCTATACACTTTTCCAACTTAGTTTGGATGACTAGGAAAAGGGATTTTTTATATATATACAGAAAATGACAAATATAGTGCCCTATACTGTGTGTTTCAATAAAAGCACTTCAGCTTTTTTCAAATAAATTGTAGTTCTCTTATTCTGGACTTCTTGTCTTTCCTCTGAAATGGGTTTTGGATTTTTTATAAGCTGGTAGAGTAGCAGGGGATTGTTGCAAACTTCAAAGATAAATACCATTGCTATGCAGATTTTATAGTTAAAATTTGTATTGTTTCCTTCAGAATTCTCCCTCCTTGCAACTTGGGAAGCACAAGAGTTGCTTCAGCAATTAAGCAAAATTGCTTGTTGTCTGAAAGCTATATTTAGAATGATGCAGTATAAAAGTACTTTAGTAGATATCTTTTTATTCCTGGAGTAGATAATAAACTGAATAGAATTAATAAATTCAGTCAGGTCTTTTTGTTCAGATGAAACAACCTAGCTGCTTTCCTCCTTTACCTCAGAATGCACTAATAATAAAATAATCTTCATGGTTGTACTTGAATTAGATCTACTAATTTTCCTTTTCACAGTGAAGACTCAGAAAAAGATATGAAGACAAAGAGAGATGATTCTCACTCAGCGGGTAAGTTATGCATCTTACTATATAGATAACCAGCTGGAGTTCTTTTCCCTGCCATTGCTTCTCTCAGAAATTTTGACTGTGTTCTTCTCTAAATTGTCTGTAACAGTATCAAATGCACTTTCCTTTGTTCTGCGCTTGCTCACTGGTCTTTAGCATTAAAGCCTGGAATAGTCCACCATTTCTGATTGTGCTTCCCTGCAGTAGAAGGCTAAGAATAACTTTTATCACCATGTTTTCCTCAGATGAAGATTTTGGCAGTGAGGATGACTTAGGAGCAGATGATGGCAAAGCTGATAGTGACTATGAGAGTTCTCAAAAGAACAAAAAAGGGAAAAAAGTGAAACCTGACAAGAACAAAAGAGCAACTTCCAAATCCAGGAAAAGGGCTGCAGGTAAAGGCTGTGTAAATCAAGTAACTCACTATGACCTGGTTTGCATGTTACATTCAGCCATAGTTAAAATCATGGTTCAGTGGGAATGAGCATTGTGCTGGGTGCATGCTACTGAAATCAGGGACTTCACTTTTCTCCTCTCCTCTCCTGCTTCTGCTTCTGCCATATTTCCAGGAAACAAGCTGTGCTGTGGCTTGTTGTATTGGCTCGTGGTTTGTTCCTCTCCAAAGAAACCATGAACAGAAGCCAAGGTTTGTTCTTGGTTTACCATTTATGGTGTGTTTGGAGAAAAACCAGGGACGCATGATTCACATGACATAACTAGCAAGCCCATAGTTTGTTTCCTAGTACAAGGGAGGAACAAAGTGTCTGTGTTTTCAGCAGTGTGCAGAAGTGCCCTGCACATTCACATTAATAATAATAATAATAATTTATTATTTATACCCCGCCCATCTGGCTGGGCTTCCCTGGCCACTCTGGGCGGCTTCCAAAAGAATATTAAAATACTATAAAACATCAAACATTAAAAGCTTCCCGAAACAGGGCTGCCTTCAGATGTCTTCTAAAAGCCTGGTAGTTGTTGTTCTCTTTGACATCTGGTGGGAGGGTGTTCCACAGGGAAGGCGCCACTACCGAGAAGGCCCTCTGCCTGGTTCCCTGTAACTTGGCTTCTCGCAGTGAGGGAACCGCCAGAAGGCCCTCAGTGCTGGACCTCAGTGTCAGGGATGGAGCCAGGGATGGAGAACCTCAGGTGCTGGGGACAAATGTGGCCCTCCGAGCTTCTTTATCTAGCCCTCAAGACACTCTCTAGGCCAAAATCTGTCCCCAGGCTACAACCCTCATTGGTTCTACTCTACTTTCTTGAGTGTATTTACCTGGCTGGAATACGTCCTTGAACTGTGATGAGGCTTCTTGCTTCCATGTTAGAGGATGGAGAGGTATAGGAGAAGGAATAGAAACCTCTGGCTTTTGCTTGCCTGAAATGTAGCCTACTATAAGAGGAATATCCATTGCTCCACTCACTTTTGCCTTTAATCTCCACCCATCACTGGCATTTGACCCATTCCAATGTGACCTCAAGCTAAAGATGTCCCCCACCTGTGTATGAAGCAGTAGGTAATGATATGTGCAACCTGACCTACATTAAACTTCAGTTTCCTGCAATATATTTGTATCTATCGATTCGGTTAATGCCTATCAGTGCAAGCTTAGCCATGTCTGCTGATAAGTAAGTCACAGTAAATTCAGCAGGGCTTATTCCCAGATAAGTGGTGTTAGGATTGCAGCCTTAATACATGTCATCACCTTCATAACATCTTACATAGACAATTTCAGGTAATGCTGTTTCAGAAAACTGAGGATCCATTTCTTACTTAATTTAGCCAACTCGGCATATCTAAGCAACCATACATATTAGGTGTGTGAATGGAAGACTGGTCAAGTTATACCTAAACTTGTTGAAGAATAAATATTATTGCACATTCTGCTTCCTCACTGGACTTGCTTCAAAGCTTTTTGTAGCCTGTGCTGCTTAGCACAGTCCCTTCAGCCAAAGGATATACATTAAAACATTCATCAGTTTTGAATAAAAATACACAAATTTATTTGTTAACACAGTAGATGGATAATTTAGAGATTTTTACATTTTTATAATATGAAGAGAACAATATATGTTAACAAACCAGAAAGAGGAACTGAGGGAATTCGTAGGGGGGTGGGAGGGGGGTATACGGGGGCGGCAGGGGGGAAATTGGGGGGGGGGATACAATTGTTGGAATAATTTGTTATGTGAAAATGGTTAATAAATTTAAAAACAAAAAACATTCATCAGTAACTGTTCTTAGGCCACAATCCATTGTGCTGGGGAAGGCTTCCCCCTCTGAGCTCAAAAAGACCTCTGATCACAGAGTTATGGCGAAGTCACTCTTCCAGGGGTGAGCTCCCTGTTCTGCCTGCTGAAATGCCCACAAAAATCTCCAGAACAGAATGCTTTTGGGGGGGGCGGGGCGGGGAGGGATCCTGAGCCAGCCCCACCACTATCACTTGGCAGCCTCAGGCCCAATCAGCTGCTCAACTCGTGCCTTGCTGCCTGGTGAAGGTTGGGATTGTTCTACCCTGGGCCAGCCAGCCAAAGACATTTTGGCACCTGAGGTGAACCACAAAATGGCAGCCCCTCCCCGCCAGGGAAGAAGGGATGAGTGAAGATCTACATCAGGTATAACAAGTAAATGATGATCTACATGGGGATCTGCTGCCCCTGTGGATCCAGCTGCCTGACATGGTCGCATCACTTTGCCTCCTGGGTGAGCTGGCCCTGGCTCTATCCATCCTTTTCTGTCCTCATTTGATTAGCATCTTGGTTCTGATTTTGGTTATACTTCCCTTTTTAAAAGAAAGAAAGAATCAATGTTTATCCACAAAGCTTTGCTACCTTTTCTCAGATGAGAGAGCCAGAGAAGGGAAATGAACAGTATGTTATGTAAAAACTAGCCCTGCTTCTTGTTTTTGTTTAGTCGTTTATCGTGTCCGACTCTTCGGGACCCTATGGACCAGAGCACGCCAGGCACTTCTGAGCCCTGCTTCTACTGAGTTCCATTTCCAGTGTAGAGAGCAGCAGGTTAACCAGTGCTGGGTGTTCCATTATTTACCATTACAGATGGGTATTTTGCATGGAGACAACTTCAGAATGATTGAAAATTAGAAGCTTTCAGATAAGTTTGGTGTTCAGCAAATCTGAATTATGTCATGAATAGATAAGCCTTTATTTCCCCCTAGTTTCTTCCCTACCCCAGTTGGAAATGTGTGCTGTACTGTCCATCTTCAGTGTTCTTTGGTGACTTTATAACAGAGGACAGTGAGGATGAGAAAGAAGATCAGAAAAATGTGCGCCAGCAGCGACAGGCAGCATCCAAAGCTGCTTCCAAGCAGCGAGAAATGCTCATGGATGATGTGGGCAGTGAGGAGGAAGACCAGGAAGAGGAGGAGGCATCGTTTCAGGAAAGTAAGTGGCACCGAACGGCACACACAAATGTAGAATAGAAGTGGGTTCGACAAATTACATCCATGCTTGATCTATCCAGGCTAAGCTGCCAAGGTAGGCAAACTTGACATTTCTGCTTCTTGAGTATTGAATGCACTTCATTGTTAATGTACTTAGTGTCCAGCTTGGCTGTTGACAACAAAGAGGGAAGGGAAAACAACGCTGTCCCTCAAGTTCAGGGTCCAAATCTTTTAGGACATGTGGAGAGCTTTTAGTCAATATTTCTATTAGTAACATACAAACTTGCCATATTCGTCACTGTTTTATCTTCAGCACTGGACAACAAACTGAACAGGCCACTTTGATTACAAATACCATCCTATCTGGCTTCAGGAGACAGTAAAGGGCCTCAAATCCCCTTGTGTACATGGTTAGCAATTAAAAATCAATATGTGGTAAAATGCCTGCACCTCAGATTTTATTTCTTGCTTGTTCTGTTGTGCAAATTGACATACCCTTGCTCTAAATGATGAAAAGTGGGGACCCATTTCTTATTTGCTGTGAATGTGTGCAAATAAACAAGAGAAACCCAGTGAGCTGATGAACTAGAATCATGGACATCTGGATTCAAAACCTGGAAGTCTGTTATAGGAAGCAGTAAGCTACTGCTATTCCATATATAATAAGTTACTGGTGTTTGTTTCCGAGGGCACTTCTACAGCTTGCTACAAGATGGAAGACCATATTGAACAAGAGAACAGACATAGGCTGGGAAGGGAATTCATATAGAACCTACAGCGGCTGGCATAGGAAATGGTCAGGATGAGCCTCCATGTAATTGCTCTTGAGGGAAGGAGAAATATGCCTATGCCACTGCTGTTTTAAATAATTGTGCTGCTTGTCACCAGTCATAAAGCAGATTTACATGAGGAAATACTGAGGCGCAGAAGTCCTGATTTCTCCAAGTTCTAGCAAGTATGTTACAGGATATAGAAGCCAAGAATGCTGACTTCTATCCCTTGATCAACCTACCAGACTTTCTCCCCCATTCTGTCTCTCTTCCAAGTGAACAAGGACAGCCCTTCTTAGAGACATTTCATTCCTCTCTCTCTGCACAGAAGAGTCTGGCAGCGATGAAGACTTCCTTGTGGAAGATGATGATGATAGTGACTATGGCAGTTCAAAAAAGAAGAACAAAAAAGTGGCTAAGAAATCCAAACCAGAAAGGAAAGAAAAGAAAATGCCTAAACCAAGGCTAAAGGCTACAGGTGAGCTCAGCTTGCTTCCCCTTTGCACCTGTTAGGAATAACATAATGGAAATTTGCTTGCAAGTGCTTATGTTTTCTCAGCTCTTCATCTCTTGTGCTTGAAAGAATAGGAAGCAATCAATTTTCAACTAGCAATTTATCCCTATTAACATACATGGCAGTCTGTATAATGTGGTAGAGCTGATTACTGGAAAGTTCTTGTATGGATTGCTCCTGATTTCAAAGAAGCTAGTGGCTGTATCAGGATGGGATTCTATGACTTCTTGGTTACCAGTATTGTGTTCAGACCACTTGCCAGTGCTGATTAAAACAGGTGATGTTCGTGCCTACCAATCCTAATAAATTCCCTTTGTTCCATTAGGCGTGAAAATAATATGGTGAATCTTAGGACAGTTCCAGGTGTATCCAAAGCTACATACATCCTGAAAGCATAAATGCTCATTTGGTTAAACCTTGTCTTAAGAAAAGTGTAAGCACAGTGCGGGTGGAAATTTTTTGGGAGGCTTCGATTAAATTATCTAAACAATTACTTGGATAACGGGTATGCCCAACTGTTATGTTCCTTTAAATATCAAATGTATCATGATTCTAGCAGAAAGGAAGAGATGGTGCTCCTAACCTTTAGCTGCTATACTGAAGGAGAATTTTAGAATAAATGCATTCACACTGGCTGTGTTTTCAGCCTAAAATCAGTTACAACACTTGAAATGCTGTGCATTATTTAGGAGTATGTACAACCATGTTATTGCCACATGCCCAGCTTACATTACACTAACCCTGTGATGCCTTCGTATTTTAGTGAAAGTCATTCTGTTTCAAATTTGCTTTTATCATAACTGGCTGCTTACCCTTGGAGAAGAGAAAGATGGTGAGCATCAGTTCTAAGAAAGTTTTAATGGCACCTTTAAGAAGGATATGGGAGAGGGTGCCTCATTGCTGGCACATTTTATTGCTGACACAATAGCAGGCTCTCATAAGTCTTTTTAAAATAATAATTAAAAAAAATACGGTTCTTATTAGGAGGAATTGGGCATTGTCCTGAGCACACCAAGCCCAAGGAAGACAAACAGCCAGTAGCTTAATTCTTTACTGACAGCATGCACTAGAGTAGCTCCTAAGGTGCACCAAACACACACACACATACTTATGGCAACTGAATAACTGGTACTCCTTCCCTGGGCTTGTGCTCTGAGCTGGACTGTTGCGTCCACATGACCCTGCCTCCACCCACACTTAAGTTCCCTTCCCTGACAGGGTACACACAAACAAGCTGTGACTTCTACACTGAAATCACCGCTGTGCCTGTCTCTTCAAGCCCGTCCTGGTCCTGGGAGACAACAGGGAAGGGGACGGAGGGAATTCTACCAGCCTGCCCCTCTCAACAGTTTCTTCCTCTGCTCCTGATGCATCCTGCACCCCTTCCACTGTCTCTGACTGTTCAGACACTTGGTCCAGACCAAGCTCCTGCCTCACAGGTGGCACAAAACCCCATAAATCACTGACACCCCCCCATCAGCCTCAGGGGGCCTCTGCCACACACTTCTTGGAGCCCTGACAAGCACCATCTTGTAGGAATTTAAGCTATGTTCAATAGTACTAATACATTTTCATTCCTACATTACCAGATTGAAAAGTTAAGAAAGGAAAAACATATTTTAAAATGTGCTCAGAAGCTGATTTTTTTAAAAAAGCACTAATTGTAAGATTCTTTGTTACATTTTGATGCTTTTCTTCCTTCAGTTACACCTAGTCCAGTGAAGGGCAAAGGGAAGGGAGGCCGTCCCACAGCTTCAAAGACATCAAAAGAAAAGACCCCATCCCCAAAAGATGATGACGAAGAGCCTGAAAGTCCTCCAGCAAAGAAGAAATCAGTTAGTCCTCCTCCAGACAAATCTGGGGATGAAGGGTCTGAAGATGAAGTCCCCTCTGGTGAAGATTAAATGGTGGTGTGGGAGAGAAACTTTTTTTGAGAGAGCGAGAGAGAGTAAGGAAAAGAGAATATACTTAGGGGGTAGAACATGGTTTTGGTTGTGGCTTGACTCATGGGCTGTGAATGCCACCTTTACTTTAGCTGTTTTAATAGTACAGTGCTTTCTTCTTTTTTTAAGAGAACCTTTACACAATAATGATTTGACGTCACAGTCTCTACTGGCCATTCCGTTCTCCCCAACCAAATTTGAAAGCCATTTAGATTTAAATTAACAGCATACTAAAGATATATTTTTGAAGGCTTACTGCAGTTGTAAAGCAATAAGGATGAGGCTGATACTTGGAAATCATAGTTAACTAATGGTATAGGTTTTCCAAAGCTGCAGAAATTCTTCTAAGGCAACTGTTGCTTAATTGAATCCAAAACAAATATATTATTGCACATTGCATTTCCTTTGACATAATTAGTATATGAATTAGTTTGAAATCCATCATGGGTTTTAAGTTCCAATACTCTGAATGTTTGGGGTTCCACAGTCTTGTTTTAATGACCATTTGGTCTGTTCTATTTTTCAGTCTTCTGAAAGACCCTACCTGTTCATGCCGTAGATACTATTGCTGCTTATTGATAAGGATAGGATTCCATTCATTTTTTCCCTGACTCTCATTCGTTTTGAAATGTCCATCTTTTTATGCTGCTTTGAAGCTTTGCATAAAATTTAAAGCTTGGTTTCAGGGAGATTTTTGGAAGCTGGAACAACTGTTTTGAAAAGTTGGGATGGGAGGCTGAGAGAGGTATTCTTTAGAAACGTGGAAGTGACTTTATATATTGGCACAGTGTCTTTTTCAATCCAAGAGTCATGGCTTAAGTACTCCTTTCCCTGAGATCCTCAAAAGTCAGACTACACAGCTTCCACCAACAAGGAGTTTAATTTATCCTGAACCATCATTTCCTTGCTTAGTTTAGTTTCCCCTGCTTTCTGCTTTCTCCATTGCTAGATCTTACTTATTCTCTAGTTAGCAGAGGCTATATACCTAGGATAAGTGAGGAGCAGAGTGTGAACTGGAAGACATGATGTAGCAGAAATAGTGCATCTCAAAATCAGGATATCTTTCCAGTGCGCAAAACAAGTTTTCACTGATGTATCAGTATTGCCAATTTAGACACAAGACAGATTTTGCTTTTCAGTCCCAGGTAATTACAAATACTGCAGTATTAAGTGTGAGTTAGAGTGCCATCTGCTTTACATCTTCCATTTTGTACAGTTGCAGTAACACTTTCAACCATAATCTCTTTGCAAATTGATTTTGAGTATCAGTGTTCTGAAGCCAGATCCTTTGTCATCTGTGCTAAGATGGTTAAAAGTGTAGAGAATGCTATTCACAAGCATCCTCTTCAAGGACAAGGTCTGCTTGACTAGTATTGTAAGGCCATGCAAAGAATATAAAAGCAGTGAAATACCATGTAGGTTCTTTCTCTCACACATGCATACACACACATGGCATAGGTATGTGCTTTTAAACCTTGGCTTATTCAGACTTCTGCTATTTATAATAGCTCTACTTGTGTCTACATGACTTCCACTTTACATCTGCTTTGGGGTTTAGTGAAAGAACACAAATTCCTCCTGGGTTGGAGTAACAGTTTTGAAGTTAGCATATGTGTTTTTTAACAATAACTAGAGAGCAAAAATATCTTGAGATCCTCCATGGACAGAAGCCAGTCCATCTTGACTCACATTTGCCAATTTAGCCAAAGCTTAATTGGCTGTGTGATCTGGGTACTACAGGCATGAAGACTGTATTGCTTCTTTCAGAGTGTTGAGTTCAAAGTGGTAAACTTATTCTATACTGTAAATGAAGCACTTGGTGACCTAGTCTATTTGGCTGCTCCAAATGTACACATTTTTGAGAGCTTAGCTCTAGCGATTATGATCAGCCAACTGCTTATTGCTGTCTGAATATGTTTCTGCTGATGATTCACTTATTTTGAAAAATGTGTGTCTTTTTTTTTCTTGGCATCCTTTCTTTTAACACATTCAACAGTGTATATAGGATGCATAAGAAAGTCATCAAGACTCCTGTTTTTTCTTCTTCGTTTATTTGAACCCATTACCCCCTTGAATTTTTAAAAACAGTTCTGTGTATCAGATATTGTACATGATGGAGAGCAGGCTATTTTATGTTGAATCTGTGAAAACCCAAACTATATGCTATGATTTTACTGGGTTCTGCATATGTCTCCCTGGAAGCAAATATTTAGAATATTGTGAGTGAAAACATTTAACTGCTTTCTCTCACCATTCTTTATAGTCCAGAGATGGAAGGAAAGTGTTTCCCTCCTGCAGTCCATGTAACACTAGCAAAATAATGTTAATATTTTAAACTTGTAATTCTAGTTTGCAAAATCAGTTTTCTCTGCCTCTGTGTATATGGCTTCTGAGTGCAGTATTCTAGGGATGTGATAGCCGTATCAGTTCACTAGTTTGTCCCTTGGAACAAGTATTGCCAGAGAAACAAATCGGTATACTTCAGTGTGTGTTACTGTACATCGATTGCTTCCTGGGAGTGGCAGGTTATTTAATAAGATTTACTACAAATTTGCTGAAAAACCAAAAGCAAATATTTTCAGTGTATCGTAAGTTTTAGCTTTGCAAGCAACTGTGAAAGCAGTATGGGTATAAACAGAATTTTAGTAGGGGTTTGAAAGGTTTTTTGCAGCTTACCTTGGGGACTTGACGAGATAGTGGTTGCCATGGTGCTGAAGAAACAGCCTGCACACCTTAAAGGTGAATATCCAAGTATAGGATGGCTTTTACTTTTCAATCTAATGTTTTAGGGCAAATCAATAAAACTTAAATCAAGGGGCTTAGTGCTCAGTTTAATCTAACGTACGAATCGTGTATAAATATATTGGGAGAGATGGGGAAATGTATATACATTCAGGTGGTCTGTAAACCCTTCTGGAATTGTTAGTAGGGAAGATGTGATGCAGATACTGAATATACTCGATTGTGATATGCCTGCACCAAGTACGGAAACGTTTAATTATGTGGATTGAAATTACTTTTTAAAACTTAATTTTAAAGTATGACTCCCAAGTACAACAAACAGCTAAACTAAGGAGTGGAGGTGGGGCAGGACAAGAGCTATAACATGCTGGAAGCTTATGAGCTGTAGAAATTGGTGCTTTTGCTTTATGTAATTTTTCTGTGGAGTGTTTATTTTTTTAAAACAAATCATAATGTTGGCACATTGTTTTATAAAATAAAAGGAAATTGATTCCTATGATTTTAGCTATTTGGAAAGTTACATTAGTGCTTTGTGGAGGAATTTGACTGTTTCCCCCCTTCCCTCCAAATATTCATTGAATAGGCTCTGTGTGGGGCTTGGGTCCACCTGTTACTGAAACCCAACAACCCTTCCCTCTTCTCTTCTCTCCCCCCTCTTCGGGTTGCATATGGAACAAACAACTTGTGGAATCTTGGGCCCAAATGGAAACTGGATAGCAAATCTCCTCTTGGGCATGTAATAATTTAAGGACCCATAATTCACTAAGCTGACAGTTGCCATTGGTATTCCTCCTTTCCCCCCATTCTCATTTCAGTTTGCTTCACTGGGTAGCTCACACTTGGTTTTTCTTCATGAAACTTTTCTGTCCCTTGAAGCGGAGGTTTTGCCTTTCAAGTCTATTAAAGCATTCACTATATGCTGTGTTGACCACTGTTGAGAGTACCTGTTGCCCCACCTGCCCCTGTACAAAACTGTAGAAAATGGAATGGTTCCATCAGTTTGAGCATGCTTGGTGTGACTGCAAGATACCATTGTGCATATGCTTTGTATATCTGGGGAGGGATTTTTTATAGGGGTTTGGGGCAAAACAATACGCAAACTTGCTTTAAGCCACAATAACATGAAAACCCCTTCAAGTATCTTGTGTGAATGGGAGTGGGTGTGCGTGTAAGCGTGCATGTGTGGGTGTCCGTCTGACAACTTAATGTGTGTTAGAAATTTGTGAACTTTACTTTTCCCGCAGAAACAGTTATTACAAAAGTTGTATATAAGAGAATTACATAATTTGTTTACCAGGAACATGTCACAGTAAAACCCTGAACTATTCTCAAATGTAAAGAGGTTAAAAAAAAAGACTCCAAGTGGGGCAACTGCCCTTGGCATCAGCTACAGGTTGATGAAATGGAATGCAGTGGATATTTGTCTTGGGTGTTCACTACCCTGTTGAGTTCTTGGTCTCCCCTGGATTTTTTTCATGGCCTTGAAAGACAGGCTGCTGACTAAAATATGGCACTTCAACTGGTCAGTTATCTGAAGGAATATTGCTAGACAGGATGCCACAGTCACCAGTCCTATTAATAGCTAATAGGGTTGTCATTCCCTTGACAATGAAATCTGCAGCATGGTACTAGAAGTTCAGTTTGAATGTAACATTAATGCTTTATTTAAAAAATGCATTTTTTTAAAGAAAGGGGGGGTTGAAGTGAACATGACGTTGTTGACCATGTTCGTGAATTATAGATGCAACATGCATTGGTAGAATTGTGTGATGGTCTTTTGTGCTACTTAATTTTACATATTCCAGTCTCTGTATGTACTTGCAATTAAAAAAAAATTAACAAACCTTGCTTTGCTTTTTATTGAAGGGTTCCCAGGACTGCATATCTGCTCCTGAGCTCTGTTTTAAGTATGTGTATCCTTGGCTTGTATTTTGTATTAAAAGAGAACATGGAAAAGAACCCTTTATTGTTCAGCATGTTGGATTTGTGTCCCCCTCATTTTTTTTCTCTTTTTTTGGGAATATATTAAGCAACTTATTCTTCTGTATCTTATTTTCTTTTGTAAACTTCTTGGTTTTGTTTAAAAATGGCTTTATAAAAGGGCTTTTATAACCCATAAATATGCCTTCTGTGGTTTTTCCACTCCTTATTGTATAATGCCTAGCATCAGTTCTGCATTTGCTTTTTAAAAAATCATTAATAGTCTGCAAGTAAACCTAGAAATTCTGTGTATCTTCTGTCCCGAGGATTCATGTTCAGGGTGCAGCTATTCTTTAACAGTGTAATGCTAATGATATCCACTCTGAAGTACCGTATTTTTCGCTCTATAAAACGCACCAGACCACAAGACGCACCTAGTTTTTGGAGGAGGAAAACGCGAAGACAAAAAGATTTCTGAATTTTAGAAGTCAGATCAGCAAGACGGATTTCGCTATGGACAGTGCAAGACAGCAATCGCTCTTGCTAGTTCTGTGCTTTTCTGGATAGCTGCGCAGCCTGCATTAGCTCGCATAAGCCGCTACATATTGCCCTTATTCTTAAGACGGAAAACCGTGAGTCTTATAGAGCAAAAAATACGGTAAGTCCTTTTTAATTCATTGGGGCGTACTCCCAGGTAAGTGGGGTTAGGACTGCAGTCTAAGTCTCTAATGTACATAACTACTTCAGCAGTGTATTCCTACACACACTTTACTCAGAAGCTTTGTTCAGTGGGTCTTACTCCCTGCTTTGTTAGTGTGTTTATGATTGCATCCGGAGGGTGAAATAATTTGAGATACCTTTGAAATTACAACCATATGCAAATCGCAGTGATTTATCCTGCATAGTTATGGCACTGCTGTGAATTTGAAAAACAGTTTTCAGTAGATATGCAGGACACAATGGATACTACATCCAGTCTTGTACACAAGCAAAAGTCTACACGAGCAGAACAATGTTGGCTACAAACTAATAACTTACTATGTCATCCTTAGAACTTTATAGTAATGCTAGCAAAGCAAATGAGTATTTAAAATACTATCTTTGATTTACAAGTGAAATAATTAACTACAGTATATGCTATTACTGATGGTAGCAGCAGACTTGTTTGGGGGGGGTAATAGCAAGATACAAACAAGCAAAGAAATTGGAAAAGCAAGGTGTGTGTGTGTGTGTGTCTCAATCACATAATATGGAATGTTAAGTGGGAAATGGGAAACCTGACAATGGGATGAGCAGGGAATAGAGTGGCTGGAATATGATGTTATAAATGGATAATCTCAGATTCTAGAAGCTGTTTTTAAACATCCCTAGGGATGGGGCAGTAAGCTGCCCATCAGTGAAGAAATTAAATGCAGTGGGCAGAGGTATGTCCATCTGTAAAGGTAAAGGGACCCCTGACCATTAGGTCCAGTCACGGATGACAGGTTGCGGCACTCATCTCGCTTTATTGGCCAAGGGAGCTAGTGTACAGCTTCCAGGTCATGTGGCCAGCATGACTCAGCCGCTTCTGGCGAACCAGAGCAGCACACGGAAACGCCGTTTACCTTCCTGCTGGAGTGGTACCTATTTATCTACTTGCACTTTGACGTGCTTTCGAACTGATAGGTTGGCAGGAGTTGTCCATCCATAAGAGACCCAAAACAGGCTAATGAGAACTGGACAGCTGACTGACCGGGAAGCGGGGAGGGAACTGCAGCCAATTCCAGTACGAGTCCCATGGCTTATGTTGCCAAAATGGTGCCGCCCATGCACAAGAGATGTATCAAAAGGCTTTGGTTAACCCCAAGGTGTGCAATAAGACAATCCTGGGGGGACTAAGGGGACTGCAGAATAGGCCAATAAGGACAATTTCTCATTAGCCCAGAGAACACAGGCAGGTGGACTGAAAAATATGGGAATGGAATGAAGTACCATAGAAGCTGGCACTGAAGAGGAGCACACTGCCGCAGCATGGTTATGTGTCCACTTGCTCAGTTCACAGTCAATGCAGTCATACCTCAGGTTGAATGTGCTTCGGGTTGAGCGTGTTCGAGTTGCGCTCCGTGGCAACCCAGAAATAATGGAGCACGTTATGGGTTTCGCCGCTCGCTCGTGCTCAGACGCTCAAAATGATGTCATGCGCGGAAGCGGCAACACACAGACGCGCCGTCGCTTTTTACGTTCGCTTCAGGATGCTAACGGGGCTCCGGAACTGATCTCGTTCGCATCCCGAGGTACCACTGTACAGAACATGGTTTGCCTAGCAAATCAGGCAAAATTGTACATGGCTTTCCACTTCTGCTTCAAAATATATTTGGGTATCTGCTCTAGACAGTTTTTGGCTTTTTGCAAAACAATTCTAATCTGTGGGAAACAAGACTAAAGTTAATTCTAAATGTCCCTGTTAATATTAGCAGAAGGAGCACATAGCCAAATGTTACTCAATGCAGGGTGAAGAGTTTACATCCGTAGCTGTATACATAATCTAAAGCAGCAGAGGGCGTACCTCAACCTCTGAATTGCTTGTTTCTGTGCGAACCAGCATCTTGGCTTTTTGAGCTTTCTGCATTACAAAAAGTACTGGTTCCAGTTTTGCTGCTTTTGCAGTTTGGGCTAATGTTTGTTCATGCAAATTAACTTTTTTTGGCAGTTGTAGTAACATTGAAGCTCACTAATTTATGGGCCAAATAAATCACTTGAGCACAAAGGGAGACAGAAGTATGACCCAATGCATCGAAACCATCAGAGGGAAGAAACCTTAAAATTGTATCCCATTAGTTTGGTTTAAGGAACTGATCCAGGAGTATTGAATGTGTGAAAGTAATTTTGATGGAAGTGCACCTCTGGTTGTGACTCCTTTTATGAGTCTTTCCATCTTTTCCCCCAGTGCTTGGGTACGAAGCTAATGCCGTTCATTCTTGGCTCAATAACAAACAAGTTGGGGAATGAAGCACCTTTAACACAGATGTTAGGTGTGGGTCCATCTTCTTTCCGTGTTTACAATCCTGCTGTAGCAAAGCTTTCAGTGACTTCATTAAGCGCAACAAGCTGGTCACCATTGCTCATCTGTGCAGCTAATATCACTGGTTGAATGAGATCAGGCAAAATACTTTAGAAGAGTGTAGAAAGATAGCAGTTGCTGCTTTGCTGGTATTCATTTAATCCTTGCCTGCCTTGTCATGACCGATTGTTGTTGTTATTATATATTTTTATATATTGCATTTATATGTTACTATTTTCTCCAAGGGGCTCATGCTTCTCCCCCTCTTCAATATGGTGTAGTGGTTAAGAGCGGTAGTCTCATAATCTGGCGAACCGGGTTCGCTTCCCCGCTCCTCCACATGCAGCTGCTGGGTGACTTTGGGCTAGTCACACTTCTCTGAAGTCTCTCAGCCCCACTCACCTCACAGAGTGTTTGTTGTGGGGGAGGAAGGGAAAGGAGAATGTTAGCCGCTTTGAGACTCCTTAGGGTAGTGATAAAGCGGGATATCAATCCAAACCCCTCCTCTTCTTCAATCCTCACTACAACCCTGTGAGGTAAATTAGGCTGAGAGGCAGTGATTGCTGCAAAGCCACCCAGTGAACTACTTGGCCAAATGGGAATTTGAACCCTAGTCTTCCAGGTCCTAGTCTGACACTCTAACCACTACACCACACTGGTTACCTCCTTATCCTACTTTTGCAGCATCTCCACTTCTCCACATCTGTTTCATGTTCTAGTCCACATGAATAAGGTTTTGACTGCCTTGCCGTCCCCTCTTGCCACTGCGCAGCTCAGTATTTTCTTTTGCGTGCATAACGGATTTATTTTGATGGATAGCCACAGAATACAGCTTGCCTTAAACAGTACGGTGTGGTCAAGAATGTGTGTGCATAATACTAAATTGGAGGCCGAAGTCATAAATGTAAATTCTTGAAATCTCTGTAATGGTTTTTTGCTTGCTCGATTCTCGGTTTGTGTTTGACATGAGTGGGATGCGCAATGGGGCATCTTTCGCACAGCTAACATTGGAAAGCCTGCCTGGTCCAATCTTGCAAACAAGTTTCACCCAAAACTGTTCACATCTTTACAAGCATCACACAAATGGAAATGTTAAAACTGAATGCTATGCCCAATACCAAATCCCACATTTGTGCAGCATGATTTCAGTCTATACATGGCCCCAAAATGTTGTCCCTCTGCAATCCAGTTTGAAATGTTATCCTTCCCTTCCCCTTGCTGTCCTTGTGACTCCAGCCCTAGTAGGTCCTTACTGGCTGTTCTTAAACCTGTGCCTTGTTCTAGTACAAGCTGTGCCACTTGGGAGTTCTGAGCACATTGGCATTGTTTTGTTGAATAGGAGTGCCTATTTGCACATGGGGTGGGTGACTGTAACAAAGGGCGTGCTGTCACCTGCTGCTGGAAATAATAAAACAGGAGAATGAGTGGTGTAAAATATGCCAAATCCTGCTTTGCAGGAGAGCTGCTCTTTCATCTAAAACTAAATGGAGCCTTTCCAGATAATGATGAAAGACAGTCCAGTTGTGAGTGTAGCCCTCGCTCTGGAAGCACTTTGATACTAGCTGCAAACTTAAGCATAGAAAGTGTGTGAGAGCTTAAAAAAAGTAAGCATCATTTTTTTATGGCTATAAAGTTAAGTCTGGGGAGAAATGTGGCTCTCTGGGGATCTCCAGACCACACCCCTTTTACAGGCCTAGCTGGAATGTTTTCCCCAGCCCTTTTCATGCTTCTTGCTTGCCTGTGAAATGCCTCCTTTTCAGTGCAAGCCAGGTAAGCCCCCTCTTGTTCTCCCAGGTCTTTTAACACCTCTTAATTTCCTTTAGCATCGCTGATGATGATAATTTTATTCTCTGCAACATAATGGCAATTGAGCTGGGTTTTGTATGCTTGCTTGGGTTTTGACTTGTGGCTGTCTGTGTTGTATTTCGTGACTGGTTTTTATTTATTGTGAGGCTGGCTTTATTGATGTATGATGTTACCGAGTTTGTTTTAATTTTGCCTGCTTTTTTATAGGAGGCTCATAAACTGAATGGAATATGGGGGGTGGAATCATTGTGGCCTTCATGTCCACGTCATCAGACGCATGAAGTCTTATCCTGAGTTAGCAGATTATATATGCCCATATACAAGGATACATACACGTAAATGGGTTTAGAGGGGGGAATGTAAACAATGAGGCTAAAAGGCCATGAAATACAAGAGAGAAAGCATGTGGTATTTCCATGGAAAGCTCAAATGTATACAAGATAAGCACAGCTACAATCCATAACAGGAGCATTTGGTGATAACACTGTATTTCTAACTGTGTCCTGCTAATTTAACACCTGTAGTAGAAGAGCCTGAGTCCTAAACAAATACTGTCAAGCTTACTGATAAATTCTAGTTCCTCAATTTCAGCTTGAACTCTCGCTTTGAAGTTTCTATGTTGAAGAGAAGTGACTTCATTCAGCCACATTTGAACATCCATTTATTCTTGCCTTGTTAGTCCTTTGCAGGCACTGTTGGCAAATTAACGGCATATATATTGTGTTGCAGATTGAGCAGATGCATGACCTCCAATGGCTCAGCTGTTGATGCCATGAAGTCCTGGAATACTGTTGCCTGTGTAAATAAGAGGACAGAATATATACTTGATGAGTCATGGAAATAAGGCTGCCAATGGTCACAATGGTTGTATCTTGTCTCAAGGATTAGAGGCGATCTGCCTCTGAATACCAGTGGGAAACAGCTACTGTGCTCATATCTGGCTTTGGGTTTCTAATATGTATCTGGTTGGCCACTGTGGGAACTTGGCTTACACAGTCCTTTGGTCTCATACAGCTGGGCTCTTCTTAAGTTTTTATGACTTGGCAGACAGTGCAAGTGGTCTGTTTAAGACAAGGGTGAGGAACCTGTGACCCTCCCATAATTCTTGGCCATTGACCATGCTGGCTGGAGCTGATGGAAGTTGGAGTCCCACAATATCTGGAGGTCCTCAGGTTCCTCGCCCATGGTTTAAGACCCTAGATGAGCTGAAATGTCAACCTGTGGGGTTACGATGTGCAGATGTACCTTCCCATGCAAGTCAATGCTTGGTGTTCATTTGCTAGCCGAATTGCAAGGAGGAAAATCCGTTGCATGTTAATGGTATCAATATTTTGCACTCCAAAATAGTACCTGCTAACAGAGCAGACCTCTGTTTGGCTCCAATACCAGATTTCCTGCTTCAATACTTAAAAACAACAATTTTTAAGATTTGAAATTGTAACAAAAAGGAGCAAAAACGAATAACAACACAACAAAAACCCCTTGGCAGCCAACACTGACAATAAGAATATTACATCAATCCTGCTCTAATACTTTATCAAATAATCAAATATAATGGGTGTGTTCTTTATAGATGTATTTTACAGATAAAATTGTCATAGTCCTTTAATCTACGCTATTTGCTTGCTAAGTTTAGCAGAATTTTGCCAGGTATGAAACAAAGTTCCTTCTTTAAAATTCTACACCACAGCTATTGAAGGGTATAAGTTGAAGAAAAGTGGAATGGAGATGATTTGGGGGTGTCACCAAATGCGTGAGATATCCCAGTGGCTGCTGATGCTGGATGACAAATTGCCAGACCAAGCACAAGGCCAGATGGAAAACCTTGCATTTATCTTTATGTGTACAGAAGTGACAACTCTGAGGCCATTCATCCCTCTCAGCTTTCTGGAATCTACTGCCCAATTATGGCCACTTGGGACAAGAGAGATCAATGATCTTTTTAAAACAAACAGGCCCTGGTTTGTGAATCTCAAGCCAAATTCACATATGTCTTTGCAACTTCCTGCTGAGGGCAAGTTTGTCCCTCTGTCTGGATATGAGATACAGTTAAACTGGGGGTGGGAGAGATGGAATTAGACCTAGGATTCTGCAAAGGGTTTCTCAAAGGGTGGGTGGGAGTTAAAAGTGCTTAAATGCAATTTTTTTAAAATAGAAGTAAGTTTCTGGTGTCATAATAATAATAATAATTTATTATTTATACCCTGCCCATCTGGCTGGGTTTCCCCAGCCACTCTGGGCGGCTTCCAAAAGAATATTAAAATACTGTGATACATCAAACATTAAAAGCTTCCCTAAACAGGGCTGCCTTCAGATGTCTTCTAAAAGTCTGGTAGTTGTTGTTCTCTTTGACATCTGGTGGGAGGGTGTTCCACAGGGAGGGCGCCACTACCGAGAAGGCCCTCTGCCTGGTTCCCTGTAACTTGGCTTCTCGCAGTGAGGGAACCACCAGAAGGCCCTCGGTGCTGGACCTCAGTGTCCGGGTAGAATGATGGGGATGGAGACGCTCCTTCAGGTATACTGGACCGAGGCTGTTTAGGGCTTTAAAGGTCAGCACCAACACTTTGAATTGTGCTCGGAAACGTACTGGGAGCCAATGTAGGTCTTTCAAGACCGGTGTTATATGGTCTCGGCGGCCGCTCCCAGTCACCAGTCTGGCTGCTGCATTCTGGATTAGTTGTAGTTTCTGAGTCACCTTCAAAGGTAGCCCCACGTAGAGCGCATTGCAGTAGTCCAAGCGGGAGATAACCAGAGCATGCACCACTCTGGCGAGGCAGTCCGAAGGCAGATAGGGTCTCAGCCTGTGTACCAGATGGAGCTGGTACACAGCTGCCCTGGACACGGATTTAACCTGTGCCTCCATGGACAGCTGTGAGTCCAAAATGACTCCCAGGCTGCGCACCTGGTCCTTCAGGGGCACAGTTACCCCATTCAGGACCAGGGAATCCTCCACACCTGCCCGCCTCCTGTCCCCCAGAAACAGTACTTCTGTCTTGTCAGGATTCAATCTCAATCTGTTTGCCGCCATCCATCCTCCAACCGCCTCCAGACACTCACACAGTACCATCACCGCCTTCACTGGTTCTGATTTGAAAGAGAGGTAGAGCTGGGTATCATCCGCATACTGATGAACACCCAGCCCAAACCCCCTGATGATCTCTCCCAGCGGCTGCATGTAGATGTTGAAAAGCATGGGGGAGAGGACAGTACCCTGAGGCACCCCACAAGTGAGAACCCAGGGGTCTGAACACTCATCCCCCCCCCACTTTCTGAACACGGCCCAGGAGGAAGGAGCGGAACCGCTGTATGACAGTGCCCCCAGCTCCCAGCCCCTCAAGATGGTCCAGAAGGATGTTATGGTCGATGGTATCAAACGCTGCTGAGAGATCCAGCAGAACTAGGAAACAGCTCTCACCTTTGTCCCTAGCCCGCCGGAGATCATCAAACAGTGCGACCAAGGCAGTTTCAGTCCCGAGATGAGGCCTGAATCCCGACTGGAAGGGATCCAAATGGTCCACTTCTTCCAGGCGTGCCTGGAGTTGTTCCGCAACCACTTGCTCAATCACCTTGCCCAAGAATGGAAGATTTGAGACTGGGCGATAGTTGGCCATCGTGGCTGCGTCTAAAGATGGTTTTTTAAGAAGCGGTTTAATAACCGCCTCTTTCAGCGGGTCTGGGAAGGCTCCCTCACGGAGGGAAGCATTCACCACCCCACGAAGCCCATCGCCCAGCCCTTCCCGGCTAGCTTTTATAAGCCAGGATGGGCAAGGATCAAGGAGACAGGTGGTTGGTTTCACTCGTCCAAGCAGCCTGTCCACATCCTCGGAGGTAACAGATTGGAATTGATCCCACACAATTTGACTAGACAGGACTCTAGCACTCTCCCGCCCCGGCCCTGCTCCCACGGTGGCGTCTACCTCTTCCCGAATCTGAGCGACTTTATTTGCAAAATCATTGCAGGAGATCATGTGGCCCGTACTGGGCCCCGATGTAGCAGGTGGTTCCGCTAAATTGCGGACCACCTGAAAAAGTCTCCTGCTGCTGTTTTCTGCAGATGCAATAGAGGCGGTGAAGAAAGTCTTCTTCGCCGTCGCTACCGCCACTTGGTAGGCTCGACATTGAGCTCTAACCTGTGTCCAGTCAGCTTCAGAATGGGTCATCCGCCACCGGCGCTCTAGCCGTCTCAACGATTGTTTCATTGGCCTCAGATCCATGGAAAACCACGGGGCTGTCCGGGCTCCATGCAATCGGAGAGGGCGCTTTGGAGCCAAACAGTCAATAGCCCTGGTTAACTCCACATTCCAGCGGGCCACCAGGGAATCAGCTGAAAGGCCATCAACATGGGATAAAGCATCCCCTACCACTCTCTGGAAACCATTTGGATCCATGAAGTGGCGGGGGCGGACCATCCGAATCGGTCCCACCTCCCTGCAGAGGGGAAGGGTCACGGAGAAGTCAAGTTGCACCAGGAAGTGGTCTGACCATGGCACTTCTTTCGTTTCGCTTTTACTTAGTGTCAGATCACCAACATCCATGGAGGTAAACACCAGGTCCAAGGCATGTCCGCGGCTATGGGTTGGGCCAAACTTATTCAGGGACAGCCCCATGGAGGCCATGCTTTCCACAAAGTCCCGAGCAGCCACTTGTAAGGTCGTGTCGGCATGGATATTAAAATCCCCTAGGACAACCAAACTAGGTGTCTCCAGGAGAACATCCACCACGACCTGAAGCAGCTCGGGCAGGGAATCCTTGGTGCAGCGGGGAGGTCGGTACACCAAAAGGAATCCTGTACTGCCCCTATTGCCCAACTTCCAGAACATGCACTCAGAGAACTGGGTCTTCCCAATAGAACGCCTGGTGCAAACTAATGACTTCCTAAAAATCACAGCAACCCCCCCTCCCTGACCACAAGGCCTGGGTTGCTGTGCGTAAGAGAAACCTGGTGGACAAGCAGCGGCAAGAACAGGCCCATCTGCTTCATCCAACCAAGTCTCTGTTACACATGCCAGGTCAAATCCTCCATCCATGATCAAGTCATGGATGGCAGTGGTCTTATGAATCATTGACCTGGCATTGCATAGCAGCACCTTCAGGTCATGTGGGTATCCCTTGCTGATTCTAGTATCCGTCCAGTCAGGACCAGACCTGGAGGCAGGGATAGTCCTCAGACAACGACTAAACCTGCCTCCTCTGTAATGACATGGTCTGGTCTTAGCGTAACTCCTCCTCCTACCCGTGATCACTGAGATCGGTTGTCCCAGCGCATCCCCCTCTGTGGAACATGCCCCAGCCATTTTGTTGGCTGGGACCCACTCCCCGGCAGCCCTGACTCCTCCCCTTAAGAACAAATAAGACCTTAAAACAATAAAATAAAATAAAAACAAAACAAAAACAAAAAAACCCAGAAAACAAAAAACAATACAAGTAAAAAACTATAAAAATTGCAAATCCATTAAAATCAAACAAATTCCCAACTAAACATCCATCCCACCCCCATCCCCGTATATACAAAAAAAATTAAATAAAAAGGAAAAGGAAAATTTTAAAACATTTTTAAAAGAACTCTGCGCCCCTCCGGATCCCCCTGGGCCACAGCAACAGCGACAGCAACTGTCCCTGTGAGGCCTGTCAGGCCCCGCCCTGGGCCAGGTGGTGAGTGGCAGGAAGGAGCAGGGCCCTCAGACACTCACACAGGAGAGTCCTCCTGAGCCTTGATTTCAAATAATCCTGCTGTCTTTCAGGTTGAAAGACCTGAAGCCTGAAGCCTCACAAGCATTTGTGTTTACAGGAGACTCAGTTTTAAGCAATCATTGATTCCTTTTGTTATGCTAGTCTGCTTTACTTCCCCACCTCCTCCTGAAATGATGTCTGGCCGTGGTTGGAGACCTAAAGGTAGGGGTCCCCAAAGTAAGGGCCGCGGGCCGGATAAGGCCTGAGGGACTCGTTTATCCGGCCCGCAGCGACCCCTGCCGCCAACTGCCGCTGCCCGCTCTTACCTGCACTGCACAGCTGCCCACTTCTGGGTTAGAGGAGCACCAGAAATAGCTTGTGCGCATGCGCAAGCGTTATTTCCGGTGCACATCTGGGTTGGATGAGGCCCGTGCACATGCGCACAAGCTATTTCCTGGAAGTGCGCTGGAAATGGCATGCGCGCACGCGTATGGGCATGCGCTCCCTCCGGCCTGCCGCGCGATCGGCGCTGGAGACACTGGCCCGAGGCACGGTAACTTTGCTGACCCCTGCCTAAGGGCTTCTGCCAGCACTGGTTTGCCCTGTGCAACTTGCATTCCCTCCCCATCCCCAGATATTTTTGATGAATGAGAGCGTTGTGGGTCACGAGAACTGCTCTTGCCTAATTTTTGTGGGCTAGCCTTGACCGTGTTGCTGCATCCTTTCTGGATCTGCCATCAAAGACCCCAAAACAGGAGATAGCTTTTGTCTTAGTCCTGTGAGATTAATATGAACTTTAAAGAGGAAGCTAAGCAGAATCCTATGTGAGATTTTGATCTAACAGAACCAGTTCATGTGTGTGTATTATATAAGTTCTTGAAAGTAATAGTTCTTAGAAAACCCTTTGCAATATGCAGACGTTTAACCATGGGATTGTACCTGGGCTGGGCAAGTAGAATCAAGCTTAGTAAGGAAGTTATGACAGCTGCCCAACCTTATAATTACCCTAGTAGTCCCTGTGTCATCACTGTGTCTTGCTTGTTTTTTTGGTTTTTTAATACTTAATTTTACTGAGTATTGTCTCCAGCAGCGGTTTAGAACTACCAGTCCCAAGGATGCGTTACTTGATAAAAGTTTTGCATGCGTTAGGTCACGGAGAGTTCAGTGAGCTCTTTCATGTCTCAGGGGAACATTGAATGCACATTTAAAGCACATTACTCCCCACCCCCACAAGAATTCTGGGAACTGTAGTTTTCCCCTCACAGAGCTATCACTCTCCTTAGCAAACAGTTCCCAGGAGTTGTCTTTAAACGTGTGTTGAATGTGCTTTGAATGTAATCTCTACATGTCATAGTAAAATCTGTACTCCAGGGGGCAGTATTAGAGGATCTTTGTTCAGACCAGTCAATGTCTGTGATGAAGCAGTGCAGTCTTCACATGTTTAGGCCTTCATCAAATAATCAGTTGACCTAGAGAGGGATGGATACGCATAAGACAACAATAATCAGCTTTCTTAACCCTGCCTTCACACGGGGAAAGGCAAAACTGCATTAGGCAGCCCCTTCTGGAATGCCCGCTTGCTTTTTATGTACAAAAGCACATCCTCTCCTCATCATATAGGATAAAGGTCTGTAAAAAGTAAATCACATGGCAGTATCCCAGAGTGCTGTGTGCAGTATCTCCTGTGTTGCCTTTTCGGTTTTTAAGAGAGGATTACAGGTGGGGAGAGCACTGTCTGCCTTGGGTCCTGCTGGAGGCCATTCCATCAACACCTGCAGACCCTCTAAGTGTCCCTATTTTCCAGGGACAGTCCTGAATTTACACAAGTTGTCCTCATTTCTGATTTTCCTTCAGATGTCCCTATTTTCATAGGAGAAATGTTGGAGGGTATGGAATTATGCAACCCCTGAGCCAAGGAGATAAGTAACTATGCAACCTTTAGAAGACATATGTATAGCAAAGTTTTTTAATGTTTAATGTTTTATTATGTTTTTATATATTTTGGAATCCACCCTGAGTGGCTGAGGCAACACAGTCAGATGGGTGGGGTATTATTATTATTATTGAATAAGGTGTCCCTATTTTCTTTGGAGAAATGTTGGAGAGTATGTTCACTGTGGCAACAGGATATTGGACTACCTGGGCCTTTGGCCTGATCCAGCAGAACTGTTATGTTGCTCGTAAAGGAAGTAGCCTTTCTTTTCATGGCACCCCGAGGCAAGCAGTACTTGGCAACATTCCCATCAGGGAAAGAGAACCAGTGGTCTTCTAGATGTTGATGCACTGCAGCTGCCATCATTCCTGACCAACAGCTATGGGGGCTGGGACTGATGGGAGGTGGAGGCCAACGTCTGGAGGGTCACAGGTTCCCATCTGGGCATGTAAACTAGGAACGGGGAAACCGACCCTCCACAAGTTGTTGGGCTCCACCTCCCATCGCCCCAAGAATCCCTGGCACGTGCTCTGTGAAAGAAAGTGGGATTTTAAAAACACACTGAAGCATTAGTGTTTGGATGGATGCTGCCTTAGTTACACAAGGAATGGAAAGGTTTGCTAGAAAATATTGTAGTGTGTGTGTGCTCTACTTCTCCCCCCTCACATCACCATCTAAAGTCGCATAGCTTTTTTATAAAAAAAATAGACACTGGGGAATTCAAGAAAATGTAGCGTACAGCCTTTGGGATTCTATTACTTGCATTACGACCAATCTAGTGAATACTCATGGGAAAAATCATATCACCTCTCTGTGCTTTAAATCCCCACAATTGCTTTGATGCTTGTCTCTTTTTAAAAAGCACTTCAAGAGATGCAACAGGAAAGTGCAGTGTGGGGAGCTCAGCATGCGATGAGGATGGTTATGAAATGGTGCAAATCTCGATGCTGGCTCCGTTCTCTCCACCTGACATGCCAAAAGCTACATCTGACTCAGGAGCCCTCTTTATGGTACAACCAGCGGACAATGAGGTTTCTATTCAAGGTCTGGAATATATTCTTACATAATTGATAGGCTCTGAGCTAAGCAAGAACTGACTAAATGCTTTGGCACACGAGAGTGCCCTGGGGGTAGGTTGTCATATTTGTCTGATAATCCATGCGCGCACGTAATACCTCTCAATGAAATGCAAGATCCTGAATGCTAAGCCACAGGCCACAACACTGGCTGAAAACCCCTTGGGATTAAGTGTCCGGCGTACAAAGAATGGGCAAAGAAAGAAGTTTGTTATATAAGCCTTGTAATTGGCAGCTTATGGAGGGCCATCAGCAACTGCCCCACTGCCCCTTGTCAAGCCACTCATGGTGGCAAATGGAGCCTGCCCCACATCAGGTATGCTCTGAGAAACCATACAGGAATCTACAGTGCTCTGCCCCACTGCATGTTCATCTCACATCATCTTTTCTCTCCATCACTGTCGCTGCCTCTGCCATAAGCAAAGGAATCAATGATGGACTGGAGATGGGTGGACTACAATCAAAATAGGCTGGGGTGGGGACAGGGGGCAGCATAAGACATTCTGGCGGTAGCGGCACCAGTGGGGCAGGCAGGGCGATGCCTCTTGTGCTTCTGCTGCCTGAGACGGGTAGTTCCCTGTGCCTCATCGGTGGGCTGGCTCTGTTGGTGATTCACTATGGAATACCTCTAATCACAAACAAGCCTTGCACTTCTGTTTCCATTCTCTCTCCACCCCCCACCCCCCACCTTTTTTATCTTTCTGGTGCCGCCACTGGGAGAAATTCATTAAACCACACTATGTCTCAAGAAACTACGGGATTGATGTGGATTGTGGCTAACCTTGTGAGTATATGGCTTCAGAAACCAGTGGTGTGAGCATACGAGTTGTGTGTACACAGCCCTTTTCCCAGTTAGATGAGATGAATTGAGGCAAAAATCCAAGTTTGGGCAGCCACAGGGAAGAAACACTTTAGCCCTTTGCAGCTGAAACTCATGAGCTCCTTCAACAAACATTTGTCGAGCATGAAGACAGGGAAAACACGCTGGGGTACATTGCAGAAAGCAGGACTTGTTTTGATGTTACGATTCCTATTAAAACTTGTAGGAAAATGGCTGAAGATATTAATAGAATGAGGTTTGTGTCATTAATTGTAGCATGTGCCCTTTCAGGCACACTGTTTGGCTCTTTTCCCTCTACATTTTTCTAACACAGTAAAGGAAATGTATCAGTACCTTGCAGTCTTAACTTTTAGAGCAAGCAAACTTCAGGGAAGGGGCATAGCTCAATGGCAGAGTATCTGCTTGGCATGCAGAAACTTCCAGGTTCAATTATTGGCATCTCCAGGTTAAGGCTAGGAGAGATTTGTGTCTGAAATCCTGAAAAGCCACTGCCATTCCATGCAGATCAGCAGTGGGGGACCCCTATTCCACAGCTCAAATTAAGCCCAACAGGGAATCCCAATTGGGCCTGTAAGGCTGTTCTTTCCGAACCATGTCCATCTGCTCCACACGTGATGTTCACATGTGATATCAGGTGTGGAGCAGGTAAAGATGCAGCTGCAAAGAAACAGTGGGGAGCCTTAAAGTGTGCTCCCAATTGCTCCTTGGCAAAGCGAGGCTTGCTGTTAAGCACTGATCATCTGGTTGGCACCCCAAGCAAGTCATGCAGGGATCAGCTGCACTACAGATTTCCCTATCGGCAGCAGAGCATCTGCTTTGCATGCAGAATGTTCCCAACTGGGAGCTCCTTAGTGCAGCTAATCCCTTCTGAAAGTGGGATTTGCTGTAAGCACTGATTAGCTGACGGTCGCTTACAGTTCGCTCCGCAGGGAAAGACTTTCTTCGTCTGCATAGATTGAAATCAAACTGTGTGGGCAAAGCAAAACATTTAATTTGACATAGTCCTGCCCACCTGCCAAAGTGACTCTCCCACTTGTCATCCCATCCACCTGTCAAAGTGGCCCCTGGTAGTTGGGGACGTCAGAATCTGGCTCCGCACAAATCCAGTTCTCCACTGCTAGTGCGGACAACACCCAAGCTAAATGGACCAGTGGTATAAGACAGCATCTTGTGTCCTGTCCCCCCCGGAAAATCCCAACAAATGTTCTAAAAATTAAGATGGATTGCAATTATTATTATTTTTTTAAAAAGAAAAAACTATATTATAGCCGGATTCATTTGCAAATAATTCTGCTTGTGATGTGGGCTACATTTGCTCCTTGCTGCTATCTTCTGAAGCAATTCATGACCTCATTTTGATAGACCCTATTGTGTGACTTGGATGTTCTCCAGATGGAGGGAATCCTCATGAGGTTTGCAGGTCATAGGCAGATGTTTGTGATTCTTCACCAGTCTCAGGGCTGCCTATTCTCTGATAAGCAGATGATCACTCAAAAGGCTATGATCCCTGATGTGGACAGAGGGTGCTGCGTTTTCAGCCCGACAAGCAATGTCAAACTAAGGCCAGCAGTGTAGGCATGTGTTGCATCATGTATCTAAGTGTGCCATATTCATTTCTTGACAAGGCTTATTTTGAATGAACTCTGCCAGAACTCAACCCTGGAACATGTGAATGAATTAACAGAAGATGTGCTGAATTCCTTTACATTACTAGTTTCTCATGGACTGGCTGGATGCAGAGGAGTGGTGGGAGGTACCAGCTGGGGCACCCTCAAGGGAAGAAGACTCGGAGCCAGGGGATTGGTGGTGGGACATGGTCAGAGGGAGAAGAAGGAACAAACTGGGAGGAGGATGTGTCAGAAGCTGAAGAGGTAACAGGGTTTAGTGAGTGGGGAGATGCTGGGGCAGAGAGCAGTTCAGACTCAGAGGCAGAAGCAGAGGATAGAGAGGAGGGGAGCCAAGAGGCAGCAATGAGTCAGGTTGGTGAGGAAGTCAGGCTGTCTCCCCCTCCTGTGGTGACCAGCTCCCCTCTCTCCTGGCCTCCCAGAACCCAGAGAAGTAGGAAGAGGGTGGAGCAAAGACAGACAAGATGAAGGAGCCTCAGATTACTTGGGAAGGAACCAGGGGAGGAGGAGACTTAGGGAGCTGTGGGAAGGCAGGGTACTTTAGTCCTTGCAACTGCCTCATTGGGCAAGACCTACTAGAAAGAGTTAAACAATACAGGCTAGAATTGATTACCTGTGCCTATGTATGTGAAAAGACTTCAATCTCTTTCGGAGGAGAGATTCCCCGCTATGTCTTACACAGAATGGGAACAGACCAAATGCTGGAAGGCTGGCATCCAACGCCTCTTGTCCCCATATCAATTACAAGATCTTCAGGTGACCATGAAGATGGAGAAGAGGCACTTGAGAGACTATCTCTTTAGGTCCGATGCAGAAAGGGATTTAACCATGATTGCTTCTACCAAGAGCTCACCATGGTTCCCACATATCAAAACGGAGCATGCCCGTGCCAGATACCTGACAAAGCTCCCACTTGCCATACTGAGAATCGCTTTTACAGAACTACGATTCCAATCGATGCCCTTGGCACTGTTGGATAGACAGTACGGCAAAGTACATTACAAAGAGAGATTCTGTCTATGTGGACACCCCTGTGTCGAGGACATGTGCCATTATTTATTGCAGTGCCCGTTATATATAGACCCAAGAGACCGATTTATAAAAGCCCCTGTTTACGAATGGAACACATCTGATGAGCGACACCGATGACTTTATTACTTATAAAGTAGCACTCTATGCACTGTGTAGAGCTGCATGCTTGCTAGATCAGGAGGCACCTACTTCTCTTAAAGATATATTTACTGAGTTGCTTGAGAAAAATGAAGATGGCCTGTCTAGTCATCATATTGCATGATGTAACTGCATGTGATCTCGCAACTGGCCTTCATTTTATTTTATACCTTGGGCTAGGCCTGTACATTGCTTATGTGTGGAAGCTCCTAGTTATAGAGCGAAGATATCATCAGGACATTTCCCAACAATGAAGTGTTCAAAGAGTAAATACAACAATGGTGAGAAGTGCTTGAATAGGTGGGGGGAAAGATTCCAGAGGTATGGTTAAATATTTGTTTTAAAGATTATTAAAACTGTAGTCTACAAACTCATTTTTGGATTGAGCCCACTTTCATCCTCTTGACTTGAGCTGCAACCGAGGCACCTCAAATCCAAGTATTTTGGTTTTACATGTCAGGTTTCCTATCAAAGGCCTTGTAAATTTATCTTTGGGGTGTGCTGGGATGGCTCTTAAGCAGAGTGAAGCAACTGCTTTGGGCAGCAGATGGCAGGGCTCAAAATGGAATTAAGGCAAAAGGCTGTATTACATATGTACTGCAAAAATAAAAATATTCAAGCCATTAAATGTAAAACTGCACTCTTGTAACCATGTGACAGCCAAGGGTGTTATTCAACATAGCACTAAGTTGGATGTGTGTGTGAATGGAATGAAATACCGTACTGGGAATTGTAGTTCTATGAAGGGCAAACTACAGTATCCAGGATTCTTTGGAAAGGGGAGATCGGTGCTTTAAATGTATGGTGTGTACACAGCCTTGGTTTGACTCTATTAATGCAAGCGTTTTAGTCATTTCCCCTTGGTATTATTTGTCTTTTGTGTAGGGACTGCAAGGCTTGTCTGTGATAAGAGGTGATCTGTAGTGGATCCTCCATAAGCTCCATAATGAACTGCTTTACACCAAGTCGGCCCCATGGCCCATCTCACCCAGTACAGTCATACCTTAGATCTCAAACGCCTTGGCTCCCAAACAAATCGGCTCCCGAACGATTGAAACCCGGAAGTGAGTGTTCTGGTTTTTGAACATTCTTTTGGAAGCCGAAGGTCTGACGGGGCTTCTGTGGCTTCCAATTGGCTGCAGGAGCTTCCTGCAGCCAATCAGAAGACACGCTTTGGTTTCCGAATGTTTTGGAAGTCGAACGGACTTCCGGAACAGATTCCGGACTTTATTGACTACCCTGAGTAGCAGCAGTACTCCAGGATTGCAGAGAGGTCAGTTACATCACCTGCTACTTCATCTTTAAAATTGAGAGGCTAGGAGGTTGAATTAGGACCTTCTTCACGCAAAATATGTCTTGCTCTACTACCAAGCTATGGTCTTTTTCTAAATAATAATTTTGGGGGTTTGGGGTGGGTGCTGAGTGCTGAACTAACACTCTTGCCAAGCAGCCTCCCCTTGTTTATTCATTGGAGAGGTATGTTGATAGTTGGCCAACAGAAGTGCTGCTTCTGAAAGGGGGAAAGAGTCTGTAGTCTCTTCTGTACTCTTAAAAGGTCTCAGGAATACTTTGACATTGACCTCTCGTTGTCCAAGGATTTTGTGTGCTGGTTTGAGTCAACATGTTGATAATGATCATAGCTGGGCTGCTTTCTCTTCTGCAGTCACTTCCTGCTCATGCGGTGTAGGTCTTTCTGAATAAACACACGGGGGAATATTTGCTCTGCATCCAATAAACAGGCCCATGATGTTTACCTGAAGTAAACATTGTATCTCGGCCTGTGAGCCATCTGTACAAGAATCTAGATGATGGAACAGATGGATCAGAATTAGAAATATGGATCCAGTCTGCCTTGTTTGACCATTAAAATGTTTGCTCCTTCAAAAAGAGGGGAGTGAGTAGCTTCAGCAAAACATTCCTTGTTTGTTACCTCTCCCTGGTTTTTGAATGAGATAGCTACGTGACTCTACGGACAACTAGCAGGCTCTGATTTCTAAACAGGAGGTGGTCCAGGGCACCATTTCAGAGATTCCTTTCTCAGCCAGTGAACTAATGCTTGGATTCTGGAAGGCTGCAACAGATCTTTTGGAAACAAATCTTATGCATGCCCAGTTAGTGGACAGATAGCTTCCCTATCAGTCCTAAACAAAGTTGACATCTTCCAGTGTTTTGACTCTCTTTGAATATGTGCTCTTGAAGTAAAATCTTGAAGTAAAAGTCTTCTCATAGATGAAGCCTTACTGATACCATTCTATAAATCTGTCATGTGCCTGCATTTGGAATACAGTGGTACCTCAGGTTACATATGCTTCAGGTTACAGACTCCGCTAACCCAGAAATATTACCTTGGGTTAAGAACTTTGCTTCAGGATGAGAACAGAAATCGTGCTCCGGCGGCGAGGCGGCAGCGGGAGGCCCCATTAGCTAAAGCGGTGCTTCAGGTTAAGAACAGTTTCAGGTTAAGAATGGACCTCCGGAACGAATTAAGTACTTAACCCGAGGTACCACTGTACTGTGTACAGTTCTGGTTACCTCAAAAATAATACTGTAGAACTGGAAATTATCTAGGGGGTGGAGCAATTCCCCTTGAGGAAAGGTTGCAGAGTTTGAGACTTCAGTTTAGGAAAAAAGGCAAGTAAGATGATGTATAAAAGTATTTAAAATTATGTATGGCAGGGAGAAAGTGGAGAGAATAAAGTTTTTTGCCCCACCCCACTGCTCATAACACTAGAACTGAATGTTGGAAAATTTAGGACAGATAACAGAAAAAAAACATTCTTCACACAGAACATAGTTAAAATACAGAACTCTCTCTCCCACAGGAGGCAACAATGGAGACCAATCTAGATGACTTTAAAAGAGGATTAGACAAATTTACGGAGAAGAGGGCTACTGAAGGCTACTAGCCATAGTTGGAGGCAGCAATGCTTTTGAATACCAGTTGCTGGAAACCACAGAAGGAAAGAGGGCTCTTGTGCTTGGGTCTTGCTTGTGGGATGGCCACTGTGAGAACAGGATGCTGGAGCAGATGGGCCATTGGCCTGATTCAGCAGGCTCTTCTTCTACCTTTGCAATCTCCAGCAACATCTGGAGAGCACAGGTTGCCCACCCGAGTGTGAGCCGTAACCTGCTCCTCCCACTCCTGCCTGGACATGTCACATAGCTTGCCATCTGTGGCATGGATGCTGCAGTTGGCCACCCGTGTGTCAGCATGTTAGACTGTCAGTCAAGTTTCTTTTGAGTGCAGGAACAGCTGGCAGAGCTGACTGGGTGGGTGGGTCTCTCCATTTATCAATGTCACCCTCTGGGGTGGTCCTCTGCGTCGCTGCTCTTCCTGCTGCACTCAGACTCTCTTTCAGATGTTCACTTCAAAGGGGTCCCAATGAGATGCATGGTACCGAATAAACCACAGGCTCTGCAGCATGTTTTCCCTTTCAGCGACTCTTGTTTTTGTCTCCTGCTGTGTGCAGCTGCTATGCGAGAAGCCTTTAAGGAAGGGCAGAGCCGTGCAGCAGTATGAACTCTGTCCCATCGAATTGGCCCAAGGCCCAGGCTGGTGCAAAGCGGCTAGAAGTCACTTTGACCTAGTCTCTCTAGTCCCATAGAGGTTCACAGGAGAATTCAAGGAAGCCGGCTGATAGGCATGGAGCTGTACATCTCAAAGGGGAGAGATTGGTGTTTGCAATATTGCCTCTTCTTATACTGGAGATCATGAGCAGCTTCTTCCTGACATGCAGTCAGCCATTGAAGAGGATAGGCATTTTCTCCCCTTGCAGGATGGGAAATGAAGTCTAGTGGTTTAAACGCTGCCAAGCATGCATATTCCTGCATTGCAGTGGGTTGGACTAAATGATTCTCAGGGTCCCTTCCAACTCTATGATTCTATGATTTGGAAAACCACTATGGGAAACAAGACTACTGGACTAGATTAGATCTTTGGCTTCTCCTACAGGGCCCTGACATAATATTCATTCCTCATCCTAAATATCTAGAAGAAGGGTTTCTCTCTCTCTCCAGAATCCTTCCTTCTGGAATGCACACATGCCACATTCTCTTAAAATTTTTAACCAAGTACAGAGATCAGAAGCTGGTTTAAAGAGTAAACATTATGTCTGCAAAGAGATGGTGCTCTGCTGCTGGATTACTTCTGAGTATTCCTCAAAACTAACAATAGGAAAATTCTGAGAAAAATAATGGGATCAAACAGCAGGCCAAGATGAGTCAAGAAGACAAGGTCCTTCGGCCAAAGAACATTCTAGTTTCATGCTGGGAGACTTTCCAGTATCAATAAAAATATATTTTCACTGGAGAGCAGCAGCGCACCCAACTGAGAAGAGACATCAGCAGACCACAGGGACTGCCAGATTGTGCTTATAGTTTTAAGGGCACTTCTGACACTATGATTTCTACTTGGGTACCAACAACCCAGGTGTTAGCCCCACTAGGTAAAAAGGACATGAGTGTGTGCAAAGCACCACTTGTCTCATTAAAACAAGCAGCTATTGTTTCATCTCTTCCTCATCACATCTTTCATCTCTTTTAAAATGAAGGTGATTTATACAAATATTAAGAGTGGTATTCAACTAACTTTTTGTGCTAGCACAAGGATTGGAATTTAGTGCAAGGGGATTTCCCCTCTGTCCTTTCCCCTCATGTGCCCTATATTATCCCCAAATCTGCTCCAGAGGGTTGGGGGAACCTGTCAGCAGATCTGCACTGGCGGCTGATTTGTTACTTTGTCAAGTTCATGGTGATAATATTAGCATATAAAGCCCTCAAAAGCTTGGGACTAGTTTATGTGAAAGGCAACCTTACCTTGTATGTGTCCACTCAGATCTGTGAAAATGGCATTGTTGCAAGCATGTAAAGTTCATCCTGCACTTGGGGGAAAGTTCATCCTGTGTGGCAGCATCCACCCTTTTAATATTAGGCAGATGCCATTGCTTTATGGGCAGGCTAATAAAGAATCAATCTGCAATGAGGTTTTGTTTTTTAATTTTCAGGATGAAACCAGTTTCTCAAGAGCTGCTTTTCAGGGGCAAAGAAATATGCAGTAGATTGAGATTGGGTGTGGACTACATAGAAAAAGCAGGGACATAGTCTCCATTGATTCTGTAATAAGATGTGCGTACACAGCCTTTAATGTGCAATTTGAAAAATGCTGTTTTGAGTGAACTCAGCAAATGTGATCAAATCATCATCAAAGCAGATCTGGCAAGAATGTTATCTCCTTCAGTGCTGAAAATATCTTATTCATAAATCAAAACATATGACTGCTTTAGTCAAACTGGAAGTACACCATTACAACACAACACAACCTAATGTCCCTGCTATCAATCTCACCAAGCATAGTGGGACATTAGGTTGTGTTGTAATGGTCAGATCTGATCAGATGTGTGTTTTTAAATTGATTTTGAGTGTTACAAAAAGTCTCTGTCTCTTACTGCAAAACTCAAAAACGTTCCATACAGCTTATTTACACAAGGCACCAGAGAAACCACAGATTAACAGCTGGAAGAAAGCATAGCTAGAGGTCTCAACCAGCTTTGCAGCTCTGACAGCATCTGTATCATCTTGGCAGCCTTATGTGCAATCATCTCAATTTTTTTCAGCCATAGGACCCTGGGAGCTACAGCCTACTGTCTTGTGTGGGGTTGGGATAGCACACATTTTCCCCACCTGGGGCATTCACACCACAGCCCATAATCCTGTCATAATCCTGACACCAGAGATCTTATCAACGATTACTGATTGACTATTTATGATTTTTTTCTCCCTCTCCTGACACTGACTTGTAGTTTGCATGCGAAACAAAAGACGCAGGGTAGTGCCTCTTGTTATGGGATATCATGCTGCTCTTCCATTTCAAGTTCAGCAAACCTGCACGGCCTTCTCGAGGCATATCTGCATGTCTCTTATATCGGTGATTAGATTTGCTCAGGCAAGACCTCTGATCTTGTAAATGATGAGATTTGAATCTAGCAGCTCAAGTTCTACAGGGTGTATCAAGGCTCATGAGCTGAGTTCGTCAGACAGAATCAAGGCACCATCATTTGCATTTTTAAAAATAGATTGGATAAGCCTCTGCCAGGGGTGGTTTTGGGTCTAATTAACCCTCAGTGCAGACACAGAGACTAGAAAACCTTTAAAGCTTAAACAATTCTCGCTTTAAAACCCAGGCTTTTCACCTGTCTGTTCCTCTATGAACAGAGCAAAGATTAGATCTGTTTGGGTATGGCAGACATATTTCACCCATTGCAACACTGCTGGCAGGGAACACGAAGTGTGCATGATGCAAGGCATGCGATTGCTCCATTAAAATAAAAAAGGCAGGCAGGAGGCGGAGGTTAAGAATGCGGTTGGGGGGTGTGCAGTGCTGAAAAGCTAAAGGCCTGATCTCCCATGAGGCGAAGGTAAATCCCACAAGCAGCTTTTCATTCTTCCACAACTCTATGCAGAGGTGCTAGGCATCTTTCCAGAATCAATAACATGTTAGCCAGGGGAGCAGCTTTACTTGAGTGCCTGATAAAGGTCTGGGACTTATGCAACAATCCCATCTCTATTCAAAAGCAAACGTCTGCCACTTCCGTGTTTGAGTTGCAGGATTCTTTTTCCTGAACAGAAATGGCTTTTCAGAGTCCTGTGACTGACCTTTTACTATTTCCTCCACAGCTTCTGAGGACCATGTATTCTAGTGCTCTTGGGTCATGGTGATGATTATAGCTCCTTCCATCCTCACTGAGGAGAGTTCTGCTGGAGCACTTTTTATGGCCAGAGACATATGGGAGGTCAGCTCAGCTCAGCTCTGGTCAATCCATGTTTGTCCTTCAATGAAATGGTTGTTTGGCGTTTTGTGAAAGTTTATAGTAGGCCCTTGGAAATCTAAAAAGAAAGCAGCCTTTCCCAGTGCTGCCCAACCAGCCCCTTGGTGTGTTTGGGAACGCAGGTTCCCCTTGATTACGTGGGGCTTACCATGTCTGAGCAGACAGCAAGCAGGAGGCAAAACAAGCAGTGGACCTGTTTCCATATTAGAGAGCCATTCTGACCTCCCTCCTATGATCCAAGTTCAGCAGTTGGTATTCCGAGCTGAAAACCTGTATCTACATTATGATAGAAATGAGAAATGCTGGGGATGGGGGTGGGTCAAGGTTTTGGAAACGGTATAAGTGCAATTTATTCAGAACAGAAGGCCAAATTAATTGTGAACGATGTAGTGACGGAAGATTTTAAGATTGAGAAAGGAACACGACAAGGTTGCCCAATCTCTCCATTGCTTTTTATATCGGTCTTGGAGGTTTTGTTAAATATGATTAGAAGGGACCAATTGGTAAAAGGTATACAAGTGGGAGCGAAACAGTACAAATTGAAAGCATTTGCTGATGATTTAGTATTGACTTTACAGGAGCCAGAATCTAGCACTAAAAGAGTATTAGAATTAATCCAAGAATTTGGTCAGGTGGCAGGTTTTAAGTTGAATAAGATGAAAACTAAGGTATTAGAAAAGAACTTAACAGAGATTGAGAGAGAGAAGTTTCCGAAGGAGACAGGACTGACACTGGTCAAGAAAGTGAAATATTTAGGGGTTAATATGACTGCTAAGAATGCGAATTTATTTAAGGATAATTATGAAAAATGTTGGACTGAAGTGAAAAAAGATCTAGAAATATGGTCAAATTTGAAGTTATCATTGTTAGGCCGAATTGCTGTGATAAAAATGAATGTATTGCCAAGAGAATGTATTGCCAATGGTGAAATCTGCTATGATTAAATGGGCACAAGATGTTGGACATAATATTATGATGGCTGACTGGGAACAGTTATGGACCACTGGTATGAAGTTTACGGCATGCAATGCCTTAAAAGAGAATTTAATGAAAATGATTTATAGGTGGTACATAACACCAGTCAAGCTTGCAAAAATCTATCATTTGTCCGATAAGAAATGTTGGAAATGTAATGAAACTGAAGGTACATTCTTTCACCTTTGGTGGACATGCCCAAAGATTAAGGCATTCTGGGAGATGATCTATAACGAAATGAAAAAGGTATATAAATATACCTTCCTGAAGAAACCAGAGGCCTTTCTCCTGGGCATGGTCGGCCAACTGGTGCCAAAGAAAGATAGAACTTACTTTATGTATGCTACAACAGCAGCAAGAATACTCATTGCAAAGTATTGGAAGATACAAGACCTACCCACCAGGGAAGAATGGCAGATGAAGCTGATGGACTATATGGAACTGGTGGAAATGACTGGCAGAATTCGAGACCAGGGAGAAGAGTCGGTGGAAGAAGATTGGAAAAAATTTAAAGTATACTTACAGAAACATTGTAAAATTAATGAGTGTTAGAAGGATGTGGGAATGAAGTTACATGGTTTTAGTAGAAATGCAACAAAGAATTAAGTAAAAGTTGATTG